GGGTCTTAACTGTGGATACTTATTGTCTATATAAAGACCTTTACCCTCCCTAGGTAAATAGTTATCTTCAAGTTCTTTAATAGTCACTTACCTACCTATAAGGTTTACGATCTATATGAGCCTTACTATCTATACATTAGATAGTTCTCTAAGTTCTTTGAACAAATATCTTAAGTAATACTTTTCGAAGCGCTTTACTAAGTTCTAAATATAACGAATAAATTAATAAGTCTTTTATTAATACGAAAATTATAGTAAGTCGAAAAGAATTATATATAAGATATATTATTATCTTAAACGCCGCGTTTCTTTTTTAGATTAACTAATATAAAAATATAAACGCACCGATAAAATTTAAAGTCTAAGAAAATATTAACGATAATATAAGACGACTTATTATCTTTAACGATAACTTAATAAATAAAGAGTATTATTAGTTAATCTTTATAATTAATAAAATAATATAGTTATACTTAGTTATTAATTCTATATAAAATAAATTAAATATAATTAAGATAATACTTAATTTCTTTATTTAATAATTAAGAAATAACGTTTTTAATATTTTATCTCGGAAAATACGGCTAGAATTTAATCTTTAGTAAAATATTAGTAACTATAAGCTCTAAGTAATTAAGAATTCTTTAGCGATTATTAATACGAAAACTTATAAGACGGCTCGTTTATAAATTATCTTATTTAATACTTAAGTCGATATTAAGAATCGTTTCGCTATCGTCTTAGAGATCTATAAGATAGTTATACGGAAATCGAAGCGTAGTAAAGATTTAAGAGCGTTAAAAAGCTTAAGTTCGAAGAAATTAAATAGAAGATAATTAAATAACTTTATAGAGCGTTTAAAGAATATAAAGAAGAGTTAATATTTCTAAGAGAATAAACGAAGATTATAGTTAAGTCTTAAGCGAGGTCGTTAAGAAAGCGAGCGATAATGAGAGAGATATAATGGAAGAAGTTTAAAGTAAGAGATAGTTTTATGATTAGCTAAGGCGTCGACGCTAAACTAAGGTTCTTCTTATATAGTTCTCGGGGACTATTATTCATAGAATAATTAATTAAGTTACGAATAGAGAGAACTTTCTTTAGTTAAGTGTGCGTACTGTGAAGAGACTATCTCACCGCCGTACGAGTTAATGCCTATGGCTGGTAGCCTCGCCCTAGTTCATTATTTAAGACGATATCGTACGAGTCTTCGCTATAATTCTTAATATCGTCGGTGTATTCGTTCGTCTTCGTCATCGAGTATATCGAGAGAGTTAGCTACGCCTCGCTCGGAAGTCGTATTTACTTCTCGCTCTTCTTCGCGCGAGTTACTCGGTATAGTTTAGCTCGACGACTAACCCGCGGATATACTCTCCGACCGAGAGCGAGTAGTTATTCTCTCGTCGATGAATATTCTACGTGTCTTACGCTTATCGCTTACTCCGATCGACTTAGAGTTAATACTTTAAGAATATTAGAGATTCCTTAGTAAGTAGGTAGAGTCTAACGATAAGCGTATATATAAGTTATCTCTATAGTATATGGTCGATACTGTATACGACTTAAAGCATAAGAGAGAAAAGAGTGCGCCTTCTATGCGGGGAGTGTACTAGTAATAAGGATGCACTCCCTGAGCCGCATCTCTTGGCTGGTGGCCTGATTATTTCCCGATGTATCAGGCGTCCGTTCTTCCGATGTTTAGCCGAATCCGTAACACCTAGTAGTCTTATGGGCTGCGTAAGTCTTAATAGCCTAGGGCGGCCCAAGGCTCTTAGGGTCGCGCGGGAAATTTTACCGATGTAGCTTATAGCCTAGTTAATTAGGGCGTAGCCCCGATATTAGGTCTAAACCTCAAGTTTCTGAGGTGTTTAATACGAGATCGATCAGAATAGGTGCAAAACGCATCGATCCAGATGTGGCGGCTTCCGTGGCGGTATCGGAGACAAACGAGAGCTTCAAGCATATTCTGGGTCACAAGGACATCGGTTCCGTTGCATCTGATCGTGGCCGTGAACTCCGGATAGCCCCAACTATAAGACAGCGCATCATAGGAAACGATGGAGGACCATGCGGGGACCACGACGCCTTCTTTGGCGATTAAGTCAACTGTCTGAAGCTCACAGTCAAGAGGGTCACCGGCCTCTCCTGGACGGATGATGATAATTCTTGTTTGCCACGGGTGGATGGGCTGGTATAACTTTGAAGACACCAAGCGCCTCTCTTCGTCAGATGCAGATTTGTGGCTTTGCTGCGATACTGGCAGGGAAATGGTTGGGCTGTGGGATGTTTTGAGTTTTTGGAACATGCACCGGGGATAGCCCGTGAGAGTCAAGTCATGGAGAGTCTGTTGCTCCATTGCTGGTTGATTGATTCAATTCCGCAGCAAAGCACCGCAGCAGCGGTTCAGCTGGACTCGTAGCTGGCTTTGAACAACGAGCTGGCGACCTGGTAAGGCTCTGAACTATCTGTAGGTCCAGGCTGCCAAGGGATAAGGCCGCTAGGCCTACCTGGGTACAAACATTCAGGTGGGTGCCTTATCTCGCCTCTCACCTCTAGAGTATTATTATATACCTAGGTAGGCAGAGTAGGCAGAGTAGGTTGGGTGTGGGTAGGTGCACCACTCTCTAGAAGGCTTCGGGGAGCATTCAGCAGGCAGAAGGTAACGAACAGCCTATTTGTGTGGATAGGGTGGACGAGTCACCTTGCCCACCGTGTAATTAGTTGTATGTAGTATGTGGCGACCATGCTACGAATATGCTATGTATTTTCTTGCGGTGCACTGCGCCATCAAGCCTGCCGGATCAAGTAATCAACACTTAATTCGTTCAATTCATTTGTGCTTTTCCTTCTATGAAAAGTGCATGTATCAAGCACTTTCGACCGTGTCAAGTCTAGCCGTGCCAATAGGCCCATAGGGGTGATTGTAAGACCCATCCGTACATCCATATCATCGTCAACTCGACAAGTTGGTGGCGGTCATGATGGTGCTACCTTCCTCAATCGATCACTCCCGCTGGCAAGACCGAGATATAATCCAACGGCGCAGGCTCAATACCATCTGCCACACCTACAATCTTCAACATATCTCCCCGCCCCACCGTAACATTATGGAATGTGATTCTTGCGGCAGAGTGGCCCTGCGACAATCGCTGTTAGTTTCCGTGCATCGCAAAAGCCCGTCCCAGAGTAGATAACCGCCAGGGCCGAACGGATCTGCCGCGAGCGAGCCAGAGAGGATCGGCACTTACATCAAGATATATGCTGGGAGCGTGACCTAGCCGGTCTTCGAGGTTACCAACCCACGAACCGATCTGGTGGTTGTTGAGAGATACTGTCCACTTCGACTTGCCGCCCATCATGTCGTAATAGTTCACGGCAAGGTTATAGATGCCGTTGGGGAAGTTGAGCGTCGTTGTTGCTGTTCCAGTTGTGGCGTTTGCCGAAGTCACAATGGCGGTAACATTCGAGGCCGCCTCGAAAGGTGATACCGTATACGGCTCATAACCTTGAAGAGTCATGCTCTCCGCCTCTACACGCCACGGGTGGTTACCGACACGGTTCTGGCTGTCCGCAATGCCCGAGATGTTGTGGTAAAAGTTGGTGATTGCATCGCGCCACACAATGGAGTGACCTGCTTGGTATGTCAAACGGAAGAGAGTCTCGTTATACCGCTCCTCGTCGACTTTGCCCTCTAGACCTTCCCATTGCGTAACAAACGTCTGCGCAGTGTCTGCACCAGCATAATGCGCGTTGTAGAAATGCTGGATGACGGTCTCGCCAGAGTGCAACTGTTGCGTGTAATTAACATGATGGAACCACAGAAGCAGATTGTCCGGTGTGGTCGAGATATTCTCGTACATGGCCGCAACTTCCACAGGGTATTGTCCTGCAAAGCCTGTCCCATTGGACACCGTGCGATCCATCCCAATGGTTTTGTGGTCTGCTCGCGTCCATTGACCCCAAGGGTTGTTGTCTTGAGATTGGGGATTAGGTCCAAAATGCGTATATAGAATGTCGGTCAGAGTTTGAATGCCGAGATTGCCCGTGTAGTTTTCGTACGCTGGCCAGGACGACATGGACATGTTAGTGATGGCAGCCAAGACAGCTGGATCAGAACCAAACGTAAGCCGAATCCAGTCCTGCAAGATATCTTCTGGATCACTGGCAAAATCCCACGCTAAACGCCCATAACCATACAAATTTGACATGGAAAGATGACTTCCCAACCAGGTGTCATTGGTTCCGACATTGACGACAGCGGCTGCGCCGCCGAGAGGTCTGTTAAAGCGCCTCCCGGCGACTATATCGCGCACGAGGGATTTTGTATGGTTCGCTCGCATATCGAAATCCAGGACTGTCTTCCATAGTGGGGGCAGGTAAACCAAGTGACATTGCTGTCCTAAATACTCTTGTGTGACCTCTAGCTCAATCGCCGTGCTCGTATTTCGCAGGTAGGCAAAGAGAGGCGAAGCAGGCTCACGTACTTGGAAATCAATCGGTCCGTATTTGATCTGCACAACGGCATTCTCCGCAAATTTGCCATCGAGACCAGTGAAAAAGTCGACGGCAGCGTTCGCCCGGTCCTCTATCCATACCGATTCATTCAGATTGACACTGTCGTAGACGAAGGCGCGAAACATGAGGATTCCACCGTGAGGCTGTAGAGCGTTGGCGAAAAGATTTGCCCCTTGAGCCAGTGTACGATTGTAGGTGATTGGTCCTGGCTGACCTTCAGAGTTGGCCTTGACCAGGTATCCTGCCATATCAGGAACGCGCTCGTAGAGAGTATCAGTAACGTTAGTCCACCATGTTATGACATCCGGATCTAGTGGGTCGAATGTGCTGAGATTGCCATAGGTCAGGTTAGCCGTTGGGGAGGCAAAGTTTAGTGCGATGCCAACTTGCACCCCGTATGGGCGGAACGTGTCTGCGATTCTTCCGAGCCCTTCCACATTCTCAGGACTCAGGAGAGACGCATTGGCATTGACATTGTTTACAATGATCCCGTTGATGCCTATCGAAGCTAGGAGGCGCCCGTACTCTGAAACTCGATTCAGATTGTTGACAACCGTGCCATTTGTGAAGAAAATCGAACGCCCACCGTATCCTCTTTCGATAGACCCATCCAAATTGTCCCCTACTTTGTGGTTAGCACCGAAGAGTTCTTATATAAGAAGAGACGGAGCTTTTGAAAAAGGCTAGTAGAGGCTCCCAAGGACACTTACATTGATTCACCCATCGAATCGGGGCGTCCGGGTTAGAAGCGTAGGCAACATTGGAGAAGTTGCCTTGTGCAAGCATTAAAAGATATTGGAATGCACCATAGAGAGCACCTCGTTCATTGTGGCCAAGGATTTGAATCGCCGAGCCTGTTGTATTGAGCCAGAAACCGTCGTCCACGAGTCTGGGGATATGTGGAGCGCCACCAAAGGTATTTGCGTATTCTGCTACAGTACCGACGAGGATTGATGACGTGGTGTTGCCGGGCTGGTAACTGACTGGATAGATGACCGTGAGATTATGATCCAGGATGCCTGCAAGGCCTTTCTGCAGCTCCACGGCAGCAATATGCACCGGTCCATTTGCTGTGGCATTCAGAGCAATAATATTTGAAGGTAGACTCTGACTAAACTTGGGAGTCGAAACGGGTGCATAGCGCAGCCAGGCGTTGATGCCCGTCTCGGCAGCGGCAAGGCTGGCGACCACGAGCAGAAATAATGAGCGCATCGTGCTGGACTTGTTGGCGATGTAGCTTGCACACCTATTCATCGGGTATCCTCTAGTTCATATAAACTTACAAGAAAGCAGAATAGCCGGCACTTTAACCCAGCGCCTCCCATTTTGAGCTTGAAGGCTTCCCCATACCCCAGGACCAACGGCTAACCTTGATTTGAGCTTCTCCGCAGAACTACCTGCGTCGTTGATTGGTTGCGTGAAGTCGATCAACCCTGAATATGTCTTGAACAGGGAAATGATAGACTGCTCGGTCCGTTTATGCCGACAAGAACACGCAGGCATTGCTCCCAGGAGGGGTGACATCAAAGCATCGGCTAAACCTCAACCATCGAATTCAGGCTGAAATAGACTGATAGAAAGCGGAGGAAGGAGGACAATGAGAGAAGATACGTCCATCTTGACGGCTTTCTCTCCTTTGCGAGCCGGGAGATAGAGCAGAGAACAAATCCGTGGATAATGGATGAGTTGAGGAGTCAAGTGAAAGTTGAAGCCGTCAGAGTGAGCATTCTCGTAGACGTTGTGTGGGAAGTTGTATACTGCGCCCGGAAAATGACCAGCCACCAATAGGGCGGAGCATGATCACGTCACATGCTCTTTCCTGAGGCTCGCAGCCTCGCAGGATGTGCTTATTGAACCACTCCGTCATCATCGAATGGACTAGATCTACTGAAGGGCGAATGAAACAATAGCTTGACTCGGACAATGGGGATCTTGCATTTTTCAACCCAAGTTTTTCTTCAAGTCGACTGCTACACCGGCTATTTTGGAGTCCGCGAACTCTCGGTGTCGGACGAGGATATAAAAAGACGAAAGACGACAAAGCGGTCTTGCCTTCTTGCAAATGGCGTTGCATCTTACATGGACGTCTTCGGACAATATGGATTTCTTCTGGTTTTCTAAGCCGTAGCGCCTTGGAAAGGAGGTGTTGAAGGCCTTCCATCGTGAAGCAGGCCTTTTTAGCATGCAACCTTCACGAACTCCAGGTAGAGAATGCACCAGCGACTAGATTCCAACCACATCTAGTCCTAGTGACCCATATATCGACCTACGATTCACGGGTCTAGAGGACGCATGTTCTGCGGCACTAACTCGACAATATATCCATCCTGAGATCACGCCGTCAGTCACGTCGACATGTTGGGGCTTGATCAAAGCAGAAGCCGGACTCACTGGATCTTTCACAAACGCAATCTTCTCGAAGACCTTCCTATATTCGTCATGGATCTCGCTCTCGGTACCCTTGACTTCGACACCTATGCCACGCTCGTTCTCCCAATCACTGATCGGAATGCTCTGTCTCGTGCAGACGCCCAAATCCTTCAATACTTCGACGCCGTTCTCCCTCATTCGCTTGAGAGCCTCGGGCACGCTCGGCACGGTGAATCCGAGATGACCAAATCCCAGAGGCCCAGGTTCATTTCCCGTCGAATAGTACCCGGGATCCTGTTTCTCTGAACCATGGACATGATACAGCTCCAATAATCCCAAGGTGTGTTGAAGCTTAGCGGCGGTGTCGGCGCCAAATTTCATCAGATCTGCCCGATGTTCGTCGGTCTGAGGGTATCCGAGGTAATATATCGTGAACGGACCGACATTCATGGTGAAAACGGTTCGCATACCCATGAGGTCGACATAGAAGGGGATGGATTTTGCCGGATCCCGGATGCGCAGCATGAAGTGGTTCAGCTTATAACCGATGGTGGGATGGTTGGGAGGAAGGGGAGGATCACGCTGTTGGTTGTCGAATTGGCCATTGGGCAGGAAAGCGCCATGGGGGAAAGGCGTGGGTTGTTTTTGGTCTGCAGGGGATGCCATGGTGCTTTATCCACAAAGGGTCTCTCGAAGCAGCTGTAGCATATACAGGAGGGCAGATACAGGAGGTGCCACCTGCCGAACCACTTCTTCGTTACGATGGCGATGTCTGTGAGAAGGCAAGAACCGATGAAAGGATATCTGGATGTTAGAGGAAGCTCCTAATCGCACCGATAAGCAGTGAGCACTATTACTATATATGACTTTAACAAGTCTGAATAGCTCGCCCACATTATATGTGCATAGGCGCCCGAATATGTGGTCTTTGTAACTACCGAAATCCACTTTGGACGCTGTGGACGCCATCTTTGGGCCCGGGATAGACCCATTCCGCAACCCCATATTCTGTACCTCGTACTCTGTACTCCATGCTGCTCAAGCTACTCTGGCTTTGCGGGGCGAATCCAGTGGGTTTAAGAGGAAGACCGGGGACAATGCCGGTGGATAGCCTGGTGGTGCTTGTGGGTGAGGTCCTCTATACAGGCAGACCAAGCCAGATGAAACACCCTTCACTCGGAGAAGCTGCTTGGACTTGAAAGAAGACACGCTAATACTTCCTTCACAGTCACGTTTCCCCGGCTGATAAGTTCATTCAGGATGTTCCATCATCTGGAGGCCATTTGCCTTCCTAATATACTCTCACACAACCAGCGCTCATAGTTTCCATCCTATTCGACATCATCTCCATACTCCTATTTAGCGAAACCCACCACTTCCCTCCCCTCGTTCAGCAATGACCCTACTCAAAGTCCCTGCAAACCGAGTGACACGATCGGCGTCAAACTTCGCCGTCTCAATTGCCTGTAGCACATGCTTGATTCCCACTCCCACAACCTCACTGCGTGTAATATCCCGGATTTCCGCTATCGCCCTTGATGCCTCCCCGACTTCGAATGCTTTGGATTCGTCCATGACGAATTCCAGTTCGTCGTAAGTGCGCACGTTGGCGACGGGTACGTCGCTGTTAAAGTGCCGCCAGAAATCCAGCTGTTGCAGGACCGAGCGTTCCGTTGCCGTCACAATTATAAGTAGACTTCGCCCCGGCGGAGGTGCTTTGCGCAATAGCGCCACCAAGGTTTTCAATATGGGGTTGGAAAATCGAGGGCCGATGGGCGTCCACTCGGTGTATTCTTCAATATCGTCCAGGACCACACAAGACATCGGCGATTTGTATGCATCCATGAATACCCTGCTCAGGTATGAGATTTTCTGGGATTCGGACATTTCCAACGTATCCTTGTTGCTGATCAGTTTGATGAACGGGTATCCGCTGTCAATGGCGATCTTGGCTGCAAGGGCCGTCTTCCCGCAACCAGGGGGCCCGTGGAGGCACACCGAGAACAGTGGCGTAGATTTAGGGTTGCGCACCTGTTCCACGAAGAGTTTCCCTTCGTCCAGCACGTCCTTGATATACTGAGAAAAGTGAATGACACCTCCCCGGAGGCAATACGAAAGCTCCTCTTCAGACACGCCAAAGGCCGGTTTCACTTCTTCTAGAGCGTTTTCGAAGTCCGCACGCTTCACTTTCATGTCCGCCACGTCATCTGTGATGCCCGCCATCGTACCCACCTTGATATGTCGCGAAAAGGCAAACGACGTGGCCGATTTGACCAAACCGCCAATCTCGGCACCTGAAAAGTTCTTGGTCTTGTGAGCGAGTTCCAGAAGGTCGACGTCCGGGTCGAGCACCTGGTTGTCGCGCATCTTTTGCGTGTGGATCTTCAGAATTTGCGCGCGGCCATGTTCGTCTGGTAGGGCGATTTCCATATGTAGCTCAAGACGCCCGGGTCGCAGAAGAGCATCATCAATCATATCTTTCCGGTTCGTCATGCCGATCAGGAGGATGTTGTTTAACTGATCTACGCCATCGAGCTTGGAGAGTAGCTGGTTGACCACACTGTCTCCCACACCTGTGCCGCCGGCGGCCCCGCTGCCTCTTTGCTTACAGACAGCATCCAATTCGTCAAAAATGATGATATGAAGGCCGGATTCGTCTCCCTTTTCTTTATATTCCTTTTCCGCATCGGCGAAAAGTTTCCGGATATTTTCTTCCGACTGGCCGACATACTTGTTCAGCACTTCAGGACCATTAATGACTTTTGGTTCTCTCGCATTGAGCATCTTGCCAATTTGTCGTGCAATCAATGTTTTGCCCGTGCCCGGAGGACCGTATAGTAAGATGCCCTTCACGTGCTGGATACCCAGCTTCTCCACAAGCCCAGGAGGGAAGACGCGCGAGGCGAATGCCCTTCGGAAGATGGTAACGAACTCGGCATCCAGACCACCAATGCCCATATCCTCAAATTTAAAGTCGGGAGCAATGATGGAATTGGCTGCAGGCCGACGGGAGGATGCCTTCAGATTTATAGGTGTCTTCCCGTCCTTGAAAAAGTTGATTTGGGTTTGAGGTGTCAAAATACCTCGCGCATGAGGATCAGACGTGGTGGGCGCAGACTTCTCACTCAAGTCTGCCAGTTGTACTGTCTTGACTGTGAGGTTCAGGGGAATGCTTCTGAGGTCCATAAGGAATCGCTGACCCGGGGCGAACATTTGACTGTTAAACAACTGAGGCAAAATTAGTGTTAAACCACCAATGAGGTACTTTTGGGCATACTTTGGTAATCTCTCTGGCTAGATCATCCTGATCGTACGGTGTGTCTGTGGTTTTCCGCGTACTGGCAAAGCCGATTTCGATATCCATCGAGCCAATGTATGCGTGGCTCCCTTGGCTGAATGGGTCATAGACTTCTGCCTGCAGTAGATCTGTCAAGGCTACACCCATCCAAGACCGTTGAGGTTCCGAGAGACCAATACTGCCTCGTGGAAACGCATCGAGAGGTCGAGCTGAGACGACATACACGCCGTTGATAAGCAGGAAGACGTCGGTGCCATCGTAAGAAGGAGGAACGTCCTGCGAGGAAACTGCCACGAGGTTGCGGAACGTATACGAATTGTCCGGGGATTTTGCAGGTTGTAAGGTCATGACAGCACTCGGACCTCTTGTAGGGGCGCCTCGACTGGGACTTTGCCGGTGGCCCATCGGACGTGGAGGCATGTTTCTCGCTGGCAGGCCAGGACTGCCATATCCTGGTCGAGGAGAGTCGTAACCATTCATGTGTGTGTCGTAGCCGCCGCCGCCCCCTGGAGGATAAGAAGGTCGCCCTCCTCGATTCGGGGGTGGTTGCTGGCCATATGGGTCGCGCTGAGGAGGTTGCCCAGAACCAAACAAGTTGTTTCTATTAAGAAAGGACATGGTTGCAGCGAGGGAACGAAGGCAAAGGGGCTTGACAGGACGTCAAAGCTGGATACAGAGGACAGATTCAATTTGGCCACAGGCACCAAAGTCGCAAAGTAACTGCACTTGTTAACAATAGGCACGGCGGCTCCAAGAGTGTTTCATGACCCCAAGGGCCAAAACTGCGCCGCGCCTGAGGCATCGGCGTCGAAGATGACATCCTGGACATCCAACAAACTCCGTGTCCCGAAGTTTTGCCGCCCAGCCCGCAACCTGGTGGCGATGGTGGCGGCAAAGTGATCCCAGCCTTGCAGCCTTGCTCAGCCTTGTCTCGATTTTTCCCCCGCAGTCATTTGTCGCTCAAACATGCACATCTCATTCGAGATTAACATGATTGAACCATGCCTCTCCATCTCCTCAGCAAGAAATCGTGGAACGTCTACTCCCCTGTGAACATCGAGCGTGTGAAGCGTGATGAAGCCAAAGCCCGCCGTCAAGCCACCGAACAAGAAAAGCGCAGCCTCAAGCAGGAGGCTGGTGATCGACTGTCTACTTTACAACAACAGAGTAAGAACCAGAGCAAAAGCCTGAAACGCAAGCTGCCGGGAGAAGATGATACGGATCGCGATATTCGGCTTGCCCTGGAAATTTCACCAGCGTCCACCAACAAAGAGAAGCAAGACTACGGTTCCCTCGTTGATGCGAATGGCCATATCTCCCTAATACCTGTACCCGAGAAACGATCTTGCGTCGATCAAGAAGAAGCAAAAGACCCATACACCGTCTACCTCACCGACGCCATTGGCAAACGAGATCGATCGAAAGACACATGGTATACGTCTATCCAGCCAGAGCGCCAAAAATGGGGTGACGATAACCCCCAGAAACAGGAACGAGAACTCGCACGGCTCAATGCAAACGACCCTCTCGCGGCCATGAAGAGAGGTGTCAAAGCTCTCAGGGAGAATGAGAGACAGAGACAGGAGTGGATGAGGGAGCGCGAAAGGGATCTAGAGGAGGTCGTAGAGATGGGTAAGCAGAGGCGCGACAGAAAACGCAGAAAGAGAGCAGGTCACAATGAAGACGACTCGGAGAGCCTGGAAGAGTTCAATCTAGATGATAGATATGCGAAATCAGAAGTTAATGAGCATCATCGGGATCGAAAGGACGAACATCGTCTTGGGCATTACCATAGGCACCATCATCATCATCGACATAGACGACGGCATCGAGATCACCAAGCTATCGAAGATAACCAGGACCCTCACCAAAGGCATGGACACCATGGAGGAGACGATACCGACAGAGCCAAGGGCAGAGAAACCGACGAAACCTGATGGAGTCAAGACGTTTCAATGCAGAGTTAATACTCGACTTCTGCTACCCAAGTCCTACCGCCAGGTCTGTGTGCCGAATGCTTAAATACTTGCAAGTATTTCAAAGCAGAAGGGGAGCCCGAATATTGAAGAAAGTCATTGGTGTGATGGACGACACTGTGAAGCAGTCTCCCTCTAAGTGGTCATCCCTAGCATCCTCCACATCACCTAGATCACTCAACGTCAGTCGTGTGCGTGGGCAGTTTTATCTGCTGATGGACAGAGAGCGCCCAACAGTCCTTTCCGAAACTCAAATCACAGTAGGGTTCGCATGAATATCCGACTGTCGCTGAGCTGCTCTCACAGCTGATGCACGCCTCAAACATCACGACCATCATGTTCTCGGTGGGATTGAACACCCCAGAGCGTCCAAGTAGAGATGTACTAGCCTCTGCATCCCCTACGGGGCTACAGCGCCTAAGCACAAAGCTCACCCACTGTAAGCACCATCCACACTGCAGGGTTTTTCTTGGTTAATATATCATCGACCCAAGACCAAGGCAACCAACGGTTTTGACGCTGAGACACACCGCGTCCTTAATGAAGAGAAGAGTGTCGAAGGATGCCAAAGTGCTCGTTCTGAATAGAGCTATCTATATCACTGAGATATGGGGAGGAAGCAAGACCAGAATGCGTACCTCAAAATTGTCCTTCAATGCGGCCATGGCTCTGTTGCCCTTGGTAAGTCAATCGAAGAAGCCATATTCAACACCATGTATATGCTCGAAATCCCCAGAGTTCAAGCACATGCCGAAGAGAGAAGCAAGTTTTTTTTTTTGGTGGAGGGGGGGGAAGCTATCCATTCTCTGAATGCCAAGGAAATCCAGGCCTGCAGGGCGATGGATAGGGACTGAGTCATGGAGACCTGGCCATTGGGGATGGAAGAGATCAGGAAGAACACGGTGTGATATTGAAACCCTGTCTTCTATGCGCGTCCTTTTCCCAGATCCTTTCTCAAATGCTCTGGAAACAGACTCAACACCTGCGCAATATGATCCGATGGGGAGTCAAGGTTGCTGTTTGCCGTGGCTGGGCGAGCTTCAGGATCTGCGACTGGCCTTCTCAACGTTCCGCGCCACCTCTCAGCACGTTGGTACAGGTTGTCATAATATATATTGTTCATCATGGTCTCCAAGGCCGACACCAGGGTCTCTTCGATGTTGTCACCTCCCGGACTGGGATTCATTTTCCTTTTTTGTGCCAGTATCCGCTCGAAAACCTCCAAAATATGCTTCAATGCGCTTGGATTGGCGTAATAGCTGAATGTGCCGGCTTCAATCTCTGGGAGGAAGGCCATGCCCATATTGAACAACATCTGGACACTGACCTTGTATAGGCGCGACTCTGTACTGCAACTGCTACAGCGGCGGATGGCCTGGTGCCAGTTCCTGACATATAGCCGTTGCCGCCAGGCATCGGATTCTGTCCACTCCTTTGACGAGAATGATGCAATCGAATCCAACAACAACCCTCTGGCCTGCGTTAGTGACCTGCGTTAGTGAGTGGACGATGGGCATGTCGCATCCCATGTCCTCCACAGCACTGGTTCCCTTAGTCAATGGGTCGTTGGACGGAGAGTCTTCGAGGAGGACAGCGTTCGTGTATGACTCACACAATCGAACTGCCCGCTCGATTGGCACCATCATGTCTAATGTGGATCGACTACGGCTGGCTGGCGACGCCTTGAGCTCCTCCCACAGCCGTGATGCCGCTCTTACGTGGATCTTCGCCACCGAATAATTCCTCTGCATGTTCTCACATATCCAGGCGACCAAGCACGCGACCGTCAGGCACAGCTTGTTGGGCGCCTTTGCGTTGGCCTTTCTTGGGTTTGGCTCCTTCAAAAATCCACGGCCTGGGAGGATTATATTCCAGGCATACTCTCCCGGAGCGAATGCATCTGATTCATGGGGTGAGAATCAATCCGTTCGATAGCAGGGGACAGCAACAGGGCAAGGTTTGTACCTTTTGCAGCTTGGCTTCCCCTCATCGCACTTTAGCCGTCTGTGTCTTTTCACACGAAATAAGCATGCAATAGTCGAGACAGAAATGAGGCTTTTTCACATACTTGCATGTCGTACAGCCGCTCCGCACTTTATGATGAAGCTGTTTCAGACGAGGCTTGCCATTGATAATGCCAGTGGCTGATCTGTTGTCGCCGGCTTCTCGCTGGGCGCCCTTACCGGCGGTATGTATGGCGCTAGATGCCTTGCTCTTGCTTGATTGAAAGTCTAGCACCAACTTCAGAAGGGCCTTACTCCGGTCCACTCACACGGAATGTTGTTCCCATATCAACACCGGAACGTCTGGAGCTTTCGGAAATGCCTCTTCGGTCATCGCCCGAATGAAGTATGTGGCTGGCGATTAGAACTTTCGGAAAGCGCCTTTAACAAGCTCCTGAGACTCAACATAGCACAGTTGTCGGTCGGCATTCGGCTGTCCGCTAGGGCCTAGGAGCAGTTTGTAGGTGAGTGAAGATGGAGACGGGGTAAGATGCTCTTATGGTGACGTCTCTAACATTTGAGGCTCAGACAGCTTGGGGCCGAGCGCCTTGATCAGGGCTCTACCAGAAGCAAGTGCTATGGCCCACGACGTCGATCAGGCCTCCAGCAGACACGGCAGGACTTTGGTACAGGGCAGTACAGGGGCAGAGGAGCCAACAATCGACAACTACTAGTGGTATCGCGGCACAGGCCATGCTGAATCGCCAGGCACAGATTCTCATTCACCCGGCCTTACTAACCCGGGGAGCTCGTATAGGACCCCCCAACACGTTCAAGGTTGTTCGAGCACGCAATCAACCACATCGCGAATCAAGACGCTTGCACCATATGACAGCGCCAATCTATTGCCGCGGCTGAATGACCAAAGCCGGGTTGTGTCCACAAAATGCCGGGAAGAGTCCAATTAGATCCCTACAAGTACAGCTTTGTCTCCATGGAGCAGACAAGCAACGCAGATGATCGTGGGAACATGAACATAAACCAGATCAGCCACACCAACGCGCCGTCAAGCCGTCAAACCACTACTGCGTATCCTCGAACACCAATCGACGACTATATCCATGTCATGATACTACAGCTGCAACCACGTCCAGGACGCGCAGAAGCATCTACATACCTGGTATTCGATTCATTGGTTAAGATGATAGCACCAGAAGATGGGATATATATGTCCATGGTCCTTGGGGGTTTCCAACTTCAGGGCAGCCTTTCAAACCCCCGATCAGCGTCTAAGGCCAGAAACGGCGCAACACACCAGCCTGTTCTGACGGCCTCATTTAGGACGCGCGTACTCTTGTTGCCACGACTCACTTTTCTCCCGGGGGCACCGCTCTAAGCACCATGGTTGATCCCTATGCTCTGATAAATTACACGATAGCACAGAATTATCAGGCCCAATGTACGGATGTAGGCAGGGTAGGTCTTTCACCACAAGGCATCCTTGTCACCAGCTGAAGACTCGAGCTGAAGACATGCTCCGACGGCAAACAAGGGCCTGGTTAGAAATGCTTGTTTTCCAATTGAGTTATGCAATTATATTCTATAACTTATAGCACGCGACCCGATGCAAAATTACAATCGCGGAAATAAAGGAGATGGAAGCCTAGCAGTGCAATCTATACCACTCGTCTGTCCTGTCCTCTCCTGTCCTGCCCTATTATATCCTGCTTTTCTCATGAGAACACGCCAGTATCGATGCTTGTTTCCTTTCCTGTCCTCGCCCAGCTCCACCCTATCATCTTCACAAGAAAAAATAGTGAGGTTGACCGTCCTCATCAAACCGGACGTGCCAGGAAGGTTCAACGTTGTTGTGGTTATTGTTGTTGCCCGCCGGTGACGTCTGGTAGTACTGAGGGCTCGACCTTAGACGACCTCCGGCCCAGCCCTGGCCTGGGCTGTGCCTGATTTGGAGGGGACTGGGCTTCGACGTTGTCCTCGGCAGCCGAGTCTGTTGCATCGCACGCTTCGGTGTCGAAGGCAAGTGCCCGGCCGCGAAGCGTGCCGCGTAGTTGGTGTACCACCAAGAGGCGGTCTGGCGCGGCGAGGTTTCGTTTGAGCCATCATACCCCTCGTCATCGTCGGGGTGGACCATATCCTCGTAGTCTGGGAGAGGACTTTCTTCCTCGTCGTGCTGCTTTTGGACAAAATCCTCGCCGTTATCGTCCCCGTCATCGTCACCGTCCTTGTCGCCATCCTCCTCTCCAAACCCATACCAATCCTCGCATTCGTCCTCAGGAGTGGAGGAGTAGAGTCTCTGTCCCGAAGAATCATAGTGTAGCTCGGTTTCGTGACGTGAGTCGTACCCAGTATTGTCGGGCAATTGCTGGTCAGCTCCCGCTTCCACTTTTATGCCGCTGGTGGTTCTGGCACGCTTAAAGGCGCTAGCCTGCGTCCAGCCCTCATTGCCGACCTCTTGAACGTCCTCATCGACTTGATCCAAGGTTCTCTTTTGTCCCGCTCCCACATTCTCCATACCTGCACGTCCCTTAATATTTAAATCTTTCACTGCAGGGTTTGTTACCTCTCCCCCGGGGTTATTATATTGCACCCTGTTCTGTCCTTGAAGCAGCCGGATCTGCTCTTGTAGTTCCGCAATCTGCCGCCTCTGCTTTTGGTGCTCGTCTAGCAATTCTGCCTCTTTCCTCTGCCAATAGTCCCGTATCCCATCCGGGTCATCTGCCTGCAATAAGAGCTCTTGGTACCAACCAAGCAGGTCCCTCATAGTTGCAATTTCTTCTTCGTACGGGGAGACGATCGTGGAATGGAGATCCCGCTTGATTTTCTCTTGATAGAAGAGCTCCATGTCGTTGAAAATCTCGCGCAGCTTGGCCTGGACGGATGGGGTCTGGTAGAAGAACGGAGGCCCTTCACCACTGGGAGATCGTTGAGAAACCAGAGGGGTGCCAGGATCGGATTTCAGGAAATGGGTCTGAGGCAGGCGTTGATTGGGACTGTGTTTCGGTACCTCTGGAAGAAGCTCAGGATCAAGTTCAGTATCGGCACTTGGAGCCCTGTTGAAATGCTGCTGGTCGTCGCATTCAACCCATCTCGTTGGCGTTGAAGAAAGGGTTAACCCAGGCCCAAGAGTTGGCTTTAACTTGATAAAAGAGGTGCAATCTGCTCTCTCTCTGGCCTGTCTGGTCGAGAACGCAGCAGATCCCTCAACCTCCCAAGTTTGACCCTCTGAGTCCCTAACCCACATGTCAACGACGGCGTGATTGTCGTTGGTTGAGCGTGCGTAGTTTTCCAGTACGACTGTTGGGAGTTTGAATTCGTACCGACCGACACCCGCCTTAATATCGATGAACAATTGTCCTGGGCGTGGGCCTTTTTCTGTGGCAACCTTGAGTTGGGCAGATGAGGATTGAGGGCCATCTTGTGCACCACTGTTCACAGGAGATTGGCCGTCTCTGCTCTGGTAGCCGCCACCCCTACCGTCTTTGTTGCTCCTGTCCCTTTCGTCCTCAGTATTTCTGGCATCGGAGTCACCCCCCGCATCACCCCCAGTAATACCACCGCTCCGAGCCTCCACATGGTCACCATCAAGGCAATCTTCCTGATTTTGGACGGTCCTCTCATACAGAAGCATATAGGGGGTGAAGCCACCTTTGTGGTTGAGAATGTCTGTGAAAGAGATCTTCTTCACCCTTAGCGCATCGTTGAAGACATACCAAATTTCTCCTCGGCGAATGTAACAGACGTAATGGCCTCGGTCTTTGTCACCTTGGTGGTTCACGATGGCCTCGAGCCGGTAAATGGCCGACGTAGTGGCCGGTTCGCCTCGCCTCTCCAGAAAAGGGGTCAGGTCTAGCTCCTCCGGAATGTCTACCTGTGTGGCGTCCTTTCCGTACATCACATTGCCTCTTCTGTCCTTCATCAGCTTGAAGCGTGCGAGCTGCACAAATAGAACCTCGGGCGCGGAGTAGATCTTCTTCCAGTGATTCCTCTTTGCGCCATGTTGATTTTCTGAGTCGGGCCCTAATCCTTGCCGTCGGCAATCACTGCAGAGCCATTCAATATCATTTCTTGAATTCTTCGCAAGGCAGTCTTCCAACCTCACCGGCACATCGCTAATGGGTGTAGCTGCCAACGGAAGCGACAATATATTATCTATAACGAGGGACGAGAAACGGGTTTTGACGTTGCGCCGGGAGCCGCATTGCATGCACCGGACACGCTGCGTTTGCGTGACTCGTAACAGCTCATATATATCTAGGTCATGCAGGTTCGCAACTTTGGTCAAGGTAGCCTCTTCCATTCTATTCTCACGGTCAGCTCAGTCTAGATGTATTGAATGTGCTGAGGTAAGACTTACCTGTGTGCGTATCGGCCCACCCGCTCCTGGATGAAGGATCGGAGCTGGTCAACACTGAGTGTGATCAACCAACCCAGGAACTCGGAAGCACATTGGTCTTCTCTGGCTTCCTTCATTTTCGTCCTGAGCATGTCGCCTGCAAGAGGGATTCTCTCTTGATCGCGCTGGGGATCTGTAACGTAGTCCCAAAAGATTTCTATAGCAGCGTTAACGGTCTTCCGCTTATTGTGACTTTCATCCCAATAGACTCTGCTCAGCTCGAACAATTCACACCACACGTCGGTGTAATCGGTGAGAAACGATGTCTCAGTGTCGTCGTCAATCTGGTTATCCCCGCGTTTTAGGCCAATCAATGCGTCGATCTGAGGTTTGCTGTAAGTTTTGACTCTCAACCCTGCTCCCGTCAGGTTGGGAATGTGCCGATTTTCAATCCAGGACATCAATCTGTTGCTGTGCAGTAACATGACTATGGTGGCATTGCGATAGCAAAGGCGGCCTGGATTCTTGAACCCATTCCCAACATCTGAGCGTATTATTGATCTCGCCGCCACTATGGCCTCCCTTGGCGCCCTCAAAGGCGGGTGGAATTCGAGTCCATCCGACGTGGTCGGACTGGGAATTGGATCAATCCCCATTCCTCGCGCAGGAGGATCTACTGCCGACCCTTGAGCGTCCTCGGCATCGCCCGAATGAGCCGAGTGTTCTTTTTCACAGCCCTTTGCTTTTGACGCTGGCTTGCCTTTCGTTCGGCTATCCCCTGAGGCTTTGGTTTTCGATCTTGTTTCCCTTTTTGCTTTGCGTTTCGGTGGAGTCTTTTGCGCGGCCCCATGTTTGGGATGACTCTTAGCTGGTGTTTTACTTTTTCGCGAATTCTTCGGCGGTGCTTTGCTTCTCGCTTGACCTTGTGCTGCTACAGTCTGAGGTCCATTGCTGGTACAAGCCCGTGATCGTGCTTGGGCTCTTGTCGCCACCATGATGAAGTATAGGCAGCAGGTTTTGGAGAATCGAATTGACAAACACTGAACAAGGGACAGGGGGGAAGAGAGGGTCGGAGAATAAGAATGAAAAGAAGTAAGATGCTGGGACAAAGAACACTGGTGGGAACTGCGCAAGTGAAGTCGAAGCACTGTCTGGCATGTTTGCAGACATGGTTGAATGGGTGCAGCATGGTGAACAATAGGCGCTTCGAGAAAGGAATAGACCCAAAGACCAACAACGGCTGAAAACGGACACGTCGCTGCAACAATGGGGTGAGGATGAATGTAGCATTGCGCTGCGTGCAGAAGAGAAGAACAAAGTTGAACCACAATGAGAGTGTTCCTGGTGTTTTTCATCATATTGAGAGGCGACCGGGAGAGTCAAACAAAATCACGTGACGCTCCGCAAACAACAAACAAGGCTGTGCGCAAACAAACGGACCAGGCTGTTTATGGCATTTGGCTCCTCGAGAAGTTCCGAGACCGGAAAGTTCTGATTTCATAATTATGGAATAAAGACAATCGAGTCGTATCGGTCTTGTCGCTAGAAAACACGTAGATTAGTCTTGTGCGGTTTCTGTCGGTCCCTTTGGTCGAAAGTTTCAAGAGGATATCACAGGCTTCTGGGATTTCCCATTGCCAAAAAAGCGTCTCCAGTCTTCTGAATTGCGATGATTCTCCCCAACTCTGAGAGTTGCAATCCCAGATCCATTGTCCGGTGGAGAGGGTAAGGGTGCGGGTGCATGTGACCCTGCCGCAGGCTTCTCTACTACAAGCTTCTCGGATGGCACCAAGTCCACCGACGGCGCTGTACTCCTTAGTATTACCATATTCTCCAACTTGTTCGTTCGTTGTCCTATTCGTAGACAGAAGAGAATGGCAGCTATCAAGGCGCAAATGCCGAGAATCACGCCAATTGCAATACCAGCTTTGGCGCCATTACCCAGTCTCGCGGAACTAGAGGTTGGGGAAACGGCAGTCTCGGCTGCTGCAGACGCCGTAGATGAGGACATAGCAGCAGGCCCCGTCGCTGATGTTGGGGTTGTCGCTGCTCGTGTAGCGGCCAAAGAGTAGGTCGTGGCGATGCTCTGGGTGCTGATCATTGTGAACCCAGCTGCGGTGGTAGAGTCTGTCCTGTTCTGGGAATCACAGAGCATGAAGTTGCAATAGGTAGGGAACTGGGGAATTTTCATTCCCGCTTGGATTGGCGCAATGGCATACGTGCCATTGGATTGGACTGCAATATACCATCAACGTCTTTTCCCTATCCTGGTCGGGTTGAGCAAGCTTACTCTGGTTTATATTGGCCAAAGCGAACTCATGCGAGCCTGGACTCATCTCACAAAATATCGACAGGTCTACACTCTTCCAAACCGTCCGGTAGCTGACTTGGATCACATCGATATTGTTCAAGGTCAATGGCTCCGTTGGATACAGAAAGGTCGCATGTGGCACCATATCCGTGTTTGTGGTTGTGGCTGCTGCGGTGACTATACTTGAAGAGGTTGTCGATGCGTCGGTGATCTGTATATCGGTTGTGGACGAGGTTAAAATCGCGCTCGCTGTTCCCGGTCCAGCATCGCCGGTGAAGTCAGGACGAGGGTGCATCTGCGGCGCACGCCGGACATGATGCACCAAGTCTTGTTGTAACATTTAGAGGACAGCGACTGGTCAGGAATCGAAATCGCAGTTTGAATTTTCGTGGCCGTTTACCGACATGGTCCCTGATGGATCGACATACACAGGGTTCGCTTGGGAAGAGAGGGGTGTCTCATGTTAATGGCATTCCTGGCTTTTGACAGATTTCCGGCGCCGTCGAGTCAACGACAAAGTTTCAGAAATGGAAAAGGCCAAGTAATTATTGACGCTGCGGAGGAAACGGGAGACACCAGGGCCCAGGAGAGCAAGCCATGATTAGATTCGTCCCGATCTGGAGAGTACGGCTATCGAGGGGCCCAGGGTTCGAGACATTGGTCGGATGGCGCTGAATTTTGGCGAAATTGCAGCCATCTGGCATCAGCAGCTCAACCTCCCAAGTGGAGCTGCCATACAGTCAATCTGGTCGCTAGTCGGCGTGTGGATCTCACCGATATCGAGGTAGAGTCCTCCGTACTCATCAGCAATGACCGGTTGTCATGAGGGCGAGCTGAAAAGCATGAAATCCGAAGAGATGGAAGGGGGAGGGAGGGTGAACTGGAGGAGAGAAGGAAGCGTTCCCACATACCTGATAAGTGGGTACGTAAGTATACCTAGGTAGAACCTTGTACCTAAACGGCGTGACTTAGGCACTTCGGCGCGTACTTAGGCGGTGCTACATGGCCGCCGCCCGCCCGGCCCCCCTCAAAAACCGGGCTCCCCTTTCGGTACCTGCAACATGAATCATTGTGGTCCTTCCATCCTACTCACTCGATACCCAGTACAGTGATTGCGCAACCACCCACGTTTTGCACGAGATGTAACCTCCCCCAGCTGACGCAACAGATAACTCGTACCTCGTATATTTGGTATGTCATACAGTGGCTCGATAGCTGAAATAATGGTAGATTTTGTTGTTCCATGTCACCAACTATAAGTGCGACTCTCTGCATCAACGCCTCGCTGTCCCGGTCTCAAAGGGCTGTCGCCAACTATGCTTAACCCTCCAAAATATCTTTTTCAAAATGCACTACTTCGCCAGCCCTGAGCTGTCGTCCCAATCGTGCCGATGCTCCCTTCTCGATGGAGGCCATCCCCGTCCAGGTTCAGCTTACCAAGGACTTCCGCTGGAACGGTAGGTATATATTTCCTCGCTCGCTCCCTGTTTGTGCCGCCAATACCCGCTCCATAACTGATGAGCATGTCTGTCGAGGTCGGAAGCGAAAACGGTAGCATCAGAGACTGATCCAGTGTCAAGGCATTTCGGTTCATGGGTGGGTCCGTGTCCTGCTCGACTGGCGAGGATATGGAAGGAGCCGACACGTGGTGGGGTGTGCTGGAATCTTTGTTTGCTGGCGTTGACGTTCCATTTCGCCTTGCGGGTGTCGTCGTCCCCGACTCTGACGCATCGACCATGGGCGTCAGTGGTCGCTTGATCAACGACTGTTCGCCTCTCTGTAATTGGGTCAGGAACTTCATATGTGTTTTGGACAGACTCTTTTCGCCGACTTCTGCTCGATAATTCTTGACGGCATGGATCAACTGTGTAGGAGTGAGGCGTTGGAGCTGGACTAGCGTTCCAACGAGAGATTCATGATCCTCGCCCAGCGAACTAAAACACTGCAACCATTGAAGCAATTGGATGATGGGTGCGAGATGCCGCCGTGCGGCGTCAACCGTACTCTCTCCAGTCGATATTGTGGAGCCGTTCTCGTAATGTTCCGGTTGTCGATTATTCGTCCGCGCCCAGTCCTCAATGGCAGACACATTCATTCGAATTTGCATAGCCTTGGTCCTCGAAAGGTACTTCTTTGTAGTCATGACCCGGTTGAATAATTCTGCACCAATCCAATAAAGCAGCTGCGAAAGGATCTGTGATGTGATGACTGAATGAACGTCGTACAGGTCAAGCACAAACAGGGTCGAAGACAGAAGCGAGGTAATGTTGCGTGGAGATGTCTGGGCCCGCCGCTTGGGTGAGGGAGGTCGAAAACGCTTTTCCGGCGCCTCATCCTGCGCTTTCGGCTTGGATTTGAAGACCTTCCATTCTCCTTGGAAAGCAATGTCATCCAGGCCAGGTATCGTTTCATGATCCAACATCGCCATGTCCAGAACCTTGTTCATTCTCCGTTCCGCATCTCGGATGATGAGGATAAAGGTCTCATTGATCAGCTCTGCAAGTTCGAGCTGATACTTGGATGTGGCCTGCACAAGGCCCGCGTCCTTCTTCAGATAATGTAGAAGCAGGGTAGCATTGGAAATCCAGAAAGCGAGCATGGTCATGTCCCATTGGTAGCGTTCGATGACATCGTTAATGAGATCCATGGCTCTGGTAAGAACATCGTCTAGGAGAGAGGCCGTCATGTGATAGTGGGCATATCGGGCCATGAGGAAAATCAGGTTCGCTGGTATAGGCTTCTGCGACGGAGATCGTTGCGGAGTCATATTGGTGATGATAAGGTCAAAGATGGCGTCCAGCTTGTCGGCCTGAAAGACAAACATCTGGTCACCAACGCAACGGTCCCAGATAAACTCTTCCTCGTCGACCTCAAGATCAGTGGGTGACTAGAAAAGTCAGTAAAACACATGCGGCGCCATTTTCGGGTTGGCTTACCTCTGGCTGTTCGTCGAATCCCAGAGTGGACAAATCGACCTCCAGGTTAGCCGCGCTTTCTTGCATTAGCATCCGTCGTTTCATTTCGTTCTCTGCCATCTCTTCTTCGAACCGATCCTGGGAGAAGCCCGAGTTGTAGAAGTCGTCTCCCAAGCTTGACATTCCGAAATGATAGCCATTCTCATGCAGGTAATGAGAAAAGTCGGACCCAGGCTGGACAAAGTCAAGCGCGGTGCCTCCAGAAGAAGATCTGATGTCAGGGTCGGCTCCATGATCAAGCAGCATTTTGGCGATTTGCTTGTGGCGATTTGTCATTGCCCACATCAAGGCGCTCCACTGATTTCGATCTTGTTTGTCGACGATGGCTCCAGCGTTGAGAAGCGCTGCCACAACTTCATGATGTCCCTGGCTCATGTCAGTCTGAGGAACTGCCATGTTATTATGGCTCCACGTACAAAACAGCTAGCATATATCAGCGGCACTGTACCCTCCTCATCTGGCTGATTGACGTCGACATATTGCTTGGCCCTACCTCCAACCAGCTTCTGAATACGGGCGACGTCTCCGTTGCTTGCTGCCATATTAAGGCTCTTCTGTAGAATCTCTTTCTTCTCGCTGTCCGACAGGCTGTCGTCCGTGGCGATGGCATCTTCATCCTGTCCAGGACTACCATCTTCCCGGTGATGCGCCTGAGCTGCCACCATTTCCATTAGGCGCGAGTCACTGTCCTGAATACGGGCAAAGGTTTCTTCGTCATCGTAGGCCGGGGTATCCAGATGCAGATCGAAGGTCAGGGTTCTTGCGGGAGTCGGAGCGGTGATATACTGGGATGAACCTATCCACGGCGAGAACTTGTAAGTATTCGTCTCCACGAAGCACGAGACATTTGTGGGCTTCTTGCCTTGCCATCCATCATACATCTCTGTTTCCTCGCCATAGCTGGGAAAGGAGCGGCGGTCATCTAGGGACGTCGGCAGATCATCTGGAAGCTTGCGAGGGGTCTGTTGAGAGGGAGATTGCGGGAGGAACTGGGCGTCGCTGGGCGTCACTGGGTCACCAGCGTCCATAGTGTAGGCTGCGCAGAAATGCCAGCAGGCGTGATCTCATATCGGGAGGAGGTCTTGTGCTGAAGGACAAGGCTCATCTGGCTTCTGCTGTAGCGGTGTGTTGTTTATAGGCCGATGCCATACTCTATTGGAGACCGAAGCTATCTAAGTATTCAACCTGGGAGGTTCCAAAGGACGGTGGTCTGTCTGCTGTGGTCCATGGTGGGAGGTTCGCCTCTGACCTCTGCCCGCACCGATTGTTATCCCAGTCGGTCGAGTCGCGCTTGTTCCGTGCTTGGCACATGATGCCGCTTTAAGAAGGCCTGTTCACTCTTGAAACCCGTTCTTGTTCTAAATAAAAAAAAAAGGTAAGTGCGAGTGTCTTGACAAGTATAGTGAAAGATGGTTGAGCATCTCTTTGCTTCACCACTTACCTGGAAACATGCCTAGAGGCATTGTTCATGATACTATCATCAACCCGCCGTGAACCGGCGCACCTCTGGCGGTATTAGTCGATAAAGCGACGAGATGTTTGACAACCTGGAAGATGAAGGACAAAACGCGTGAAAAGCCCGTCCTTGGGAACTGGTAGTCCTTGACTGTCAGTCAGCCTTGTCTGAGAAATCCCAATTCCATTGGGAAGATCTCATTAGTATGGGACGCAGACTGTCAATGCAAAGGCAGCAATTCAACCTTCCAATCTCCAGCCTTTGCCACAGCCTCGCCAGCCAAGAATATGAAAGCAAGGTGCGAAGTCAGTTCCTCTGGCAGGTTCAAAAGTAAAATGGTACGCTCATTGTAGATAGACGTCGCCTCAAATCTAATAGCGGATAACTTTTAGATTGCCAATACCGCTTTGTCAGTTATCGTGCTACGGAGTATTTTTCACGGTCCTTTTCAATCCTTACAAGCATGATACCCAATTCCGCCTAGTTAAACTGGCAGCTTACTATCCCCTACAAGGTATTTTTGCCCCTTACCAGCTACCAACACTTTGTGCTCCGTATTGTCAGTCACGAATCTTCGTGGGCAAGATAAACATTTTTACACCATATCCCCCCAGTTTGCATGCTTGACCATGAGGCGCTCGCTGAGTGGCCCCGTCAGTGTTGGCGCTCTCATTTTGGTTCTCTGGATCCTCACGAGCTCATGCTTCGCATCTCTGGGTGACCGACTGCCTGATTTCCGTGAATGTGTACGAGTACGTCCTCATTGGATACCGCGGTCAACCCTTATACTCTTCTGACGGCTACAGGTCTGTATAGAGGAAAATTGTGAATCGGGGCGAGCAAGCATACGTGAGTGTCTTTTATACAGACTTCCTGATCTCTAGCTGAGCGCCAGCCAGCTCTTCACCTCCAATTTCTGCTCTGGGATTGTCCATCCGAATGCGATTATACCTGCCAGCATGTCATCACCGATCGACGACAGGCACGGGATCCACCAATGATTGAACCCGTGGTTCAGTATCATGGGAAATGGCCGTTCTATCGTTTCATGGGTATCCAAGAACCGTTCTCCGTTTTGTTCTCGTTAATGAACTTCCTCGCCCATCGACATGGCATGCAGAGAATTCGTGACTCCATTCCAGCTCGCTATCCGCTACGCCCATATTACTTGGCTTTTGGCTACTTTGGGCTTGCCAGTTGGATATTCAGCATGGTTTTCCATACACGAGACTTCAACATCACGGAGAAGTTGGACTATTTCGCTGCCGGGGCCAGTGTCCTCTATGGACTCTATTACTCCCCAATCCGGGTGTTTCGACTGGATAAGAACGATCCGACGAAACAGAGTATCCTACGGGCATGGACGGTGCTTTGCATCCTCCTCTACGTGGCGCACGTCACCTATCTGACGGCATGGAACTGGGACTATACCTACAACATGGCAGCCAATGTCGTGGTGGGCGTCATCCAAAACCTACTCTGGAGTTGGTTTAGCATCACTCGATATCGCAAGCTACAGAAAACGTGGGCAGCATGGCCTGGTCTAATCGTGGCCTGGGTCATCATGGCCATGAGTTTAGAGCTGTTCGACTTTCCACCCATTGCTGGCATGATAGATGCACACAGTCTTTGGCACCTTGGAACCGTGATACCTACTATCTGGTGGTATAGGTAAGACAGGCAACCTCTCATCTTTTGATAACTGCTGCTGACCTGTCAATGCAGCTTCCTGATCAAAGACGCTCAGGAAGACCTTGCCAGCCAACGACTTAAAGCATGACCACAACATCTAGGCCTCTAGCCCTTCGAAAGCCAAAACCAAGTGCTGGTTAGCGTAGCGAATGACGGCTAGGAGGACACAAGTTTCAAGATTCAAGGGGCCGAATCTGGGGATCCCATGCATACCTGCGGCCGGTGCTGTTGAACTACTGTACCGAGTGTGTATCCCCACCAGTCGGGAGTTTTTCACGCGAGCGGGAGGGGTTTGGAGGGGTAGGGGGTCCATGAGATGCCCTGCAACGGGCGCCGAGGGGCTTTTCATTGTGATCCCCCCACGTCGTTTAGGCATTGCTGGGCGCCTCTGCCGCCTGGTGCTCCTGGACTGGCGACACCTATTGGTCCCTAGAACGCCGAGAAGGTGACTAGTCAGGCACGCGGGGAGTAAGTTCTCATTGTGTAGCTCCTGTGGCTCGGCGCGGCTGGGGGGCTCCGAGGATGCTTAGAGCCCTCAGCCCAGTTAGCGACGTACGGTAAAAACCGTCTTTTGGAGAAAGTCTCTCTTACTTGCATTCGTCCCCGTTTCCTCCTTCTCCGGCGCAGATCTCAATTTCCTCCTCTCCTCTTTGTCTTCCCGACTTTCTTCTCTCTTAATCTTTTACTGAGCGGACAACCTCGTCACATCCCAGAACTACCAGTAGGCAGCAAGTGGGTGTCATCTGTGTACGCCTCGTCGCCGTCATGTCCTACCCAGACCCTCGAGACTCGGTCTTGAACAAGCCAAAGCCAGTCATCCACCTGCCCAAAGATCTTCTAGATCGTATCACCAAAGGTGCTGAGCCGTATCCCATCTTGGCAGAGAGGAAATATGAATATGGCACTGCAGGAGTACGTTTTCCTCTGATTCTTTGTGCTTGGTACTGACATGATTGCTCATTCAGTTCCGTATGAAGGCGTACGTCCTTCTTCAGCCGCACGAAGCTGACACCCACCTGCCACCTGCCCTTGCCCGTAGTTTTCACAACTGACAAAGAGTGGAATTCAGTAATGTTGGTCTGGACCATGTCATCTACACTGTTGGTCTTATCGCTGCTCTTCGTTCCAAGAAGCGCAATGCGACGGTGGGCATCATGATCACGGCGAGCCACAACCCGGCAGAAGACAACGGAGTCAAACTGGTTGATCCGATGGTATGTCATCATTGCTGTGTGAAATGTCGACATGGCGGCTAACAGAAGGACTTTCAGGGTGACATGCTTGAGGTAGAGGATTGCGCCGTTCGCATCGCCCCCTCCACGTGACTGACCATAGAGACAGCAATCATGGGAAACATATGCAACTGTCCTAGCCAACACTCCAAGTGACAAGCTTGGTTTTGAGTATGAGAAATTGCTCAACGAGACCTTGATCAGCAACATCAGCCAGCTCCATGAACGACCGGCGAAGGTGGTGTTTGCCCGCGACACTCGTGCCTCTGGACCGTACCTGGTTACAGCTCTCAAAGCCGCCTTGGACGCCGTCAATGTGGAGTATACCGACCATGGCCTCATGACCACTCCGCAACTGCATTATATTGTCCGTTGCATCAATACCATGAATTCCCCATACGCCTTTGGTGAGCCGACTGAGCAAGGCTACTATGAGAAGATGGCCAAGGCATTCAAAACCGTCATGCACGGCCGCACCATTCAAGGACCCGTCACTGTCGATTGTGCCAATGGCGTAGGAGGACCCAAATTGAAAGAGCTGATCAAATACCTGCCCTCCGCGAAAGAAGGTGGCATTGACATCAAGGTGGTCAACGATGATGTGGTCAAACCAGAAGCCCTCAACTTCGAGGTAGGTCCTGTACACTTACCAAGACCTTTTCACCCCCAGTACTGACTCGCTCAGTGCGGCGCAGACTATGTCAAGACTAAACAGCGTGCTCCACCGAATTCCAACGCGCAGCCCGGGGATCGGTGCTGCTCTCTCGACGGTGATGCTGATCGTGTGGTCTACTACTACACCGACGAGCAGAAGACTTTCCATCTCCTGGATGGTGATCGCATCGCGACTCTCGGGGCCGTCTTTCTTGCAGACATGACTCGTGTTGCCGGGATTGACCAGAAACTGAAGATTGGAATCGTCCAAACTGCCTACGCTAACGGAGCTGCTACTGAATACGTCGAGAAGGTGCTCAAACTTCCGGTTACCATCACGCCTACCGGTGTCAAGCATCTTCATCATGCTGCTGCCCGGTACGACATTGGGGTTTATTTCGAGGCGAACGGACATGGCACAGTCCTCTTTTCGGAGAACGCGATCAAGCTCATCCGAGAATCTGAGCCCAAATCCCCTGGTCAGAAGCATGCTCTTGACTCTCTCCGCGCTTGCATCGACTTGATCAACCAAGCGGTGGGTGATGCTATCTCCGACATGCTGTTCGCTGAAGTTGTGCTTGCTCACAAGTCCTGGACTCTGGAGAATTGGCGCAACACCTACATCGACCTCCCCAACCGTCTAGTCCGTGTCGTGGTCAATGATCGATCCATCTTCAAAGCTGTCGACGCAGAGAGACGACTGGAGTCCCCCAAGGGTGCACAAGACGAGATTGACAAATACTGCCAGATGTACATCAAGGGTCGCGCATTCGCCCGAGCTTCTGGCACAGAGGATGCTGTCCGCGTCTACGCCGAGGCTCATTCGAAGACCGAGGCGGAGAAGCTCGCAAGTCAAGTTGCAGAGGTGGTGAGGAAGTATGGTTCGATGTAAAGGGACATGGGAACGAAAACAGTTATGACAGGGATGATTGCTTGGATTGTCAAGGCACGTCCAGTCTACACGAGCGTTGGAAAAGATGAGATGGCATGGCATGGCATAGCGATCGGCGCAATCTGAGCAGGATGGATGGGCTGACGGATTCCCTAGGCGGACATTTCACGAGGTACGAGATAGCTTGACGCGCGGATACCCAAATACTAAAAAGTGCTGCTGTTTTTCTTGCTGATTAGATGCTGCTGTTGCAGTTGCTGCCTGTTGTGGGATCTAATTGTGCCCTTCCATGGATAATTTACCTAGGTAGGTATACATATCGGCCATTTTTGGACGATATCTCAAAATGGCAAGCGAAGCCATGCTGGCGATGACTAAACAAGGTTCACCCATTCGGCAAAAAGGCGGCCTAGGGAGCCCTTGTAGAAACAACTTACCGGGTACAGCTATCATATGATGCTCTTGTCTCCCCATTATGGACCGGGTGCTTCGGCAGCGTGGCCAACATACCTTGTAGTCAAGATAGACTCTTCCTCAGCCTCCTTCCCTTCCCAGCTTCTGGCGAGTTCTGCAACACCCTACGAGTCTTGACTGACGCTTCTGCCGCCCTTCTGATCTCAACGAAAAGAGATCAAGATGCAGAAAGTGAAGATTCAGAACGCAATCCTCCCAGGCAGAGATCCCCGGTCTCGGTGGGATGTAGACTTTGAAATGAACACCATCAAATGTATACAACCGGCAACGGCTGCAATGCAAGGTTCAACTTCAGATCCCTCACCGCTACTCCTGCCACCGCTGTGCCATCCACATATCCACTTGGACAAGGCATATCTGTTGACATGCAACTCCCAACACCATCCGTCACAGGCCCTATCAGACACGGACGGGACAAACCACCCGGAGTATACCGACCTCACTCCTCAGGATGGTTCTTTCGGTGAAGCCCTCCAATTCACCTCTCTGGCCAAACGACGCTATACATCCGAAGATCTCTATCTTCGCGGCGCCCAGCTCCTGGCCACATCTCTTGCCCAAGGCGTGACCTCGTGCCGTGCCTTTGTCGAACTTGATCATGTTACCAGCCACTCATGCATTGAAGCAGGGCTGCGGCTTAAGGACTGTTTCCAGGGAAAAATGAAGTTGCAACTCTGCGCCTTCGCTCAGGATCCAATCTTCAGTACCGACCACGCCGAAAAGAATCGACAAGTCCTGCTTCGGGCGCTGGAGGAATGTGCTGACGATATCGAGGTTCTTGGTACTACCCCGTACGTCGAGAAGTCAGCTGGGGCGAGTCTACAGAACATCGAGTGGGCGATTGAGACGGCCATCAACCATTCCCTGCATCTGGATTTTCATCTCGACTATAACCTGGACGAGACAAAAAAGGCCGCTATCTGGGACGTGATTCGCCTCTTGAAGGAATTAAACTGGAATAAGCGGGCGAAACCTGGAAAAACAATTGTTCTAGGCCATTGCACACGGTTGACACTCTGCAGCGACGCTGAGATGGAAGAGCTGGGGAAGGAGATTACTGAATCCAAGCTTTCTATCCACTTCGTGGGGCTTCCGACAAGTGATCTATTTATGATGGGCCGCCCTTCCGCAGCTTCTTCGGCTCAGCGGTCAAAGTCTGCAGACCGTCCGCGAGGGACACTGCAGGTCCTAGACATGATCAAAAGGTTTGGCATAAACAGTTGTCTCTCTGTTAATAATGTCGGCAACGCATTTACCCCTTGGGGGACGGGAGATCCATTGGCTCTCGCATCTTTAGGTGTTGGCATCTATCAGGCCGGCACGGACGACGATGCGAACATGTTGTTCGAATGCGTAAGTTCAAGGGCTAGAAAGGCAATCGGTCTTGACACAGCGAGCGCACTCGACAACGACCCGAGCGTCTCTGGGCAGGACCAGCAGGATAGTCATGATTCGACCGAGCTCAAAGAAGGCCGGAGAGGCGAACTCCTACTGATCAAGAACAAAGAGTATGTCTCCTGTCCGGGGCATTTGGGCGTCAAGATTTCCGCTCGCCAGCAAGTCAGCGTGAGAGATGTTGTGTGGGACCCGCCACAAGTCAATCTTCGCCAAGTTCTGAGATGCCGATAAGGACGACGGAGATGATACTGAGCTCAGAAATTGGGAATGACCAAAGCATTCCTAAAAGAAGATTCTCGAATGCCTCTCGACTGGCTCGACGTTCACTGCTTGTCATTTAGATACCACCACTACATCGAAAAAGTGGCACAAAGAAGAAGGATAGAGCTTACCATAATCTCTAACGAAATCTCAGTTCTTTCTTGGTAGGAGACTGAAGTCACTTCCGGAGCTGAGAAGTAATCTAGTCCTTGACCGCGACCCCTACTCCCTTGGAATCTCCTTAATTGAGCCGTCCCTTATAAAGGAGATCCTGCGCCACGACGACGCCCCCGGAGAGTATGGTGCATCCTGCCCGCAGTCGCGCCCACGTCCAACGCGGGCAGTAGCACAGAAAGGGTATGGGGCCAGAGCATGCTAGCTTCGGAGACGGTTCGAATGAGTTTGCAAGGGAACAAGTCCCCGGGCAACATACACCATTCGGCACACGAATTCTCCTGCAAGGGACCGCAATTTTTGGAAGAGTGAAGGTGGCTAAAACAGACAGACATCTGCAGGGGAACACAACTGACAAGACGGGGATACGCGGCGAACTACTGAGTAGACAAAGCGAACAAATCAGCTCGAGGCTTAAAGATTAGGACGGCATAAATGAGTCCCCTGACTTTCACCACAAGAGTGCATCATGTCATCTGGAAACAGACAGTGGGCAGGAGCTTCATGAAGATGACCATCAAAGGGCCGTCTGTAATCAAGGCATCGTTGCAGTGTGCTTCGGCTTTCCCTTTTGAATACGGGAATGATGTACTTTATCTCCCCTTCTGCATTGCTTGGATTTGGATGTCTGGGAATGAGCAGAAACAAGTGGTTCAGACAGGTAGCGGGAGGTTCATTTGCGTGGAGGGGGGATATAGAGCGATGGGCTTGAGTGTCAATTTCCACAAAACGGTGTAATTCTGTATCATTTTCGCTGATTGCGGTAGAATTTTCTCTCTGCCTCTCACACTCGCTCACACACACACTCTCTTCTCTCTATTCCCAAGACATGCCATCCTCGTTTGGTGATGTAGTGAGCTAGTAGGTACTTACTACCCTCTCCGTCGATCAGCTTCCTTCTTGATCCACTCTGCCGCCCCGTCCTTGACCTTGTCGTCCCAGCGACTCAACGCACTGCGACCCTCAGTGATATCGCCGACGGCCCAGGTCATGCGGGCGTTGTCGAGGGCCTCGTCGACGTCCGTGTCGGGGCATATGATGTAGAATTTTCCCTCCTCGATCTTCTTGACGCCGTACTCGGCCACCTGCGAGGGCAGCCACGCGCCGCGCGGTTTCGTCTTGAGCGCCACCTCGTCCGGCACGGGGCCCATGTTGCCGCTCAGCCCCGTAAACGTCCAGCCCGGCACGAGCAGGTGGGCGGAAACGTGGGGCGCATAGATGGACGACGACGACGTGCGCAGGTCGTGCGCCAGCTGCTCGGCCACTGTCTTGACCGCGCTCTTGGATGCGTTGTACGCCGGGTTGCCCGGCGGGTTGGTGATGCCCTGCTTGGAGCCCGTCAAGACGACGGCGCTGGGGCCCGCGGTTGCGAGCACCATGGGCAGGAACGTCGTGAGACCGTGCACCATGCCGAAGAAGTTCACGCCCAGCGTCTTGTGGAAGTAGTCGGCATCTCCCCACGGCTTGGTCGTCCGGATCGCCATGCCCGCATTCAGCATCAGGAGGTCGATGGTCTGGAATTTGCCCACCAGGTCAGCCCGCACCGCGTCCCAGGAGGAGAGGTCTGAGACGTCGATCTCGTACGTGAGCGTCAGGACCTTGTTGTCGATGGCTTTCAGGGCCGAGGAGGCGGCGTCAAGCGAGGAGCGGTTGATGTCCAGCAATGCCACGTGCATGCCGCTGCGCCGGCAGTGCTGCGCAAAAGCGAATCCCACGCCAGATGCGCCGCCGCTGATCAAGGCAAGAGCGCCCGAGCGAAAGATGGACGCCATTTGGTCTTTCCTTTTTCTTCTTCTTTTTCTTCCTTTCCTGTTCGGGAACTTACTGCGGCTGACTTTTAGATGGAGAAGTGGAATGGAGGGACGGCGAGATGCGGCGGCGAAAGAGGGGAGAACAAAGGAGAAGGCGGAGATGCTCCGGTGCGAGAAGCCCATGTCCAATGACGTCGAAGCTACGGAGTTCAACGAGGGGGGGATGATGAGGCCGATGATAACGAGTCGCAGTAGCATACGTGAGTATGTGACTCTGGTGAGTTGGTATGTTCAATTCTTGATATTGGTATACAGATCATGCATGGTTTGGATGTCTGTAAAGGCTCTTTTTGCTGCGTCTTGCACCTGTGGGCCATCTTGCACCCCTCCAAATCCCGCAACGCTAATTCAACTTTTGTTTTTGAAAGGTCGTGGGAATGCTTTTTTCCCTTTCTCCTCTCTGGAACTTTTGCCATTCTTTTTCTGGATTCACAACGACCCGCCTGCCAATGCATTATTTGAGAAATGGCAAAACCAAGGACAAGTAACGACGGGATGGTAGTTGGCTGAATACCCGTCCTCACGTTGGGATCAATCACTGTGACGCTTCGACGGCCTCATTCTCCTTATCCTCGATCTTGGCTTCTTGGAGCTCCTTGCTGACATCGGCAACGGCATCCTTTTCTTGAGCAAGCTCGCCATCCGGGGAGACGGATCCGTTAACGCCTGCATCCTTGGCGGCCACTTTCTTCGCATGGTTGTGACGACCGCTTCGGGCGCCTGTTGAGGAAGTCGCATTCGACGAGTCGAGAGCTTCTTGTTCGAGCTTCTCAATCTCCTTCTTGGCCTTTTCAATGTTCTTGGCGCAAAAAGTCAGCATAGTTGTCATACAGTCTGGCCATTACGACTCTCACCTTTTGTGTCTGCGTGTCCTGATCCTTCTTCCAGGCGGCCAGTTTCTGCTTCAACCTCTCAACTACGCCTGGGACATCCGCTTGGGCACTTGGTGGGTCGACTCCAACTTTGGCCAGCTCCTCAATAATACCAATATTCATGTTGAGTTTGCCGGAATCTGCGGGGCCAGCGGCACCTTTCTTGCCCTTGCCTTTCTTCTTGCCACCACCGCCTACGAAGAAGTCTTCGTCTTCCTTCTTCATCACTTTCATGCCCTTGAAGCCGGACTCGTCTACGGTTCGTTGAGCGGTTGCAGCAAATTGGCCATGACCTTTGTCGCCTTCATCCGTGTGGTAGGTTGGGTCAAAGTGGCGGATCAGCCCTTCAGCCGTGCGGATTTGATCCAGGAAAGCGGGCTCCGATGCTTCCTCGAGCTTCTGTTCAGCAATGCGGCGGCGCTTTTCTTTCTCATACGCCTCGCGTTCAGCCTTTTGTCGTTCTCGCCGTTGCTGGTAGACCATGTCTTCATACTCCTTGTAAGCCTTTCTCTGGGTATAGTAGTCGTCCTTGACCTTCCTGATGGCTGTATATGTCGCCTGCTGCTCTTCGTAGAGGCGATCGCGCTCGGCTTTCAAGGCGTCGTAGTTCTTGTTGGTGTCTTCACGCGCGGCCTTGATTTCGTCGAGTTCTTTCTGGTTGTCTTCAAACTTCTGGGACAGGGCACGGGACTCGGGATTGTCAAAGGATTTCTTGAGTTCGGCATTTTCTGCTTTTTTCTCGTCGATCTTCTTCTGCAAGTCGTCTAGGCCGATAAAGCCCTTCTTTTGGCGACGCAGGGCCGAAATCTCAGCAAGTGCCTTCTTCTCGTCAACCAATTTCATATTGCCCGAATCAACTTGTTTGGTGATGCTATCGATCTTGGCATCAATTTCCTCCGGATTCTTGAAACCGGCACGGGTGCGAGCTTCCTTTTGCTCCGCGAATAACTTCTTGATCAAGGCATCGTTCTGGCCGTACTTTTCCTGTTGCCCTGCTTTGGCCAGCTTGTGTTCCTGCTGCTTCTGGCGGATGGTTTTCTGCTCTTCAACGAGTTCCTTGAAGCGGTCGTTGGCGGGGGTGGATTTTCCGGGGCGGGCGTTGTCGAGCTTGGCTCGGATGGCATTCTGTCAATGATCAGCTAAGGAGTCTCTATTTATAATACTTGACCGAGGGGAGAGACATACGAAGCGGGCTTGGGCAGCCTCATGAGCTTTCTCGGCCTTTGCAAGGTCGTCCTTAAACTTGGCTTCGTCGGGCTTCTCAGGTCGCTTGTGGGCGCCATCGGTGGCAGGAGCAGTCTCAACATCGGCCATGTTTGATGACAGTGGTCGCAGATACCAGAAGATGAGTTACCAGAAGACAGATCGTGGTAGGAATAGCAAGGGTGCAATATATATTCTTCTAATCCATACTAGGAGATGAGAGGTGAAGAAACTCAGTGAGAAACACGTGGGGACCAGAGTCTTTATAAGTGATGAAAAAGTGACAAACAACGGGTAGAAGCAGATGACAAGGCAGCAAAGACGACGATGAGGTTGAAGATGAAGATGAGGGCTCGCTTCGAGTCGCAATTGCGGTTTGCTTCGAGTCGAATCGAGTCGGTGTGGAGTAAAATTATTTTGGGAATTTCGCCTGACATCCTCTTGATCCGCGCGGGCTGTGGATGGCGTTTCGCGGGTCTGTGATCGGCCGAAGAGAATACGGCGAGGACGGAGAACTACTCCCAAGTACCCCGTACCTCGTGGGTCGGTATTGGTCGGTACTCTGGTGTATTTCGTGGGATGTAGTTGTAGTCGACCGGACAGCTCCAGCACATCATCCGCCCAGGTTAGCGAACAAGAATATCTTCCGCCGAATTGCTGTCACCTCGTAGACACCTCATAGATGACTGCCCAGGATCAACCACGCTTCAGCCGAGACCTCGTTGCCGAGGGACCGATCTCCCCCAGACGCCAAGGTAGGTGGATAGCGCTCTCATGTCATTGTGACAACAGGAACAGAGATACCGTTGTGGTCTCCCTCAGACAACCGTCACCATTGCACACCAGACAAATTATGCACAACCTATGCAATGATTGCCTTAACGATAACAATAATAGGGGGAAATCAGTATAAAGAACTAGTTGACTAGTGGTGTCCTTAACTTAAATGGTGGGTGAGAATGCCAAAACTGCACCGAGCTGGACATGGTATGGCTCCCACTCTTTTATCATGCCAGAACATCCTCCACTGGCTGAGCCAGAGGTCTTCGACTGTAGTGCCATCTTCAAGCCACATGCTCCTAACGCCGGCCTAGAACGTGCTCCATCGGCCAGGAAGATTCTCGGATTTGTGTAGAATCTCAAGGTCGGATCGCATCTGGTCTACTCTGGAAGTATGGGACTTCGTGCGTCAAATGGGATTGAGATGTCGAGCTATGCTGGAAGATAATGGATGTGTCAACGTATCGATGGTCGAGGATACTGAAGTCGTAGGTTCGGATGAGGTTCCAATTCGGTACGTTTCCTGGAGCATACATTGGTTCTGATGGCTGCAGATAGGTCTACGCGGTCCAGCTCGACGTCTAGATCGTGGCATGCAGAAACCAGGGACAAAGGAAGGGGTGGATGTGGAGAATGGCAAACTTTTCATTTCCTATCGCGAAGAACGGCGGGGGTTCTGCAATAAATTCGGTGTCTACTGGGATATTGGATATCTTCCGCGCCTCTGTTTGCGTTGCGGTCAAATCATCATGGTTCCCAAGGTAATTTTGCCTACATCATTGCTCTCCATGACTTCTACCACCCCTTTCCATTTCAGGCCGCCCTTCATTCCTACCCCTTGGTTTTCCAAACAGCCTGCTGCTCTCAGCACCGTGTTGTCTTCGGTCAAGCCATCACGACCTACCTCGGTCCACGTTCCGAGTCGACGTCAGCTCGAACGACATTATCAGACCTCAAACACCTCCAAAGGACTCCTCTCTCGCGTTCGAGATGGCGCTCGCACCTCTCTTCCCATTTGCCCATTCCAGCGGACTCTTCACCTCCGACATTCTTGTCTCTCCAGACGGAAATTCGTATTCGGGTCTACGCAGAGGTCTTCAGCGAGATCGTGGTTGAACACGATGCGATGTTGAGCTCGCGAAGGAGAACATTGTGCCAGAATAAGAATGCGCATCTTTATCCGCCTACTAGATTCACCCCTCGTCACCCTCTCGCCATCTGGAGCGTCAACAAGCAAATCAGACTGGAAGCACAACCCATTCCGATCAACTGTCCGATCATCGCTGAGATAGAGTATTGGCAGCCGCGTGAGGCCCCGCACGCGTACACCTGCCTCTTCCCATGCATGCGCGTCGCCGGGTCTGCTTATTGGTCATCGATAGAGGCGTAGCAACAGGAGAGAACAGCCTCCGTTGCTTATGGCGGAGAAACGAATATCCGAACTTACGTTACATAGAGTTTGGGGCAGGACCAGACCGACCACATGTAACCAAGAATTTCGTTGTACACCTCCTTCGCGTGAGCGTCCCTGCGTTCATGGCTCCGCCTTCCCCGGAGGTTCGCTTTGAGCCTAAGTTCCCTGATGCGTTTCTCGAAATGTTCAGAGCAAATGACGCCACTGTCAAGTTCCCAGTCGACCTTGTCATTCACGATAAAGATTTCATTGCCGATGAGGACGAAGATGAGGATGATGACGATGACGAGCATCATCTGGAAGCGATAGGTGCCTTCTACCCAATCTAATTCTTGTGCTCATGTGCCCCCGGACCGCCATCTGGAACGGACAGAGAATCAAGTTGTTTGAGTTTTCCCCACCGTGTTACATACCCTGGTGGGAACTCTGGCGGGAAGATGACCGATCTGGTCGGCTGCCAGGTCAGACAGGGCGTTCGAGTGAAGGAGTCGGCGAGGCGCTTGCCACGCATTTGCAGGGCTGGAGCGAGCCAGGGCACATGCATGGGCGACGACAAACAGAGGTTGGAGGAGCACCGTTGCCGGAATCGAGAGGTTGGCACCAGGCATGCTCCCAAAGTCGAGCTCTCAGATAGAGGCGTCTAAAACGAGTCAGAGAGAACGAGGGGGCTCTCGCAATGACCAGGCTGCAAGGCTGCGGCAAATCCGTTTTCCGTTCCGATCCACAAGGCTCCGAGCCGCTTGTGTCCTCTTCTGCCGAGGATTATCCACAATTTTTTCCACAGCCTGCGACAGCGCATCCATGAAAACAGTGACCACGAAGCCTGCCACCGTGAAATCTGTAACTCTTCTGACAAATTCCTACTGCCTCGCGTCTAGATCCTTCACTATTCACTGGCGCCTGCACAATGGATCTCGATGACAGGCCGAAACTCTCAGTCGAAGCTGAGAAAGAGGTGACTAGGTTATGGCGAACGTGGCGGACAGTGTTAGAGATGCTCGTCGACAGAGTATGCGACCGAGCAATTACAGTGGCTCTAGATTGTCGTGCAGGGTCTAATATATCTTCTAGGGCTACGCAATCGCAGAAAACGAGTTGAAAATCTCGCGCGACGAGTTTCAGCGCAAGTTTGGCGACCCTCAAAGCGGCCATGCGGAGTGAGTTCCAGTCAAATCCTAACACAGGTTGCTCATGATTCTCACACTCGACAGGCGGAGGCTCATGAAACTGCAAGCCGTACCCACCGAAGAGATGATCAAACGCGATACACCCCGGGCCACCAAACTCATCCCCAATCCGCAAACCACAGCCGGCACGATCTGGGTCGAATTCAGCCCGGAAACCACCATCGGCATCAAGCATCTTCGCGCTTTTGCCCAACACCTCGACGCGAACAAGTTCACCACAGGGATCTTCATCACCATTGGCCCGGTGACTGCTGCTGCTTTGCGCGCCTTCGAGCCGCTTGCCGAACGAGGGATCACCGCCGAGTGGTTCCAAGAGCAGGATCTCCTCGTCAACATCACGCGGCATGAACTAGTACCTAAACATGTGCTCCTGAGCGCAGAAGAGAAGAAAGTGTTGCTGGACAGATACCGACTGAAGGAGACGCAGTTGCCCCGCATCCAGTTTAGTGACCCCGTGGCTAAGTATTTGGGCTTGAAGAGAGGCAATGTGGTCAAAATCATCAGAAAAAGTGAGACTGCGGGAAGGTATGCTAGTTACCGGTGGGTGTTCTAGTGTCCAAGGACATTATTTCCAAGCGCGGAGTTTGGCGGCCTTCGGAGAGGGATGCAAAACTGCATTGTGAGGCGTTCGGTTGGGCCGGCATGTGCAGCCAGCGTGAGGGCTGTTATCGCAGAGGGAAAGTGGCAGGTTCAATATCTCCAAGTCGTCCTCGAACAGGGCAGGACCTGGCAAACCCAACCCTTGGATGACAGCAGCTATGCGACTTGTTCTCGAGGTTACATTCGTTGGCGTATTTGCAGCATATCCCAAATCGAGAGTATTGATTCGCAAACCGCAGAACTTCCGATGAACCTTAGCAGCCTGTCTGCCACCCTATTCTCGGTCGGATACATCCTCCTCTGCTCTCAAAGCCCAAAATAAACCTCAGCTGTTCTTCTCGCCTAGCACGCGTTGACCAATCCTGATCAAATCCTGATTTTGTAATGGATCCTTCTCAAATCCATTCACTGCTTGATCCAACATCGCGGCCGAGATGTCCACGACACTTACGCTGGGCACCGAAACCATGAACCAGAGCATAGTCGCTCTCAGCCAGTGCAAGATACTCCCTGGTTGCGTGATCAGTCCTGGTTTCGCGACGGTGGCCTCGATCTCGCCTGCGTGGGAAGATGCGAAGGCCAGGACTTGATTCTCGGTCTCGCCCTAATCGGGCAATGTCAGAGACTTTGATCGGGGTTGTGTGGCGTCAAAAGCTAGGAACTCACTCGCATCAAGCAATATTTGGGCATGAACGTGGGTGTTTTTGTCTGGTCACGTTCTGCAGCCATGCCACTCATGTACAAGAATCGGAACGGCGTGGACTTGGTCCCAGAGCCTCGGGCTTCGAATATTGCTTCGAGACCAGCCATCGTATATTCGTGGCAAACACGATAGACTTCGTCCCACGGGATGCCTGTGGATTTGCCGGGGGTGATTGCGAGGGTCCTAAAATAGACTTTCAGCCTCTAATATCTTTGCGATGCTAATATAGAGAAGAAGTAGCAGACAGACAGAAAACAACGGACCAAATACAAGCATCTGCCCCCTCCAACTGCTTCTTCACATCATCCGGGTACTTCGCGAAATCTTCAAGGACAACGCTCTTCAGCTTGGACGTGTCTGCTTCGGTGCCCAGATTGTCGGGCACCGTAATAGGGCGACGCGCCAAGGCAACCACGGAAGTTATGCTCCGCTCGCTCAGGCTTTGTCGGATCAGTTCTGTCGCAACGAATCCTGTCGCTCCAGATATGATGAGCTTCATGATTAGAGACCGGTCTTGAATACAGGTTTCTCCGGGATCAAGACGCAGTGGTGCATAGCTGTCTAGAAGCAAGGACGGCACGGCGCAGAAGTGTCAACAACGTAGAGTAGGAGCTCGCCAGGTACTCCCTATTTCACACGGCCTCCGCGACGTGGGGAACGGCTTTGGGCGGGTGGCCTTAATAGTTGTGTTAGACTCGCTAGCCTGAGTAGCCTGAGTTCCCTAGGCTTGCCTAGGTTAAGGTGCGGGTATGCAATAAACCCGTTGAGCTTAGCAATGCCACTAGCCTGATAAATACTAATCACTAATGGACTAATTAGCTCACTAAGTCCGCAACAGTCTCCGACCCGGAATGCATAATTTTTTCACATCATAACGAACCACCTGTAATGCTGTTGGTTGTCATTGACTAGCAAGTTTGCTGACGAAGTATCGCAATCGGCCGGTTGTGCATGATACAGCACGCTCAAGATGATCGAGCACTGCCTAGCCTCGCGTGATGATCGCCAATTGCTGACCCAAGGAGCACTTGGTATGAATTTTCGGCAGATGCGTCTCCCAAAGATGAGCATTAACCTTTTAAGCTGGGGGCCCTCTTTGCAGGAGATTTTGACAAAGGTACGATATTGCTCCAGCGGACAAAATCCATTCAGTCGCCCTGTCTATTCTATCTACTTTGTCAGTATTCACTTGGTGACACCCGCTCTCAAACTACCCTTTCTCTAGTCAAAATGTTCAAATGTCAAAGACACAAGAGGCCTTCAAACAAGGAGAAGGAAGCGCAAGGCTTGTACACACTGGTTGGCTCGTCGAGTACTAATGGCGGCAGAGTATAGCCCTACGCAACCTTGTGCAGCCTCGTGCCAATCAGACCAAGAACGCAAGAGCATGATAAATGAGAGAGACGGCAGCATCTCACAAATTCAGTCTTTCTGTGGCAAAGGAAAGACATCATCTAAGCCTTTTATCACAACGATTCCTGTGTCTTTTACCATTGCTCTTTCAACACACATATCTCTGGAGTAGGAATGCTTTCGGCCCTCTTGCTGAACATCTCCTCGTCCGCAAATGCCGAACTTTTCGTCTCTGGCAGGGCTTGTCTACCTTTTAGGATGCATTCGAGGAATTCTCCAGTTATAATTGGGGCTTCGTGCACAGAACGATATGAAATTATACGCTCAAGACCAGCTTCAGCGAGTGTCGAATTTGATACACATAACACCACCTCAACTCGCCACTCTAGGCGTGAGGAGACGAGTTGGGAGGCCACGTATTAGCTCTGCTTGGCAAGATGCTCTTTGCCTTCTAGCTAGGATGCGACGAGGTCTCGTCCCTTTATGGTCTCGCCCGCTAGCGCGTGGCTTCCATCTATTCCCTGGAGTGACTGCATGAGCGCAAGGACTGAAACCTCCAGGCTATGGCCAGCCACGATGAGACCATTACGGGCTCAAACACACCGCTTACGAATGTCAGGGAGACATCCAGCTGGATATCAACCTGGCTCTGGAAGACGAGTTGACGCTAATAGGCCCTTGGGCCGGCCGGGGCATGGTACTGTACGTATCTATCTATCTGCAGGTTTACACCATTCGCCATAATTAGGTACAGCCACCAAACCTGCCGCAAGTCCTCATACGGAGCACGCTGTACATCCACACGACACGACGCGCTTCTGTCGGGAGCTGAGTGCGCTTATGCCTTGGCAGTTTCGATAGTTCGGTTCATGGATTCTCAAACCATGCTTCGATGAAGGCTCCGTATCTTGTCGCTTTTTATTATCTCGTCTACATGGAAGGGGCCGAGTGGACGCCACTCTGAAACCGAGGGTCACAGCTGGCCGCGGAGTATTCTTGTAGTAGGAGGATATTATGTATCTCTTTGAATAGTACAGGCAGACGCGATGTCTGAAGATGGAAGGTACCGCAGGATTTGAGCAACTTCAGACCTGGAGCGGCATATTTAAGATGAGATAGCAATCTAGATTGGGGTATACATATACATGACATATCTATTCCTGACCGGCTCTGTATTCGTTATATATTTCCCACCCATGAGAATGTTAGTGATTCTCCTGAACCCAAGATCAGAACGCCCACAACGACCATCCGTATAGTTTGCAAGGTATGCTGCGGCGAGTTTCGATTTCCCAAACGTTAAACCTTGAGCACCATTGTTATTCTTGTTCCTATTCATTCCCCCCTTTTATCCTTTTCTTTTTTCCCTTTCTTTTCCCCCCTAGTCTCCGACCCGTTTTCGTTTAGGCACCCGTTGATTCTAGGTTTATCCATCCATGCTGTTAAGTGCGATGCTAGAGGAATGCTTCGAGGAGTCTTCTATTCTGCTGTATTGTCGACGGTGGCGGAATGCCATGAACTCGAGACCGAGGGCCAGCACAGCCGAGACTATGCCGACGCCGACGGCAATGCCAGTGTCGTCGCTGAGCACGGCGCCCCTAGTTAGATTGCAGGTCAGCTGGTGTGCCTCATTTGTCAGCTGTAAACTCCTTGACTCACAGAACCGCATTGACCATGCCTGCGTAGATGAGAACACGTCCAAGCCAGAGATGGAAATATGATGGGGTGGTGCGACGGCCGGCCCTCTTGTAGTTGACGTGGTGGATATAGCCCATGACGACCTGAAATGACAATACTGCGACGACGATTATTCCAAGGATTTGATGTGTTTCGCCAAACGCTGCGTATTCGATGCCGGTAATGCTCATGGCAACGGCTACCGCCAGTCCGATGTACGCTCCGACCGTGGCGAAGAGTTGCAGCATCCAGTGCACCTTGAATGCAATCGACCACCTCCACCGCAGGCCGAGGACACCCACTGGGAAGACAATAACGAACGCAACGCCGAGGAGTATCGCGTGTGCATAGACGAGGCCGTGGTAATAGTCAGGCTGACCTTCTGCCGAGACGTTGGACGTGCCTGATATGCTGGGGAGTGTGGTAACTGCGTTCTGTGTCGCAGGCATGTCGACGAAGAATACACCTGCAAAAGAGTGTCAGCAAGTCTCCCGCAATCTTCATTCCAATGTGATTAAACCCACCGTAGTGCGAATGCTGGTCGATCTCTGCGTCGACGGAGTTTGACTGGAGCTGCTCGTTCGGCCCGACCGCCCATATCCATGACTGCTTGGTATCTGTGACTTTGACCTTGTTGAACTTGAGGCCCGAGCTCTGATGCCACTGTATAGTTGCCGTCATCTTTCCGTTTTCGACCTCGGAGCTGAGTACGGTTGCGTTGACACCTGACACGGGCTCGGGTGTGTCGTGGCCACTGTTGAATGAGGATCAGTACTGGCTCTAGCAGTGTGCCGTCTATGTGGTGTGCAGTACGGACCTTGAGGTTCTCACGCTTAGCGTGACCTCTGCAAGGACTTGTCAGTGTCCCGCTGGCACTTGGCTCTAAGGAGAAATGGGAACGAACAGACTTACCATTGTCTTGACCGGAAGGATATATAATGAACATGAGGGAGTCGCGCATACGATCTCCGGTCCCTACCGCAGCCCAGCCATAGGAAACGGGCGCCGAAATCTGCATGTTGAACTCTCCGGCGTCGGCATTGCCGTTGGTGCTCGTGGAAGTGATGGCAAATCCATAATTATCCGATTTCTCATAGAATTGAGCTTGTTTGGCGAGACAAAGGGCTGCGAATGCTGTGTGGTCCTGGGGTCAGCTCGTAAGAAAAATGGACATGTGGAATTGCAGCCACTCACAGAGCAACACCTCGAAATGTGCAACGAGTCCCGCGAACATCTTCATGTTTGCAGGCAGAAAATTCGAATCAGATGTTGTATTCCCAATCACCGCCCTAGGCAATCGAGAGGTTTATGGGTAGAAAAGAGAGCCTGAGTTGCATTCTGACATCAGGTTGGTACTTATACCGAGAAGTGTTGCCCTGCCATGATGATCGAAGCTCCTGCCGAGCAAAGCTTGCGTATGCTGTTCTTGGTCTTGTAGGCGCCTGCATTGAGGCTGAGCGGGTTGGCTGGCTGATATCATACGGGCCAAGCTGTTTGTTTGACCAGATGTCTACCAATGAGGGCGCGTGTATTTGTCAGAGCTGGAAATTATCGCTCTAAGCTGGAATTCGCGCTAAAGGGTTTATTTGTGGCGGAAGGGCGAGGAACATCCATATCAGATGAGAGAATCAGATTAGATGCCGAGCTCAGGTAGTCTGTTCGAAATGTATGTAACAGATGCCAAGGAGGACCAAGTAGGAAGGCGTTCAAATTGGCAACTTTTAAAGTTGAGCTGCGCTAGCCTTTCCCGGAAAAAATGACTTGGCAATTATGTAAGGGATTTTCAGGGTCATTCAGCCTTGTTGCCCGGCAGCACCTTTCAACTTCCTGGCATCCTCGAGCCTCCTGACCCTCATATGGAAGCCAGTCACTCCGTTCTAAATTTGTCACATGCCCTTAGTCTGCCGCGGATGGTGATGCTAGGGTACGGGCCCGATTCTCTCGCGGTAGTCGTGAAATAAGGCGCCGCGGTACTTGGGAAAAGGCCGAGCCGGTCCCGACTGCGCGTTCTCTATCCGGTTCGCCACGGGCCATCATGCTCCGGTTCATGGTTCAAGAGAGCGAGGGGAACTCCTCCTGGGAACAAAACAATGATAATCAGTAGATATACAACGTAGTTGATCGATTGTCAAGCTTTATGCGTCGGCAAGGTAGGTGATTCCTGGAGTTTCAACTTTCAGTAACGATAACCAAACCAAACCTGACAACAATATGAGCAAAGTGGAAGTCCAAAACCCCGAAGACATAAGCAACGCCTTTAAGGCTGCTGTCCAGGATGTTCTTGACTTCAACAACTCTTTTGACTGGCCCAAGGTTCACACGTTTGTGTACCGAGAGATAGACGGGATCAAGATCGATGCAGATGTTTGGGTGCGGGAGACGTCGTCGGACGAGAAGTCCGAGAGCCAGCTAGCCAAGCGGCCAATTGTCCTCTACATTCATGGGGGCGGCTGGATGGCGGGTGGGCGCACTGATTTCCCCAAGCCGATATTGCATGAATTCCTCACAAGGGGATTCGTCTTCGTCTCGATTGATTACCGTCTGATCCCCGAGGTCAATTTCATCACTGGGCAACTAGACGACGTGCGTGTCGTCGAAACGTGGCTTCGCGACAAGCTTCAGTCCTCTTTGGCAGATCGAGGTGTGAACGTGACGGTTAATACCGACGCAATTGTGGTCGCCGGTGGTTCTGCTGGGGCTCATCTGGCATCCTTGACGATGGGTGCTCAAGGGAAAAGCTCAAAGCTCCTGCTTTGGTAACTTGTGGTAATATACTAACGTATTCAAACAGCCCAAGATCTGGAAAAAGAAGCCGCAAGCTCTCCTACTCATGGCTGGACCAACAAACCTCCTCGAGTCCCGCAGACTTGGCCGAGCAATGGCTGGAGGCAAACTCAATCAAGTCATCGAGAATTGCCCCGTGGACCCTACACCAGAATTTATCAAATCAGCCATGTTCGACAGCCCCAGAACCAACACGCAGGCAACAATTAGCGTCGAGGCTTTTATGCAGCCCCGCTCTTTGCTGGGTCTGTCCATCTTCCTGAACGAAGTAATCGCCGATTTTCTCGTTCTAGGTCTGGTTGATGGGAAGTTACCGAAGAAAGGCAGCGCTCCTGAAGACAAAGTAAAATTCCTCAGTAGGTTAAATCAGAGAACCATCATTTTCTCCCGTTTCTTGCATGAAGCAACCCTTGGCACGCTGACATCACGATGTAGGTGCATTCTTCGGCGATCTCAGCGATTGGCCTCCGACATTTCAGATGGTTGGTGACAGCGATGAAGCCTGGGATGCGTCGCAATTGACTTCACTCCACGATAAATTGAGAAAGCACAACATCCCCTCCGGGGTGCTCGTGGTGCCTGAAAAGTCTCATGCATTCGAGAATATGTCCAAGATCGGCGATCAGTTGCATTTGAGGTATATTCAGCCGGCTTGTGAGTTTGTGACGAGATATGCCATGAAGAACAGCGAGGGGAAGTGACAGAAAACGGTCTGTGGGTCAGATAGTTTGAATCCTTGAAGTTTCCCTGAGTTTAATGGATTACATCGAAAAGTATCCAAAAAGGGACTGGGCTACGTGTCAGAAAGATGAAGTACCACTCCATAAACTAAAGGGAAATAGGTTAGAAAATATGCTTCACCTCCCAATTCTGGTCCTCTGAGTCGCTGGAAACACCTGTATGGCTGTTTATGCCGGAATGGAAGCATTTCTAGAATTTCAGCCCCATAGCATAAGTCGCAAAGAAGTTTGTCGCGCTGATGCTGTATCCTCAAGTCCCCAAGGAGTATAGTCCACGTCATATACCCGGAGGCCTGTAACTGGGTAGTCAACGGAGACTAGCCTCATTACTGGAAAGCGTCTTGCCAAGTTCATTTCTTGCGACGAATTTCTCGCCTCGCAGTGAATTTTTTTATGTCTCTTCTATGGTTAAATATATATGAAGTACCTGAATATATTTACTTCGGTTCTTTGGTTATCGTCAGCTTTTCGAATCGGCCCATTAGTGAAACGCTACCAGTGTGTGATCGTCCCCCGCTCCCAGACCTTACATAGTAGTCTCATATGGATTCGCCGTGCTTTCTCAATCTTTGAATTTGTCTCCCGTCCGCTCGAATTTCCGAGCCCCAGGTATAGTACTTTATTTAGCAAGCATAGCGAAAATAAGGATTTTCATGGTCGGTCAGATCAAGGAATGCAGCTTGTTCTTCAGCCAATGTTGACTGCAGGGTATCCGGGGCTCCAGTTGCTTGCACTGCCAGATCACGACGACGGTTGAAGCGCTTGTAGTACAATCTGTAGAGATCATGATCAATCGGTGTGATGTGCACCACACAGTCACGAAGAAACTTACAGAAGCGTTACCATCGCGACCTCTGCTGCAGCCATTGATACCATGAGGATGATCATTCCAGTGGGGTAGCCTTCACTGGCTTCGCTGCCCTTAAACGCAAACGGGCCGGTGATTCCACCAATCGAGGAGACCATGAAAACCATGGCGTTTGCTGTGGTTTTCTTAGTATATCCAGCGACGTTGGACGCCAGAAGACCAAATGTCTGAATCAGAGCACCGTAGAAGAAGACAGTCTAGAATTGTTAGGATTGTGGAACATTGAGAACTAAATTCAAGCCTGAGGGGTGCATACAAGATAGAGGGAAGCTAGAAGGCCTCCTTGATTATCCCTTGGTAACTTCCAGAGTAGGGCATATGCAATGATTGTAGGTATCACAAACCCCATCGCGATTATGATACGTGAGGTTCGAAACTTGTTGGCTAGGGATCTAGTGGGCAGAACGAGTGCGAGTCAGTATTTTTACGTAGATGCGGTAGAATATGAAATTGACTAATGTGTTCGTACCCAGAGACTACCATCAGGATAATAACAATACCAGAGCATGGCATGTAGAGTTGCACCGTTTTAAAATTTGAAAAGCCAAAGCCGCTGAGAACGATTGCCCCAAAACTGATACGAGTTAGCATGATGTCAAAGAATCAGAAGCAAAGCGTACCTGCCAAGCGCAGCTGTGGCAAAGGCAAAGGCAAAACCAGTCACGCATATGAGCCAGAGTTGTGGATCGGTAAAAGCTTCCAGGACCTGATGGGGCTTAAACCTCCGTGTCTGAATCCCAGTTTGATTCTTTTGCAGCCTCCTGACGGCAATGTTTCGTTCTCGTTCGGTCAAAAAGTGAGCTGTCATCGGAGAGTCTGGGAAGAAAATGCCAAAGAAGATGGCATATGCGACAGTCATGGATCCCAAAAGCAAATAGATCCACTTCCAGGGACTTTTTTCGAACTGCCCCTTGATTGAAGCTGCAGCGTAATCAAAAGCTTGACCGACGATCGCTCCGATAGAGGCACCACACATCCAGAGTCCAATGCGAAGAGGTTGTTCCTCTGTTTTCCACCTGTGAGAATTCATTTAGGCCACTTAATCCAATAGAATGGAACATGACTTACCACATTGAACTAATCAGGATGCAGACTGAGAGCCCGACTCCTTGGAAACCATAAAAGAATCTGATCATCATTAGCTAAACAGGCCGAGTATGGGGAAATGGTAACTCGCCTCAGAGCCATGGTTCCCGCAAAGTTGTTCAGAGTGAGAAAGAGGAGCGAAAGAGCTCCAGAGTACGTGACGACTCCTGTCATGTACTTCCCAATCGGAAGTCTCTGGGCAAGCAGGAGAAGAGGATATTGACTCTGCGGAATAGACAGTTAGTTTGCGGCGATCGGAAAAGTCGAATCAGACTACGAAAGACTCACGATGAGACTCCCGAACGTCAATATTGAGTTTGTCCAGGAGTATTTGGTCAGACTGAGGATTACTGGGTTGGTGCTGATGATGGTGTAGAGTTTGAGATCTTGAATCAAGCCGAATATTGCTGCAACTCCATATGCTTGACTATCGCAGGATGTCATGATGTTGGCGAGCACCAGCTGCATGTCCAGTAAGTCATTTGCTGGAGTGAACAGAGGGGCATCTCATTGTCTTACCAATATGATAATACGTATATCGATCTTCCACAATACCTTCCTCTCTTCTTCTTCTGTCCATTCAATAGCACTGTGCTCCTGAACAAAACGATGGGCATCGTCGACTTGCCTGTTGTTTTTGACAGGCTGTTGCGTTTCTTCGTCGTGTTCTACAATAGATGCAGCTATCTTGTCTGCTGAGTCTGCCATTGCGAAAAGGTTTGGTCAATGTGAGCAGAAGTTTCGTTGGCCTGCGGCAAATTTGTAGCCGTTCTGATGGAAGGCAGGAAGAAGGATCTGGTCGGGTAGAGCCACAATTTTCGTGCCGACAGGGTCTCCGGGGCTTTAGATATTCCCCACGGGGTAACAGACAAGATGAGAAGGATGGTGAGATTTGCTTCCGAGAGCTCATATCGCGTGAGACAATGGTAGATGGATGCCGGATCCGGTCCTTGAACCGGCCGGCCCTCGTTTGTCATCTTAAACAGGCCAGAGTCAAAAGGTGGAGTTTAAACTGGGGGTGGTGTTGAAGTCATGGAATTCCGGTTTATGACGACGGCTCCCGCTGGTAAGTTTAGACCCTGCAGTCGGTACCCGACCACTCTATGGAACATTCCAATCTGTTGTGTCGTTGAGGAACTCAGTCAACCAGGCTGTCGGGTCCCAGTGAGATGGATCGTTCGGAAAACCATCTGAGACCATACCTTCCTCGACTCGAGTGAGGTGGATGACCGGCTCCGCATCGGACTCCTGCATCTGCGGATCGGAGTTCAGGTGGCTCTCCATAGTACAATTCTGCGCGCTTCTACCTTGACATTCTCTGCGTTCATGTTGACGTATCTGCGACAACCGCCGTTTCAGAGACCGCGCAAGCTGAGCGGTGCAGTGATTAGGACTGACTGCCAAATCCGCCATCAACTCGGACAATGCATCAACCCGATTCAAGGCGTCCTTGAGTTCAGCATAAACAGGTTTAACATGCTGGTGCACCTGTACGACAAACAATGCCACGAACGCGATCATGACAAAGCCAAAATCACTCATATACCTCAAGGCGTCCTTGCTGACGGGAGAAAGATGCAACGCCCAATCTAGAATTTCGAGAGCGTATTGCACGCAGTGCTTGACAGATTCTCTTTCGCTGCCGCTAAGATTGCCTGTTGACCCTTGAACGAAGCGAAGCGTGTAGCTAGTGATGCAGAACCTTGCATATCGAAAGTGGAAATCCAGGCCAAGTCCGAAGCCTCCTGCGGGAAAGGTCAGACTGGAGGGGGAAAATTAGGGCAAGCTGAGATGTCAAACCTCGAGCTATAAATGCATTCCATTTGTTGCACCAAGCTTGAATCTCCATCTCTGCAACTTCTAACGCAGCAGAAGGAGAGCAGTCCAGGCTTTCGAGGCTTTCAGGAACACACCACCATTCATTTAGGCGGCAGTCTAGGGTACTCGCCTTCCCCAAATAATCAGTACTAGAGGCGCCGCGCGTGATTGAGGCGTTCGTCGTACCTTCTCCCACAGCAAACACAACTCGACCTCTCCGAGGAGCCTGCCTGTCCGAGAAGACTTGTCGATTCCAGCTAAAAGACTTGTGGCGATGCGGATAGAAGCGTCGCCCCGAATGCTTGGAGGGCTGCTATTCAGAATGGCAGTGCTTTGTGTTTGTTCAGTGAGTGAGTCTGCAGGCAATCTGTTTTAAAATTCGGAGACTTACTGATGAGCCATAGTGTACAGCCATAGCCAATAGGTGTACTTTTTATACTCTATTGTTTTATTAATGTCTTTTCTACCAGATACCAAGTCTGTCTTCACACCCTCCACGGATCGATGGCAGCCAATGTTGATTGCATGTCCCTCAACCAATGCCTTCAGAACTGAGGTTGGAACTGGATGATGGGTGGCAGTACCAGCTGGTGACGGTCGCGCGTAAGCGTAGAGTATCATCAAAACGCGAAAATCTTGAAGATTGTCAGCTGAAATGCCAATGGGGTTGGTGCACTTCTCAAGAATAAACTCCGAAACGAGACCTCGGAGCGCATTTGCTGCAGAGATGCCTCCAGCAAGGAAAAAAGAGGTCACATAACAAATGCAGTAGGCTAAATTCGTGTGATTGTCGAGCAATGACTCTGCGTCAAAGTCGTCCTTGCTGAGAACTGGGATGAAGTTCAAAATTCTTTCAAGAAATCTGAGTATGTTAAGGCGTTGCCGAGAAAGCAATGAGGTGCTGTCAGACATACACGTGAATGAACTGTTTGATATCAGTCCTTGAAAAGGGCAGCTGTGTCTTCATTTCCGGCCGGTCATTGCCACTTGACCTCGAGTCCGTGGTATCACCCTCAATTCCTGGAGTACGAACCATGACTTCATTCATGTGGGTGCTGTGTCTACAGGGCTCACTGTTTCCCACGACTGCGGAGACGGGAGATGTTGAATAGATAGAAGGCAGTTCGCCTGCGTCTGATATGGCTCGCTCTTGAGGCAAAAGAGTATGGTGATCGCTTAATTGGTTGTCTCTCGTGGTGATGGAGAATATAAAGCTGGAAGGAAAGCTCGTGGCCGTGTTGAAACCGTCAAAGTTGTCTGTACTTGTCGAAGACGCTTGACGCCTGTAAGCACCATGATGATCGTCGAGTCGAGAAGAGGACAGAACCCGATCATGGTGTTGAACACCCGTTGTCCTTGCCTGATCGTCTTGACGGAATTCGCATACTTGTCCGAGCCTTTCGCAGCGGCGACAAGTTGAAGTGTCGGCGGACATAACACATCGCATCTGAACGGTGTTAGCCATGGAGCGTCTTGCTGTGTCTCGTACTTTATACGATTGCGACTGACCTTAAGGCGTCGACACTTTCTGCATGCTTGAGCGGCTCTTCCAGGTTTCGCGTATCGTAGATGGGGTGTTTCTGGATATTCGGCTGGTGTCGCGCCATAAGGCGGATCTCTGTGCCTCCGCTGGTTACGACTTTCGATGCTGCTATTTCCAGTTTGCTGCGACATGAATGCTATTCGAACCACGATTTAGTTCCAAAGAAGGGGACGCAGAAATTGACCGTCTCTGTGCTCCAAACGAGAAGAACAAAACATTGAGATCTCAGGGCAACGCGCATCCAATGCCTGGGTGCAGATAACCCCGCATCGTCATCAGTTCGCAAGAAATGAGCCTAACCTGCCCTATCGAGTTTCTAGAGCCTCGGCTTCAAGTTATCAATGACTTTTCGTGCGTAAGGCGGGATCGACGAGGTAGCGAAGTCGCAGAGGAGCATCAATGCAGGACAGGAACAATTGTCGAGGCTGGCTGTTAAGGATGCAGGCTCGGTTCAATGAGCCGGCTCCGGTCTATGTTCCGGTCCCGGTTCCGGGGCACGACGGAGCTCCTCTCACAGAGAACTCCTCCAACACCCCCTGCTGCCTCGGTCGTCCAAAAGTCTTAGCTGCACCCACATCAACCCCTAGTCTCAAGAAGGACGCACTAGGATCTTGCAGTCTAGCGTCCGCAGTAAGTCGAGACCTTCGAGGTGCCTTCGGACGGACACAGACATGAGGAAGAGCCCATCAACGAACCGGTATCCAGCCCCAGGCTCGGTTCCGAGTGACCCACGATTGTCCAAAACATGTTCAGCAAACATTCCCTTTCCCGCGATGACCATAAAAGCAAAGTTACCTCACTGAAGGTAGTCTCAACGGACAAAAGACTTTGGTGTTACGACTAATCAAAGTCGGGCGCGTGTCGAAATGGGTGAGGCTGGCCATCGGTTGGAGTCGATTCTCCATCATTTGACTCTTCCTGAGACGATCTCACTACTCTCCGGGAAAGATACGTACGAATCCCACACATCTGAACTCAGCCACAATTCACAATCTGACAAATTACAGATGGCATACAGCGTCCATCCCTCACCGAGGCATCCCGTCTATCCGTGTAAGTGAAGTCGCATTTGTCGACGTTCAAGTTGTATTTGCTAACAACAGATACCATGGACAGGTTTCAGACGGCCCAAGCGGAGTGCGAGGGTAAGAAGGACCGCATCATGCCAAGAATGAGCTAGAGCTCGCGGAAAGGCAGAGGATCTTCTAACTTTTGAACCAGGCGCCGCACCTTTCAAGCTTCACCGACAACATGTTTTCCTTGTCCAATTGCACTAGCTTCAACATGGGACGTCAATCTAGTGAAAGAGATTGGGACCCAAATGGCAGGGCAAGCGAAAGCACAAGGTGTCCAGTACGGATCCGAATCACGTTGACCACGCCCTTGCTGATTGAGTCCCCGTTGCAGCGTGATACTGACTCCTACAATCAACATTCAGCGGTCTCCTCTTGGAGGAAGGAATTTCGAGTCCTTTTCAGAGGACCCGGTGCTCAGTGGCTCTCTAGCCTGCAGCCTTGTCAGTAGCATTCAACATGAAGGTATTGCAACAACAGTGAAGCACTTCGTATGCAATGACCAAGAAAGCCAGCGCACAAAAATCGATGTTATCGTCGAGGAAAGGTTAGAATGCCTTACGCATCCCAATCGTTTCTGCCACTCCCCAATCTGACCTTCTACAGAGCCTTAAGAGAGATCTATCTCAAGCCATTCCAAATAGTGGTAAGGAATGCTCGGCCTTGGGCTATCATGGCGTCATATAATCGCGTGAATGGCCTCCACGTTAGTGAAAACCCTCATCTTCTTGAGAAGGTTCTTAGGAGAGAATGGGGGTGGGATGGGGCTATCGTGTACGTCCAACTTGGCTGGGCCCTTCCTTTTCAATAGACGCGGCTAACATTGCAGATCTGATTGGTTCGCAACCTATTCAACTAGCGAGGCTCTGAACGCCGGTCTCGACCTTGAAATGCCAGGTAAGGCGGAATGGAGAGGTAAACTGGTTATGAGATCGCTGCATGCTGGCAAACTTGAAGCCCCGGTCCTCCAACAAAGAGCACGAAATGTTCTTAACCTCGTCGACAAAACGCGTGCCTCCGGCGTCCCTGAGGACGCTGAAGAGTGGGAGAACAACACCCCTGAAGTGAGAGAAGCAAACAGAAAGGCTGCGACTGAATCAGTTGTGTTGCTGAAAAATGCTGCAAAGCTCCTTCCAATCAGGGCACCTGGCCGCGTCGTGATAATTGGGCCCAACGCCAAGGAAGATCTGTATTGTGGAGGTGGAAGCTCAACGGTATTCCCCTACTACTACATCTCTGCATATGACGGCATTAAAAGGGCTCTGGAACAGCAGAGTCCATCTAGTGAGCTAGCATTTGCTCAAGGTTGTTACAAGCACGCACTGCTTCCGCTTCTGTGCACAGAGTCTGCAGATGGACAGAAGGGACTGGATTTGCAGTTCTTTGATCGTGACTTCACACAAACATCAGATGCTCAAAAAATTGCAGGAACTCGTTCGCTCACCTGGAGGCTTGTTTTTCTGGACAGTTTGCCGAAGGCGGCTCTTCCTTCAGTATATGGTCACTTTAGCGGAGTGTACATAGCGCCAAGCGATGGCGACTTCGAATTTGGCGTTGTTACCACGGGAAAAGCAAAGCTCTACATTGATGGAGTCCTCCTTGTAGACAATTGGACCAAACAGGAAAGAGGAGATCACTTCTTTGGTATGTGCAGGTTTAGCTCGAAGAAACCCATTGAGTGCGACTAACAACTCTAGGACTTGGCACCAAAGAAGTTCGCGGGACGATTAAGTTGACGGCGGGGTGCCAGTACAAGGTCGTCACTGAGTATTCCAATATGAGCAGCCTTTCCGACAGAACTGCGGCTGATCTAGCTGGTGGCATCTTGCGATTAGGGGTGTCCCAAGTTATCAGCCCCGAGGCACTCCTCAATGACGCACTTGAAGCTGCAGCTTTAGCTGATACGGTAATATGCTGCATTGGAACAGATCAGGAACATGAAAGTGAAGGCTGGGATCGGAAGGACATGAAGTAAGATGAAGTGATATACCGCAAAATGGAGCTTCAGCGCTTACCCATCTCAGATTACCTGGATCACAAGATCAACTTGTCAAGGCGGTGTTGGAGGCGAACCCGCGGACCGTAATTGTGAACATCTCCGGCAGTCCAGTGGAGATGCCCTGGATTGATGAGGCTTCTACAGTGGTTCAAGGATGGTTTATGGGGAGTGAACTGGGCAATGCCTTGGGAGATGTTCTCTTTGGCAGAGTCTCTCCCAGTGGCAAGCTCTCCGTAACTTTCCCGCGACGGTTAGAGCAAAACCCATCGTGAGCTCCATTCTCCACGTCCCGATCTGCTGAATCTCACCTATTCATTGGAACAGGTATGGCAACTTCCCGGGTGAAAACGGCCGGGTGAGGTATGCTGAAGGCATAATGGTTGGTTACAGACACTACTCCACCCGACATATACCCACTCTATTTCCTTTCGGCCACGGTCTATCATTCACGGAATTTAAATACAGCGAGCTTTTGTTCGAAGGTGACAACATGCTGCACCCCAATGGAGTCGTGTCGGTGTCTCTCACACTTACGAATATTGGAAACTTTACCAGCCATGAGATTGTTCAACTATATGTGTCTGCCCTCACTTGCTCGACGTTTCGCCCGCTTCTGGAATTGCAAGGCTTTCAAAAAGTTCGGGACGTGCAACCTGGAGAAAGCCGCAAAGTGACATTCAATATCGACAAGTACGCGGTGTCATGTTATGATGAGAGGCAAGACAATTGGATGGCAGAAGCTGGCAAATATCGCGTGTCTGTTGGGGCTTCCGTCGGGGACCTGAGGCTGGCTACTTTCATCCAGGTGCCGGCAACTTTCCACTGGTCAGGATTATAAAGGTGATTGGTTGACAGACATTGTCTACATGATGCTTGGAAAGCCAAAGAAATACTAGTATAGTTGGCGTTCGATGTCGGTAGAACAGCTAAGACACTCTAGGAACCAGGAGACAGCTCCAACAGGGCCAAAGCGAGAGCAACCAGGCTCTCGAGCTCTGTTGTTTCGCCCAAACGGCTATTTCAGATTGTGTCGGAGGGTTCCACAGACTACGACATCAAACCTCTCATGTCCTATGGGGCGGGTGAGCTGGAAATGGTGCTGAAATGGGGAAGACGGATCGCCCCCTTAGCTCAAGGGCAAGGCTTTCATTGTGAATCAGGACTGTTTCTTCACACGACTGTCTAGCGAGCACCCGGACGTACTGCTGGTTGACGGTAATTTCCACGCTCGATGCGGTCTTAAGAAAAGGTTTCGGCCATGTCCCTGCTTTGTGGCGACTTCATACCCAGCGTGGGCAACCCAGAGCCTCTTCACGTTCTCATACAGTACTACTGCGGTCTCTTCTGCTCTCTTGATGATGCCAGTTACGAACCCAACGGTCTCGCAGGCTCTGTGATCCGTCAGCTCCTAGTGGAGCTGGGGGGTCGGGATTGGGACTTCCTTTGCCGGCGGTGTTACATCTAGCGGTTGGAAGGCGACAGCCTCAACGGCCTGTGTGCCACTGTACGCAAGCTACTCGCCCAGTTCGATCCCGACACGACGGTTTACCTCATCATCGGCGGTGTTTTTCTCTTTGAGATCTCCTCGGTATCTTTTGCGGACTTGCAGCATGTGATTGACCTCTTCAAGGTTTTGTCGAGGACGATGAGCTGCGGCCTAAGCTCAAAATGATAATGATGATGATGACTGTGGCCACAAGGAGTTCCTCGAGATTGTGGCAACTTGTCGACTAAGCGTACCGCCTTCAGCTGCAGTTCAGTAGATCCAACCCTCTTGTGCTCTCTGGGCAGTCCGCCGGGGCTGCGATATCGAGGCCTGTGACGCTGTTGTTCGATTTAAGCAAGTCGATCTCAAAGTCAGACTGCATCGAAATGGATGATGTTCATTATGTCGATTTAGAAGGATAAAAGATGGCGACCTACCTCTGAATATCTCTAACCACATTCGCGCGAATGATGACAGTGGCCGGCAATCTTAGATCAGACCTAATGGCTCTTAGCGTTTCTAGGACTTAATCTCCGAAGGACTTAAGTTCACCAAAGACATAAATCCTGAGGATGTATTGTATTACCTCGACGCTCGTACTCCATAGATAGTCAGGAATTAAATCCCGGCAACTCCAGGACGGCGGAGTGGCTTGGCGGCATGCCTAACCCCAGACTCCCACGAGATTTAGATCGAGGATCAGAATTCAGCTGATACAATACATTGCAATATTCTAGCTAGTGTGCTGATACTGAACATATATCCAGTGCAGCTCTATATCGACATGCTTGACAAGGGCTAGAGGCTCCAATCTGCTCTGTACAAACAAACAATGTGAATGCCCTATCAATCGAAATAAAAATTAAACCAGAAGTGCCGCTTCACACCCTCAACAAGTTTGTGCCACCAAGTAATCTCTCGTCAAGGGAGCCATTCAAGGGTTCACGCCCGAAATCGGGCCAGCGAAGCCTGAAACATTGAAGCCAAGGTCGACGTAGTAAAACACGCTGAATTCGACGTTGACGTGTTCGATGAGACCCTTGTCGTTGACATCGAAAATGTTCATCCCCTGAACAGCTTGTGGCGGCATGGGAGCATTGAGATTGCCCGGGTTGGCAAATTTCCAATACCAGAGGATCTGGTTGCAATTGAATGGGACGAGTTGAAGATCGGTGATTCCGAAAATAGGTGGCTGGCTCAATACCACGTTGATGTAGCCGGCCTTGCTGGGGAAGGTGAGGTCTCCCGGCTAGTGTGTCTCTGTCAGTCTCTGAGAATTGCGGGGATGGGAAAACCTACCTTGAGGCCCAGGAACCCATTGATCGAGTCAGACTGCTCGGTGAAATCGGAGGCAAGGATCTTCTGAGCCGTGGCATTAGCTTGTTGGAGCTGGCTGGCGTCCGCATGAGCGAGAAAGAAGGCGTAATCGTGGACGAGCTTTGTGGCCTGATCCTGGGTAACGCATTTTCCAGCGTTGCCACCGCTGCCATATCCGCCGGACCAGTCTGAAGAGGGTGCAGCTGCCGTTACGCAGGCCATAGCGAGAGAAGAGATAATACTGACGGCCTTCATGATGGCGGTATTCAAGTTGTTAGGGTGAACTGAAAAGAACAAAAAGAAGCTGATGGGTAACGAGTGACTGAAGGAAATAAGAGAATGACCTGCAAATGCCTGTAGTGGTCAACTAGTTACCATTGAGACAAAGAAGTGGGAGCGGCTTTTATATATCTTTCCGAGTGATTCATCATCGTCGATATTGCGAGCCAGACAGAGTGGAAGGATCTGAATATTGTTCGCTTCTGCGGCTGTCCCTGAGCATGACTGGCACCACGGTAGACTGCCGGTAAGAGGACTGCAACAGGTTAAATTGCATATTCCTTTGACCTTGTGTCGTGTGTGGAAACGTAAGCTGCAATTCCCATGAATGAATGGTGGTTGTCCACCTCCGGTCAGTATATGAGCACCCCGTCAGCGCTACAGCAGCTATGTGTTAATAATGGTACCTTCAATATAGGGATTCTTTCAGCGGTATTTCTCCGAGGCTTCATGGTACACGAGGAAAATGTGGAGCAGGATCAGCCTATCCCTGTCACTGGTCCTGATTTTGGTTTACTTGAACTGATTTATGGGCAAGAATTGATGGCCCTGCGGATCTTGCCCCTTTTACCAAATAGAGACAAAGTGGCTGCGAAATGCCAAGATGAAGGCAGTTCAACAGTGGCACCGAGCCGAGCAAAGAAGGCCAGGCCGACCAACCTTTAAACACACACAAAAGCAGATCACCGTAGGAACCCATCTTTCTCCCTCTTTATCACAGACGACCATATTTTCGACTCCTCGTCCGAGGTAGATTCGGTCACCTCGCTCGGCCTGTGCAAGAATTCCTTATCACAGTGTTGTTTTTCACTTTTGGATCCCGGATGTCTTGGATGAATACGTGATCTTAGGAGGATTGGTTTCATGATTCGATCGTTGGATCCATTGGCTGCTGAGGAAACCCACTTCCCGAATGGAATTAAGTTCGCTGACACTACCGGCGGTCCCATGACTACTCGAATCTCGAGATTCGTCTTTCAACATGCAAATCGACTAGTGAAAGGAAATCCTCGACGACGCCTGCAGTGGTGGCCATATCTGATATTGCAGATTATGTACATAACAGACTAAGCATCACTGTTTTCGGGGGAAAAAGAAATTCTCGTTACGAATGGAAGTCAAGGAGGCGCGCTGGTGGGAGGTCTAGGGAGGTCGAGGTCTCGAAGGATGGGCTGTCGGACACAGCCCCTGATTTTTGCATCGTGCTCTCTGGCGTGACGATAGGCAGGCCAAGGCGGCATTTCCGCTTATACCAAAAACAGGAAAAGGTGCGCGCCGTTTTAATGACTCTTGGCATTGGATCTCCGCATCTGAAAATTTCCCCACATTACGAAGTACGCTTTGCATGGCTGATTGTATCCCACTCGACAATTCTGGCAAATCGTTTTCTCGTCCATCTAGAGACAATGGGAAAGCGAGGTGGGAAGAAGGTAAAGCGTCTCTCTCTCATCTACACTGTTCGAACAATATTGACGATCAATATAGGGTGGCCGCGGCCGCGGTGGCGGACGAGGTGGAGGACCGCGTCCTCGACCCGACAATCGCGGCAGCAAGCAGGATATCAGTCGCTACAATGACAAATTCGAACAGTACTACAATCAGCTTGGGATAGTCTCAAATGAAGAGAGAGTTGATTTTTGGAAAGCGATGCGAAGGGATCTGCCTAACAGCTTCAGGTTCACCGGATCTAAAGCGTACGTTCATGTCCACGGCCAAGTCTTCCGTGTTTTCTCTACACCTACTGACTCGTCCAGACATGCCTTGGCAGTCCAGCAGCGACTGCGAGACTATTACATCCCAGAGATCACCTCGATCACCTACGAAGGCCAATATGTTGACGCCCCTCGTCCCGTGGAGTGGTACCCCGATCAGTTAGCGTGGTTCATGACTACCCCGAAAAACGTTATCCGTCGATTTAAACCCTTTGCCACGTTTCAAAGATTTCTTGTGGCGGAGACTGACGTTGGAAATATCACGCGGCAAGAGGTGGTTAGCATGATACCACCGTTGGTCATGGATTTGAAACCAGGCATGACGGTGTTGGACCTGTGCGCTGCGCCGGGCAGTAAATCTGCGCAGCTGCTCGAGATGATCCATGCCGGCGAAGAGGAAAGATGTAAACAGGTTGCTTCCAACAATGCAAATGGTTTGGATAGACTGGAGGGCGAAGATTACCAGGACGATGGCCGGGCGACGGGTCTACTGGTCGCCAACGACGTTGACTATAAGAGAGCTCACATGCTGGTTCATCAGATGAAAAGGTTAAGCTCTCCTAACATTGTCGTCACGAACCACGATGCGACCATCTTTCCTTCGATCAAGATCTCGTCACTTCCAACACCCGAAGGAAAGCCAGTGAGCAATCGCTATCTGAAGTTTGACCGCATTCTTGCGGACGTTCCCTGCTCTGGGGACGGCACCGTGAGGAAGAACATGGAGATATGGAAGAATTGGACACCGAGTAACGGTCTGGGTCTCCATGTCACGCAAGTCCGAATTCTAGTTAGAGCCCTGCAAATGCTCAAAGTTGGAGGTCGAGTTGTCTACTCGACATGCAGCATGAATCCAGTTGAAGATGAAGCCGTCCTCGCAGAAGCCATCAACCGATGTGGAGGTCCGCAGCTCGTTCATATCCTGGAAACAAAGGATCTGCTTCCTGGTCTAAAACGCTCGCCCGGCCTCAAGCAATGGAACGTCATGGACAAGTCTGGTCGGATCTGGAAGGACTACGAGTCTGTTCTAAAGCAACAAGCTGAGTTTGGCTATGGAGGACTTGAAAAATTATCCGAGAGCATGTTTCCTCCGAAGGAAAATCTGCCTCTTGACCGAGCTATGCGTGTCTATCCTCACCAGCAAGATACGGGGGCTTTTTTCATCGCAATTCTGGAGAAGAAGTCGGAGATCAAGGCTAAACCGGAGGAGAAGCCCGCCACTGCTGTACAAGGGCCGTCAAAAATTGACGTCGCCGATTCCCCAAGCACGAATATCAAATCTGAGATTTTAGCAATTGGCGGGGTGGAGAAGAAGAATGAGATGGTCCATAGCGACTCGGAATCCCCAATGAAACGGAAACGCGAGGATGGTGAAAATGGAGCCATTAAACCAATCAAACGGATTAAGAGCGAAGATGGACTCAACAATACAACCCCATCCGCGACTATTCAAAATGATCAGCCCTTAGCAGCCCCAGCCCCAGCACCACAACCTCAACGACAACAATATTCAAAAAAGAAAAACCGCGTCCAACCATTCGAAGAACCGTTTAAATATCTCTCCCCCTCCCTCCCCGAACTCAATCGAATCCGCACCTTCTACAATCTTTCACCACAATTCCCCGACGATCGCTACATGGTCCGAAACCCCGAAGGCACACCCACCAAGAATATCTACTACACCAACAAACTCGCCAAGGAAATTCTGCAGGAGAATGAAGGGAAAGGGATAAAGTTTGTACATGCGGGCGTCAAGATGTTCGTGAAACAGGATGCACCGAGCCCGGAAGTGTGTCCGTGGAGGATTCAAACAGACGGGTTAAGGATGTTGGAAACATGGGTTGGGCCCGAGAGGATTGTTAAGTTGAAAAAGAAAGAGACGCTGCGGAGGTTGTTGATCGAGATGTTTCCTAGGTTCAAAGGCGAGGAAGGGGACAAGTTGGGCGAGGTGGGTGAACAGGTGCGAGGGATGGGAATGGGATGTTGCGTGCTTATTGTGGAGCCAAGCGAAACCGATGCCGTCCAAGGAACGGGTACCGGTGGTGATGGAGAAGAAGGCGAAGGGCTGGAGGAGAGAATGGTCCTCCCGTTGTGGAAATCTATTCATTCCCTGAATCTCATGTTGCCCAAGGAAGAGAGGAAGGCAATGCTATTGCGGTTGTTCAATGACGATTCGCCGTTGTTGAACAACAGTAAAGGCTGGCTTGAGGCGCAGAAGCAAGAGACCGTAACCAAGGCAGGTGGCGACAAGGACGGCGAGAAAAATGACGCTGGCGGAGATGGAGAGGCAGAGACGATAGATTTTGTCGACAAGCTCGACGAATTCGTCGACAGGGAGATGCGGGGGAATAGCTCGTCACCTGAAGCCGAACCTGCGCAATCTGAGCCTGTCAACGACATCGACCACATACGTGATCTGGAAATGCAAGACGAGGCGGCCGACGTCGAAAACGCCGGAGTGTCAGATGACGACGAGGAAGACGGCGGAGTGGCGATCTCTAAGAACGAATCATGAATTGAACTACGTCGAGTCCACCAGAGCAAAGGCATCGGAGATGGAGGGAAGAGTTAGCTGCTCCATTACGATGTACAAGAGCATTCGATCACACCTGTGCAATCTAGAGCGTTTAAACGTTTCGATGTGACGAAAAGATGTGTGTGCTAACAATAGATTTTCCATATCCACCTGTCCATATTATATATATCGCGAATGCCAAGTGGCAGAGAGAACAACACCCTCTTCACCTGAGCCTCGCAACAAGTTTCATGAGCGTGTATTTGCGCAGTATCATTGGCCGCCGGTGTAGACGAGACGAGAGGAGACGAGTCAGTCTCTGCCTCACTCTCCATCTCTTACAGGACACCTCCCGTCAACCAGACCCAACCTGACCCATCTAGCCCGACCGAAAGGGCTAGCTAGCCAGCGAGCTAGCTACATCACCGCTGATGAGGTTTTTCGAACGCCGCACTGCAGCTAGCGGCGAGCAGTTTTGCTGCTCATGAGAGCAAGTTCTCAAACGTAGCCTCCAAGCAGGATGGCATGGGTGTTCAGAGGAACTTGCTTGCCATGTTTCTGACTGGACTAGCAATGGACACTAAGTCTGGATAAGGTGAAGGTGTTGTGGTGCATGCGGGATCGGAAACGAACGAGCGAACGTTCGGTCTGTTGAGTCTTTTGCCGCTAGCTATTTATCGAAATCCTTCACTGCACTGACTCTGCAGGCCGAAACACGTTTCACGTCGAGCGATGAGGCGGAGGGGGCCTGGCCCATCAGAGCAGATCGAGTCAGATCGTCTTCTACTCCTCGTAGCCATGCTCAACTTCCTTCAGAGCGCTGGACGGTTCCTGTCGGTATAGATGGCAAGTACAGCTCCGCCGGGTTATGACTGACTGAATGCTTATCATCCAAAGTCTCGTTGATCACTCGAAGTGTGACAACGCCTGGTTTCGGGCCGTCATCCTGGTCAGACTTGAACCCCTGGACAGTCATGGCCGTGGACACGGCGAGCTCTTTTTCTCGTAACCGGAGGACGCTTTCAACCAAGGGTGCCAGGCTTCCCTTGGCGCGCTTCTCCCTGTAAATATTTTTGTAGAACTTTGTCCCGCTGAATAGAGAGAGTTCGGCTGGTGTAACTCCGTTGTAGTCTGTCATCGTTGGGTCGGCGCCAGCTTCTACAAGAACATCGATTATTTCTGGTTGCTTCCGCCACACGGCAGCATGTAGCGCTGTACCGCCATATCTGCCAGCCCGTTCGTCTAGATCAGCGCCCGCTTGCGCAAGACTTCTCACAGTCTCTGCCAAGCCGTAGGATGCAGCATAGTAGAGAGGCCTAGCGATTTCCAGGTCCGTGTTAGGGTGAAGGTAGCCATGCCACGAGTCAAAGAGGACAACTTGGAGCCAGAAGAGAAATTTGGGGTTTGAATGCGTGGTCAATAATCTTCGAATGAGAGGAAGTAACTCAGTCTCCGCGCCCGACATCTGCACATGAAATGGCCAATTCTGAGCCGCATATCGGAGAAGAGGGAACGCTGAGAGTGTCCACATGAAGTCTGCTCTGAACAACGGCCCAGCTGAAAAGTCTTCAAGAAGCAGGTAGCGAATGCAAGCATCCGCTATGGTGCGGTGCGACGCTTGTGCAGGAATATAGAACTCAGAGGCCTGATCGAGTCGCCCAGTGAGATACTCTCGAACGGAGTGATGGGCAATGCGGACTGTCTGTGAAACAGGATTGAAGGCGATCAGACTGCGGCAGATTTCGAGAACATCGCTTGGATCATTGAGTGTCGAGTCCGGATCCAATTCGTCAAAGTCAGGCTCAAGAACCACAGCTTCAGCTAGCTCCGTTAGGGTCAGCGGTGTAGAGGCATGAGCAAGCCACAATAGCGTCCGTGTCGCAAACGAAATATCTTCACGAGCAATACTGTCGAGGATTCGCAAATATGAGTCTTCGATGCCAGGGGGGAGCTGATTGAGCGCTTGCTTCAAAGCAGCATCGGTCCTCAGCCTCGACATTTCGTCTAGTTGGCATTGTACCCAGCGAAACCTGCAAGAAGTCAGCTAAGGGTGTTATCAGCCAAGCTGGATTGTAATGCAAACTATGGCGTACATTCCATGAGAATCTGTTCGCAGGGTTAGCTCGACAAGATCCTTCATCTTCTCGCTCATGCGCCGAAGCCTTGGGTCAGTATGTATTCTCATCTTGATGTATACACTGATATCCTGTTCAGTCGCTTCTTCGGGGACAGGAATGTCTGGGAATCTAACGAGATATCGACGCAAGTGTACCTCCGGTCGACTGCTGATGAAAACACGTAGGGGGTATCTGCCGGATGACACGATTGAAGTCAGAAAGTCGCATACCACGGAGTAATTGGGGGACTCGTCTAGACCGTCAATGAAAATTGTTGCCGAATGCGTACTTTCTAGCAGTAGCTGCAGAAACAACTTCAACTCGGTTAGATTTGGTTGTTTGGGGCTCCCGAGACGACTTGAAGCTCGCCTATAGGTATCAACAAGTTGGTCAGGCAGTTGTGAGAGTTCTGAGCAGAACTGTTTGACAATGGCACCAAAGAAAGTCTCTGATGTCAGACTTTCAATCGTACTTGCATCGTAGTAAAAATAGGCCAATAGGCAGTCCGCCGTTTTTGTGTCCATCAGGTGATGGATGAGGTAGCTTGTGGCTATAGTCTTCCCAGAACCTGCCTGGCCGTGCATCCAGAGCAGAGAAGATCTGGCTTTGGACCAGTCCAGAAATGCAGGATCATTGAGGAGCCAGTTGCATGTGTTGGAGCAATAAAGCTGGTATGCGCGCTCAAATTGGGCTTCATAATGATGCTCGCAGAGCCAGTGGAAGATGTCTCTTCGTTCCTGCTCTGCATTGTTGTATTTAATCTCTGTTAGGGTCTCTGAGACAGTCTCCAGAGTTGCACTCTGGTTCATAAGCGCTTCCCTGTTTTTCCCTTGAGTAACGTTTTCTGCGTAGTGAGCACATTTGGACTTACACTGAAAGCGAGTTTAGAGAGAGGGATATTGAGTTTTTGTGTCTCTCGACGGCTGTGATAAATTCCTGAGTCTCGTTCTTGCGGAGTGGCCAGAGCAGGCGATTGATTGCGCGTTTACCTGGCGATTTGCTTGACGCAGGGGAGAACATGTGCAACTTCGTTGACACGCTTTCTAGCACAAGCTTGCAGTCCTTCAGTGCCGACTCTAGCTGATATTCTGGTATGTCCATTTGGGCAGCCAGTCCCTGTACACCTAATAAGATGCCATTCAGACTGGTGACTTCAGACACCAGTCGCCTTGCTTCATCCGGAGCCTCAGCCACCGCACAGCCATAACAATAGCATTGGCTGATGACGGTGCCGGCCAGGGAAAGAAGACCAGCAACCCCAGTGACAATCGAAAACGGGTCGGTCATTGTGTTGAAGTCCCGACTATGGTCGAAATATACATGATTAAGTTAACGGAGATGCTGACTCAGGGATCATGGGGTCATGCGCTTTTCATACCACCTTTTCACATGTTCCACATGCTAAGTCTGAGGGTGTGCTCGACGATAAGAAGATTTCGATGGACATACGCTGGCCTGAACTTGGCCTGAAGTACCATCCCAAAGTATAAGACAAATTGTAATAAGTACCCAGTATCTGGCAAGGGGAAGGAGAAGAGTGAGGAATGGAAAGGTTCAGCTGATGACCGCCAAGACGCCCCTATGCCAAGGCTACTAGGCTGACGGCCAAGGGCATTTGCACAGCCACTTTAGAGATAAAATACATGGCGCTGATGGTGATACCAGCCTCACCGGCTGGCGTACAGATCTCCAGCATGCTGACTGCCCATAGGTCGATCAAGAGGCAGTTGCATGCGCCTGACTGTCTTTATTCAAAGCACTAGGCAGCTCGCCCGGGGCCAGCTGCCATGCCATATCAACGGCGCCACGGGGCCGTCCTTTGTTGTACAGAAACAGCCCCTGCAGAGCCGCCATGCTTGTCTGGCTGCTTCTCGCAGACCCATGAGGCAAAACCCCTATTTCACGGAGCTTATCAAAGAACTCCAGCCGATATTTTCCATCTGGATCGGCATCGCTGTAGAACCGCGCCCAGAGTTGTTCGATCTGGTACGTCGTAGCCTCTCCAAGACGCACCGTCATGTCAACTCGACCAGGTCGCACAAGTGCTTCATCCAAGCGATCGACGTGATTAGTCGTTAGAAAGATGATACGTTCTTCCGCACTGCCCACGCCATCCAAAGCGTTCAACAGTCCCGAAAAAGTCACATTGGCTCCTTGGTACCCGTCTGCTTCGACTTGACGGCGGTTGGCAAATGCCGCATCGACATCCTCGAGGAGGACAAGTGTGCGTTGGGGAATGACTGTCAAGAGGTGGTTCAATCTGTCGTCTGTAAGACCGCGCTCACTGAGATTGAGCATGGCGATGTCGTAGTTTAAATGGCCAGCGAGGGCCTGAATGAAGGACGATTTTCCCGTTCCCGGTGGACCATAGAGGAGATAGCCTCTCCGGTAAGGGATTCCTCGTTCGTAGTACCATTTGGCTGAAGAGAGAAAGTCCTGGACATCTGCGACAATGCGTTCTTTGACACCCTTATCGAGAATGACGGACTCAAGAGGCCGCTTGCTACGAGGGTGGCCAAATTTATCCCACTTTATGCCCCATGCGGTGTATATGACAGTTTTTCCTTCAACCGACTGGGTAGCGATATCATGAGCCTCTTTGAACAGCGACTCAAAAACGTGTCGTTGAGAATATAGCGCGGTCAGGGTAACGGTTTCCCACGGTTTCCCGTCCATGGAGAACTGCTTTGACTCTCTTTGGCGATTGACCATTATCCATGTATTCCTATAGCGGATCACATGCCTACCCGGACCAGGGATCAAGATAAAATTTGTGTGAATAGCGCCATTGGGCAATTCTCTTTTCTCCGTCTCAATCGCCAGATGGCGCATGCCTGGTGTGAGCCGCTGAAGCAACAACTCTAGAGCACCTGTTTTAGCCTGCAGCGCCTTGTGCGCGAGTCGCCCTCGTTCATGCAATGTCATCCAGTAGAGAAACCAGGGGTAGGAGTCGTCCCGAACACTAATCTCGACATCGACGAGAAGACGGCGTCGCAGGAGGGCAGCTCCATGACGAAGGCCTCTTCGACCGAAGGCGAAGATTGTACCGAGACCAGCAAGTCCAAACCCCTAATAGATTGTTAGAAGCCTCTTTGATGAGCGAATGACAGCTACCTACGGCCGTGAAGAAGGGATTGTTGATTAACTGCGCGACTAGCCCGCCATCTGTAGAGTTACTTGTGCTTGCGAATTGACGCACAAGGTCGGCTTTCTGGGAAGCGGCATCATTCAAGGTCGGGGTCACGAGGGATGTGTTTGAGGCGACCTTGACCAGTTCATTGTCGCTCTGCATTCCCTCTTCAACACAAGCGATGAGGGCACACGAGATCTGTGGAGAGAGAAAACAGTATGTTCATTGCCTGTTGCTGGCGCTGCGCAGTCGGAATGAGATTTTGGCCGGTCCCGACGTCACCAACATTGAACTTCGGCCGACCCGGACTTAAAGCCACTGATTGTTCCTTGCCTGCATTGATGATTCAAACACTATCAGCTCTATGAATCGCAAACTTCAAGGATGGGTCTTGGTTCCTCTAGGCAGCAGGATACCATCCTCGCGCTGGCTCGCTTGATATAGTCCCTCCCTCCCTCCATGCGCTCCTTCTTCCGGCTGCTGTTCAGCAAGCGCACACCTTCCAAAGCCCCTACTTCGACACATCCACCTCCCTTCCGCACCATGATGTCCTCCTCCACGGTGGCTCTGCTGTATGCAGCCACTATCGCCATTCCCTCCACGGCGTCGCCAAAACCTGATGACGAGATTACAAAGACCAAAGCATGGCACGTCAAGAGTGGCGGTTTTGACAATCCATGGCCATCATGGCAGATGCACTCTCTGCCAACGCTGCTCTGGGGTCTTATACACAGGAGATTGACTGGCAAGGCGAACAAACCTAACACGACTCCTCCGACTGTTCCTGTTCACCCCCCGACTTTCCTTCCTTCGCGCACAGCAAAGTCCCCCAACTCTCTTAGAGCAACGTGGCTCGGACACGCCTGCTTCTACGTCGAATTTCCGTCCGGCCTGCGCGTCCTGTTCGACCCAGTCTTTACGGATCGCTGTTCGCCCTTTTCTTGGTTGGGTCCTAAGAGATACACCGAGATGCCCTGTAGAATACAAGATATCCCACTCATTGACGCCGTTGTCATCTCGCACAACCACTACGATCACCTCTCGCATCCTACAATCTTGGAGATAGCAAAACACCATCCAGAATGCCACTTTTTCGTCCCTTTAGGAAACAAGAAATGGTTCTCGGCAAGCGGTATCGAGAAATGTACTGAATTGGACTGGTGGGACGAAGTAGATTTCACATTGACGCCCGTATCTTCAATATCCATGGAGACAAAGAGCGCAAGCGTATCCTTCACCGACGAGCCAAGTCCGCCCGAATCCGCGGACACGATAACAGCCCGCATCTCCTGCCTGCCGTGTCAACACATTTCCGCCCGCTCAATCCACGACCGCGCTGCCACCCTCTGGGCCTCGTGGTCCGTATCCTCGGGCTCTAAATCGGTTTATTTTGGCGGCGACACCGGCTATCGCTCCGTCCCCAAGTCCTCCGATGGAAAAGACGACTGGTCACAGGAATATTCAGAGTTACCTCACTGCCCGGCATTCGCAGATATAGGTCGTTTAAGAGGACCATTTGATTTGGGACTGATTCCAATAGGGGCATATATGCCACGGTGGATCATGAGTCCCATGCACGCCAATCCGCGTGATGCGGTGGAGATATTTAGGGATATAAAATGCAAGAGGGCGTTGGGCATACACTGGGGCACATGGGTCCTGACCGAGGAGGATGTCCTAGAACCACCTAGGCTGTTGAAGGAAGCATTGAAACACCATAATATGGAAGAGACGGGTTTATTTGATGTTTGCGACATTGGTGAGAGCAGGGAGTTTTGAGATCTGATCGGCGGGATACAAGGCATGCAAGCATTGCATTTCTGTCAGACAAATGCAGTTGTAGAGGAGGTACTGACTGGCGTTGTCTTTTGAGATGTGTGGATTTGGCTGTACGGGTGTGGAACGGCGTGCGGAGGTGGGACATTATCCTGGCGAGGACAACAAGGCTGCCCGGGGGAGAAACATTGTATGAATACCAGGACTCTATCATGTGGTTCTTGCGAAGAAAGGAACTTCAATTCTCCATTAGTCTTTTCTCAAGTTCAGAGCGATTGCAAATTTTTCTTCTTGCTCAGCTACAGACAATCACACAGACTAATAGTACAGGATATCATTGAACGCTGACTCTCTCGCAAAGCGTTGAAGAGTTGGACGGGCAACGTAAATCTCAACACCATTCGCGCCACAGCAACCCGAGTTGTAGCTAGTAGAACATAGGAAATGTTTTCCGGCAGTCTTGGTGGTACAGGATCGTCGGTCTGGCAATAGTGACACACTCCGATTTCTATTTCCCGTTTCTTCCCCTGCGATATCCCCCCTTCCTTCCTTCCTTTCCTTCTTCTGGTGTGTGCGCGAACAGGAACATATTCTCCTCCATTTCCACTCGCTCGGGAGGATGTTGTAGGAAATATGAGCCGTCGTATCAAAATAGAGAAACTGTAGTAGAGGACTGCTCATTCGGGGGTTTTCGTTCATTTGGCTCGGCCCTTAGCAATCTTCTTGGCTCTGCCGGTTTTGCCTTTGGTGCCTTTGGTCGTCTTTCCCTTGGTTTCTTCTGCATGCTCCGCTGCTTCTGCTTGGCCTTCACCGATATCGCCTTCTTCCATGTTGGTATCCGCCGCTACCATAGTTGTTCGACCAGCATTCAGATCATCTTGACGAAGAGCACCGATGTAGCCTTCTGGGATCGCAGCGGGGGTGTTTTTAGCGTGGGCCTCATCCTTTGTCTCGACATCTCCATCGGGTTTTGTCTGAGCTTTGATCGGAGGGTGGTCCGCATCTTCATCTGCATCCTGAGGCTCTTCGCGCTGAGTAGCTTTTCCTTTGCGACCAGGTCTAGTTCGTTCACGTTTGGCGGTGACTTGGCTTTTTTGGACGGGAGCCTCGACGCCATCGTCGCTCTGTTGAATTTGTGGCTTGACACCATCATCTTCATCGACATCCCGAGATGCTTTGTTCATCTTTCGGTGTCTCTCTCGCTTGACCGGTTCCACCGGTTCCTCCTCCCCTTCCTTAGCGTTTACCTTCTTGGTGCGTGACCTCTTGGCCGGTTGCTGAGCTTCTTCTTCTGCTTCACTCTCTTCCTCCTTCACAGCGACTTTGCGTTTCCTTCCTCCGGCCTGCTTTGGAGGCGCCGACTCGTTAGGCTGGCCGTCTTCATCTTCATCTTTGATTCTGCGACGTGCCGCTTTCTTCTTGGCTGCCGGCGATACTGGCATGTCTTCTTCATCCTCTGATTCAACCTTGGGTTTCTTGCCTCGTCCTCGCTTCGCTTTGGACTTTGAGCGAGTCTGCTCATTTTCTGCAGCAACGCCCTCGTCATCCTCAACTTCCTTCTTCTTCGGAGTGCGTCTGTTGATGCCTTTCATTCCTGGACGGTTATATTCGGGTTCCTAGATTGAAGCTGTCAGTGAAAGCGGCAATGCATAATTGGGCGACCTGGCTGCTTACGCCGTTCCAGTCTTCATCGGCGACATGGCCATGCTCCAATGCAAACTTGATCTTTTCACGCGATTCGTCGTCAATCTCGTCGTAGCCATCGATAATGCGATCAAGGTCGGCATCGAGATCGTCTAAATCCTCAAGCGGGCCGACTTGATCTTGGAGCTTCTTGATTTGAGCAGGCGTGACGCATCCCCTGGGTTACAATAATGAGACATGAACGACGTTGAAGTACGTAGGTAAAGCTTACCAATGCTTCCACATCCATGATGTGTGTTCATGGATAGTCACGAGAGTCCCCATCCTAAATTCGCCCTTTTGAATCTTAACTCCCGCTTTCTTGCATGCCGTGTTTTGACAACCTGCACGCCCGGTTTTGGCCATTTCTGCCCTTATGTCAGTAGCCTAGTGACATCGCATTAAGAAAGCTGAGGAAGAGCAAAAAGTTCCAGGGGGTGGCTAATTCGGCTTGAGCTGGCAGCTATTGCCAACACAATTCCATGCTAGCTCGACGCTGCCGGAGGTTGTGAGCAGATATATTGAACTCACCGAAGCGATATGTTGTGTCTGATGCCATAGTGATCCGGAGGAGTTGACGAAAATGTGAAATGGTGGAAGTGCGAAGACACCTAGGTAGATAGGATGGACGAGAACGAAAGGTAAGACGCTGAAGCCGCCGGACTCGAGATCATCTAGGGGAAAGGAACAATACCACAGGAAACGTGGAAAGAGGAATGAAGTTGGTTTCATATGACGATAGTTTGCAGGTGTCGAAGTGGGGAGCAGGAAACAGACAATTGTGTAAGTAAAGTTACGAAGGTTCCTGTCCGCTAGTAGCCAAGTCAGAGACCGTATTTTCAGACCATATTTAGTCTGACGCGCGCATCTCTACGGCTCTGTGGTGCAATTCTCTTGTCAGACAGGTGTAATTCCACACCTGAGCGCGACGCGGAAAGTGCTTGACATTTCACCAAAGCTTCATTTTCATTAATATCACAGCCCTTTGTTAATTCCTTTTCCGTTCCAATGACTTTCCATACTATGGTACGTGCCTGCGGCAAACCGATAGGCCCGGCCCTCCCAGTGAATGCAAGAAGAACTACGCAATCCAAACATCCTATGAGAAAGCAGTAATGATTTGATGTGGTGAGACGGTCTCAAACAGTCCCCATGTATTTGGTTTATGCTTCTGCTAACGAGGTTGAAATCCTGAAAACCTGTTGGAAATCGCCTGCTCAAGTTCAAGACGATGATGAAGATGAGAAATGACACTCCTCCCTTAAGGCGACACCTCACACTAAGTCCCTCCTTACTTATTATGCCGATAATTCTCTCTAGCAGGAAAACAAGAGTTCGAGAGTGTCCACCTATGCCTGCTTGGTCGCTTTGTGTGTCCCATTACCACTGGCGCTGCCGCTCCCACTTGCTGCTTCTGCCTCCGAGCTGTCGATGTGTCCCGCAGCATCCACTCCCTGCAGTACTCCGGCACGCTTCTCCACGTCCTCATGGGGCTTGCCATAATGGGCGTCATATTCCTGTTCCAGAAATTAGCAAACGCATGATATTGTATAGCAAAAAGAGGTCTTACATGTCTTCCATCATGAAAGAAGGCGTACGGGAGCTCGCCATGAACTTCACCGTCGCCAATGAGCAGTTGATCCTCGTTGTATCTCAGAGGGATTCTCATGACGTATTTGATGAATAGGCAGATGGCGCTGGTCCAGAAGAGATTCCACCCAATGATGAAGAGGAAGCCAACAATTTGAACCCAAACTTGTCTTCCATTTCCATCAATTGCACCACCCGATGGAGCAAGGGCGAAGGCGGCAGTGCCTTCACTGGTAGCAAACAGGCCAGTCAAGAATCCTCCAACGATGCCACCAACCAAATGTGTATGGAAATCTCCCACGACATCATCAGAAAATTCGAGGAACCACCTTTGCTTCCCCAGGATGTTCATTGACATCCACGGAATGACACCAGAGAAAAAGCCAATGATAATAGCGCCCCATCCTGCAACAAACCCGGCGGCGGGAGTGATTGCGACAAGACCAGTAATAATGCCTTGAATAGCTCCAATGACAGCAGGCTTTTTGAAAAAGATAAGGTCCATGATAGTCCAAGTCAACATGCTCATTGCCGTGCACACATTGGTATTGAGCACGGCGGCGCCAGCATCGGGTGAAGCAGTATAAGGATCACCGCCGTTGAATCCGTTCCAACCGAGCCAGAGCAGTCCAACACCTACCAGCGCCAGCAAAACGTTGTTTGGGTGAAATTCAGTGCGATCGCGAGGATGTCGAGGGCCGACCCAATATGCTAGGACCCAGCCCGCTGTTCCAGAGGAAACATGAATGACGTATCCTCCAGAATAATCCAGCACGCCCAGGTCGAACAAGAAGCCGCCTCCCCAGATGCTGAATGCGCCCACAGTGTAGCTCAGAGTCAACCAAAGTGGCACAAAGACCATCCAGGCCAGGAAGTTCATTCTTGCCAGGGCTGCGCCTGCAATAAGAACAAGTGTAATGGCCGCGAAGACGAACTGGAAATAAACCATGGTGCTCATGGGATATGCTGCAGAGAGACCGGCCTCTGGCAAGAAAGCCTGCTTCAATTCGTAGTTCATCTCGACAGCTGGCCCCGGCACTCCGACGAATGGCAACATCTGCTTGCCAAAAGCGGCTCGGTATGCGTAAACCACCCAGCAAATGAGGACGGCTGCAAAAGCGTAAAGGACCATGAATGCCGAATTGATGGCCCACTTCTTTTTCACCAATCCAGCGTACATGACCATCAGGCCTGGGACAGATTGGAGTCCGACAAGTGTAGCTGCCGTCAACTGCCATGCATTGTCGCCATTGTTGAGCCAGTCAGGCGCAACGAGTTTGTCAGCGTCCCAGCGACGCTGGGCCCGATAGCTGGCTACGTGACCGGGCGACATCGAGGTCGAAGGATTCGGTACACTGTTGGCAGTCGTTCAGCAGAGGTAGGACCGCTTCCGAAAGCTGCGATCTTAATTGTTCGGCCCTGTCAATTTGATGGGAGGAGAGAAGAGCACGGGAAACGCGTTGGACAGGCAAGCAGGAGCAGGAGTGAAGACTTAAAAGACCGCCAGCGACGCACGCGACGAAAAAGAAAAGGCGAGCTCTCCAGCTCTCGCACCACCCCATGCGACATACATGCTCTACCTAGAGAGGCCCTAGGCCGGGATTCAAGCGATATCTGTCCCAGCAACATGCCATGATTCGCCAGGAGATGCCATATTCCCTTTGGTGCACAACCAGTTTGAATTAGCAAGGGATGTCTCCGCCTTAGCGACCGCTGCAGGCACAACGTGGCGCTGGCAGTCGTGTTCTGGTCCTAATGATAGGTCACAGGTATTCGCCTGCTTATCATCCATGATCCCCAGCAAAGCGATACGCGATGGGGTTTGCAAGCAATTGAAGAGATGAAAATGGAATATTGGGCCAAAGCAGAGTTCAAGTGAAGGCTGGGGAAATGCAGCCAATGATGAGGAAGATGCTTATCAGTTCTTGGCTTAAGGTCGGAGCTTTCGGGGAACATGTCTAACTGAATTAAGCTGTCCTAAGCATTTCGAAGCATTGCGGAATCTCCACAAGGTCAGATCTTTGACTATTGCAAATTGCTGGCTTATCTGCGAGATGAAGAACGAGGTGCTGGCAACTCCACGTGGGGCACCAAACGCAAAAAGTAAACTAGACGAAATGTGTTAAAGGGTTCGGGATGCGTGGCAGGTGGTCTGATGCCGTGAGCAAGTCCTGGGACAACTACGAGGTAGGTCTGGAGCATTCGCTGATAGTCCCTCTTCACGTCAAAGAGCAGGATAGCAGTTGTGGGTGGTGTTCTGGTGGTATCCATCTGCTGGCGACACGATGAATGAACTCTTGCGCAGGAATGGTGGCGAAAACATGTCCAACACTGACCCTCTCAGCAGGTTTACTTTGTACCGCAAGGGCCCATCTGAACCCCCCTTCCAACATCCGTTCAGGACGGACAGTCGATGTCCGCACGAATCCCACCTACTGCGCTGCATACTTTAAAAGGCCAAACCGCTTTGAAGCAGAAAAGACTCCTCCGAACGTTTGCGATATATACTGGCATACCTGCCTCGACGCGATGCAGAATCCTAAACCTTTGATCTTCTGCTCGAACTTCCTCGGGCTGTGTCGAAGACTGCCGACAGAAATACAGAGGCCCCGTCAAATGCCACCCTTCTAAAAGTCTCGGGGATGCACTGGCAGTTGTCAAGCATTCAGATTTGTAAAGCTACGGCGAATGCATGGCTCAGGGCTGTTCCAGGGGTTCTCAGCCTTGCTACTTCAATACCCGAAGATTCCCGTAACCAGAGGGTGAGAATCTGTCCAAACATCTTGATATCGATCTTACTATACGTAAGCAGGCATCCGAGAAGTCCGGTGGAGACACCTTGCGAACAAGGCTCTCTCCTGCGTTCGGCCATAAAACAAATCCTGCTTTGAGAACGGATGGAGCGCATTCCTGATTTTCGCACCCTAGTTTGGAAACCAGGGAGTGCGTCAAGCCAGGCCGCGTCACTTGTCGTTGGTCAGCTTAGACCAACCCATCGAGGCCAGTGGCATGTGAAGCGCATAGAAACGGCATGGCGTCTTTCCAGCAAGACTTCGGCATTGCGAGCAACACAGGTTCAACCCATAAAAGTCGTGATGGTCGGGTGGAACTATGATGTTGGTCTCGAAATAGACATGATTCCTCTCCACACTTCTGTTTCTGGCCAGAGAGGGAGGCACCGTCACATCGCAGACCATGCAGAAAGTCCCTCAAAGCTGAAATGTGGTAAGCTTGTGGTTTTCAAGGTACAAGAAGCAACTAGATGTGCATTTCGGTTCCTTCTGCACTGGATATATTTTCAGACCATCCTCTAACTTACGTTCCTTGCACAACTTGAGGTGGTTTTCAGTAAGATATGTCTTGAAGTTAACTTTCGTCTTCTTCTGGCTTATAGATTTTCAAGAGAGAAAAGGCAAGCCTGCCATCACAGTCGCTCAGAAAAAAACCGGAGCCACCACCTCCAAGGTTCCCGTGATTGACGCGAGCACTCGCCACGGGAGTCGCGCCAAATTGCTGGAAGAAGATCGCGGACGCCAAACAAATGCCGCATATTTGCATCCAGGGGCGCACCCAGAGTTATGACCAATTCATGAAAGCCAATGCTACATGATGAGGGGTGGGTAAATTTGGTTTCTGATGGCCATTTTCACTATGCGAACGTCTCGTCTAGAATGAGAAAGGTAGGAGGTGCTCTCCCACCGTTCGAGCTCCTCAGTCTGCTCCTTTTCTTCCTCGTATCGCTGCGAGAATGTCCTCCCTATCAAGACAAATATTTATTAAACCAATCAATTCCCTGCTGCGCTGCGTCATCCATGGCCTTTTTATCCTCATCACTACTCCAATCACTCCGCAAGGCAAATCCATGCACTTGGTTCGTATAGACTCTCACTTCTGTGGGCACACTGGTCTTTTCAAGCGCCTCTTTGAGCTGATCCACAGCCTTCATGTCGAGCAAGCTGTCCTTTTCACCAACGGCGACACTGGTTGGTTTCGAGACGGGGCTGATGTCCGCCGGGATGGAGAGGAGGGACGGGTGGCAGGCATAGGCGGCGTCGACACCGCCGATCTCGCCTTCTTTACGGGCGTGGGCTTGCAAGATGGAGTACCGGCCACCCCAGCAGAAACCGATCTATCATCGGTCCCAGGCAGTCAGAATTGACACAAGGAGCGTACGAGGGAGGGTTCCTTCTCCGCCTTGCCACGATGCTATTTTGGAAAACGGAAGAGAGTGGACTTACCGTCCCGATCTTGTTCGTCCCCGGTATCGTTTTGATATGATTGATAAACCCACTGATGATCGGCTCCGCAACAGCTTCCCGGTGTTTAACCAGCCACGGACCAAGTGTGGCCATAACATCAACCGTCTCTTTCGCCTTTCCCAGAAGGGTTTCCTGCTCTTTCTGCTTCAAAGGAGGCTCGATGTCCTGGAGGAATTCGATGTCGAGGGAGTCGCCTTCGTGGACATCGGGGATGTAGCAATAGAATCCCGCTTTCGCGTATTGGTCGGCCAGCAGTCGCACGTTCTTGAATTTCCAGCCGAAGATGTCGGTGAGAAAGACTACGGTCTTGGATGTAGATCTATCGCCGGGCTCTGCGACGTAGGTGGGCAAGCCGCCGATGGTGTCTTCCCGACCTTGGGGGGTGCCTTCGTGCACGGCCCCTGAGAGACAGCACGCACCCATTCCCACTTTGGTAGACATGGTTGGAGCCCTGTTAGCTCTGTGAAGGTATAGAACTGGTGAGACGAGATTCTGATGAGGAGGAGACAGTGCTTTGTAGCAGCTTCCTGATATTGATGGAGGGGCTTCCCGCGGTGCTTAGCGCGCGGGGTACAGAGTATTCGGTGTGGGATGAACACGAGGAAGACGATGACTGTACTCGGTACACCACCCAGTGTATAAGTGTATCCTGAACGCCATACACCGCTCTCTTTGCGGGACAAAAGCCCCTACAGCGTTCTTAAATTTCAGCAATTCAGACCGCCATAGTCAGACCGTAGAATGTTGACATAGCCATCCATATGGCACCGTGCAGTCCTGATCAGTTTCGCACCAATAATCTTACCATCCTCAACGGCCGCACCAACCTCCAGAGTGCCCGACGGATGGCCAATGACGGTATTCGAATGATGGAGATGGTTTGACAGCGCATGCGGAAGGGTGCCCTTCATCTTGCATGCAACTCCGAGATTGAGGGCGAGTGTGGCCGGGATTGCCTTGTGGGCCTGTTCCATTGAAAGAGCCTGACATGATATATCTAGACCTTCGCTCCGAGCAGGGAACAGCAAAACAATCTTGGGTATGCTGCTGATGTTAGGGTTCAGACCCATCATCTCAGTGCCCCGTTTCCGGATGGCTTCTAGTTTGTCGAGGAGCTCCTGACTTGCATTCAACTGGTCTGGCGTCGCATCTACATTCCATCCAATGTCTCTGCCATCAACGAACACTCCCGGATTGCTGACATCGATCAAGGATGCGCGAATTACCTGGTTTCCAATATCAATCTTGTCAATTGGGCTACCAGTTGGTAAAGCTTTGCCAGTCTTTGCGCCTTCTGGGTGAAGAAATGAGAGTGTGATCGTGGAACCTGTTCCAGGCACACCGTCGATGCTGCACCTGCCGACATCTTCATATGCCCATCTGCCGTCGTACTTGCACGCTTGAAACGTAGATTCGATGAATTTTGCTGTATTCATGTTTCTCATTCGCATAATCACCGTCGAGTTTTCACTGTCTGGATCTCCCTGATCGTTCTTTGCAGGATTCCGCCGACAGAGTCCGCAGTTCAACCCGAAAGGCCCAACCACAGAGGTCAGATTGCCGCAGTTGCCAGCCATGTCCAGCCTGCCATCCTTGACGCCTATCTGAAAGAAGGTATAGTCAACGTCAACATCTGGGTGCGACGATGGTCCAACAACCATGGCCTTGCTTAGCGAAGAAATGCCACCACCCAAGCCATTCAGCTGTCTACCATACGGGTCAGGAGACCCAAGGATCGCTGCGAAAAAGTCCTCCATCTGTTTGAACGTGACCTCGTCAGGGGATTTCCCTGTTGACAGAGCCGACTGGAACCATTTTGGCAGATCGGATATGTTGAAGAAGACGCCCTTGGAAGTGCCACCGCGCCAGAATGACGCCTTGACGGCCCGGGGAAATGGTGCTGTTGTCATGTTTCTCTTCAAGATGCTGGCGCAGACTCGTACCGAGATTGCAGGGTGATCAAAGAGCATAGCGAGTACAAATCAGGTGGCCAGTTCTGTCAGCAATCAGATGTGCATCTCGGAAATGAACTGCTCCTATCCTCCAGTACATACCAATGCCGTTGATTGACTGATTGACTGGAACCGAAGGTCGACGGAGAACAGCCGGGCAGCATAGATGATGGCGAGGCTGGCCAAGGCTGGCCAATCAATGCCGGGCCATTTGGGGTTACATTCGCTATCTTTTCCCCCGCAGTCAATGCTACACACCAGAACAGACACCATCAAGACACCATGTGCCACCAGTGTTGCTGTCTTCGCTTCCTCCAGGCGCCCATCAGCGCTATATCTCTTGTCCTTCTCCCATCTTCTGCACTTCAGCGCTCAAGCAAGTCCCTTTGACCATAATGGGTTCCATTGAACCATCCCGAAACCCGCCGCAATTCCTCGTCATCGGAGCTGGATCTCGAGGCAACGCATATGCCCGTGCCGTTGAAGCTTCAACCTTGGGCACGATTGCGGCTGTGGCAGAGATCGACCCGTTCAAGCGTCGAGAATTTGGAATTCGTTACATCTGGGGAAGAGATAGACAACCAAAAGAACATCAGTCTTTCGGCAGGTGGGAAGAATGGGTTGCATGGGAGCAAAGACGCAGAGAAGATGCGGACAAGGCTGGAGGACCCGGACCAGGTTATATTCCTATAACTGGAGTGTTCATATGCACTATGGATGAGACCCACGCTCCCATAATCTGTGCAATCGCTCCACTGAACCTCCACATCCTATGCGAGAAACCCTTGGCTTTGTCTCTATCAGACTGCCTCTCCATCTCCTCAGCATTGTCGAAATATCCTCCGAAGGTAGTCTCCATTGGACATGTGCTCCACTACTCACCGCACAACATCCTCCTGCGCAAGCTCTTGACGGTGGACCAGGTCATTGGTGAGATTGTCTCCATTGAACACACTGAGCCCGTTGGCTGGTGGCACTTCTCACACTCATACGTTCGCGGAAACTGGCGCCGCTCTACCCCAGAAGGCGTTGGTTCTCTTCTCACCAAATCCGGCCACGATATCGACTTTATCCTCTGGCTGCTCTGTTCACCCAGCGCCCTGACTGGACCCATCCCCCATCTTCCCTCTACCATCTCAAGTAATGGAGCCATAACGCATTTTCGCCCAGCAAGAAAGCCAAAGGCCGCAGGCGTAGCGACCAATTGCCTCTCTTGCCCCGCTGAACGAGATTGTATCTACTCTGCGAGGAAAATCTACCGCGATCGATGGCTTCGACAGGAGAAAGACACAGGTTGGCCTCTTAAAATCGTCGTGCCCGAGATTGAAGATATTGTATCAACCAAAGACTGGAATGCAGCGGAGGAGCAATTGATGCAAAGGCTAGCCGAGGACTACGACAAATCCACCACACCTGACAATGTCATTGCAAGCAGGAGCTGGTATGGTCGCTGCGTGTACGAATCAGATAATAACGTCGTTGATGACCAGATCGTGACAATGGACTGGGAAGAAGATCCTTTGCTGGGTCAGGAGCTCGGCCGAGGACCGAAGAGGGTGCTCTTTCACATGGCTTATCCGACTCAGGCACAATGCGAACGGCGGGGGTGGATTTATGGCACGCTCGGTGAGATCAGCTACGATTCCCACAAGATCACCGTGCACACATTTGCCGATGGCAAAACGATTGTACATGATATTCCAAAGCAGGCACCAGAGGTGGAGAAGAGCCATGGCGGCGGCGACTGGGGTCTAGCCGGTGCCTTTGTTCAAGCTGTCCAAAATGTAAATGGTGGAACAATGGATGTTACGCAGGCACAAAGAGAATTGGTGGGATGTGACCTGGAGGAGATCATATTAAGCCACGCAATGGTGTTTGCAGCAGAGGAGGCAAGGAGAGAAAAGAAAATTGTCAATTGGGCCGAATGGTGGGGAAAGCACGGGTCGCTCGCTCGGTGACCCAGCTCGCTGGCTCAAACGGGCAGAGAAGGTCCGGGGCGGAGCTTTCCAAAGGACGATGAGGGTTTCAATTGAATAGGAGCGGTTTGGTCCCTGAGCTCAAAATGGAACAGGTCAACAATGCAATCTCATCGGCCCAGAACGCAGCGAGGAACGCTCGGATCGCTGTTGCTCGAGTGCGCGTCGCACATTCCAGCCCAGGTCTCGTAATTCTTTTCGGGGTATGTTCGCAAATGGCTTCTGAAAGCGTCAAAGGCTCTTTGTCTGACGCCATTGTGGCTTGAGATTATGCCCTCCTCACCTCCTGCTGTGATTTACCAGCCTTCTTCAGTCGACGAGATTGGTGGAAAGCAGGACTTGGGTGTCCCTAATTTGACGTGAAGCACCATGGCCTTGAACAAATTGTCGAGCACTTTCCTGCTGCTCAGCAGCATCTCTGGTACGTCTTCCCGCAAGCTTTGCACGGCAAGACCTCTTGATGGCACGTTGTGAGACTGAAAGCCAGCCGGGGCGCCATGCTGACATGAAATGGATAGCAACTCTGACCCTCGCACAATTCGTTCCAGCATCACCACCAACAGCCACGGTCCCTATCGTTTCGGCCTCGTCTCCCTGGCTGACAACCTCGACCCCGACGTCCAATGCAGCCTCCCACGCGGGCGCTGCCGGCTGGTCAACGGGAGCAAGCAAATTTCCGTCGGTTTTCGGGGAAGCAAAGATCGCTCATGCGGCGTTGGGGGCTGGCGCGTTCCTTTTATGCTTTCCTCTCGGTGGTATTATTGTTAAAGTCTGGCCACATCGGCGCATCGTCTGGATCCACGCGGCAATCCAGGGTTCTGCACTCGCCGTGTTTGTGGCTTCCACGGGCCTGGGGATCTGGATGGGATTGAAAATTAACGCGGTGAGTATACCTCACCTGTTCGATCTCCCATTTGCACAAGCACTTCGCTAATTTGATGACTTTGTTCTCTACCAGCTCGGCCACTACCACTGTGTCATCGGTCTCGTCATCCTAGGCCTCCTCGTTCTCCAACCCCTGATGAAGCTGCATTGGTTCCACAAAAAGGTCCCGAAAGTGGTACACTTTGTGCACATCCATCTCTGGCTCGGCCGCGCATTGATACTTCTCGGAATTGTTGACGGCGGACTCGGTTTCCAATTAGCTGACACGTTCAAGGCGCCCAAGTGGGCGAACGGGTGGAAAATTGCATATGGCGTGTGTGGGGCGCTCGTATGGATAATATATGTGAGCGTGGTGATTGTGTGGGTAGAATTAAAAAAACCTGACGCGACGGCGGCGGTTGTCGCTGGGAGTGAGGAGATGGCGGCATTGACCGAGGCCAGACGCCGGGCTGAGGATAGGCCAAAGACAGCGACGAGTACGGTGCACGATGTCGAGATTGGTGAGGTTGCACAGGTTGAGCCGATGCGACCCGCACGACCTGGTGCATTGTGATGTGAGGGGATGTTTTTTATTCTCGAGAGGGTGGTTTCAGTTCCAGACATCGTTAGAGTGAGGAAGAGGTGCACTCTATCTTGGGTAAGAAATCTGAGGCGAGAAGCTCTGATTAGAGAGATAGAGAATTCCTGTTGGCTGTTTTATCTTGTCCCCCTTTCTTGTCCTGCGTATCGGCTTTTGCTTCTCGTGGGCCAGGAGGAGGTGCGAGTTTAGACATTCACGCCAGATTCCACAAACGATGCCTGTACTTCGTCCCTCGTTGATGCTCGCAACTGGAATTACGCTTTCTTTGCCCCGCAGACTACGGCATAATTAGTAGTGGTGGCTGTCCCTCGTAGCGCCTTGTTTGCACTGGCTGTCTGTCGGCATACTCACCCTGGTCGCCTGATCGCGCAGGCGTCTTCATCCTTAGCTACTTATTGGTTTGTTCAGCAGTATTTCCTACTCAAAAGAGGCAGGAAATGTATTATTCCAAAACGCCGAATTCCTATGATAAACCTATCCGAACCGGGATTTTTATCCGCAAATACGGAGTAGAGAACATCTCGACTGGTAGATCAGACTAGCTGCGTTGGGGGAACTTCAATTCTCGTCACTGTAGCCTCGTCTATCTCGTTCCGACAGACGCGAGTCTAGACACCCTATACGGAGTATCATATTGTGCATGTTCTAGTGCAGACAGACAGCCGACTCAAGTGACACAAAGCGCGCTTTTGAACCTGAAGAGAACAGATGCTATAGGCAGTAAATAATGATAATCCTGATCAGAGCGCGTTTCATCAGTTTTGTCGTCTCCAATAATATTGCGAGTCGAGAGGGGCCGTCGTCGACTTGTTGGCGGGCTGGCTGTTTAGACAGTTCCGTACCTTCTTTTACCCTTGACTCGTTAATGCATGGCATGTAAACGCCACCGCATGGCCCAACTCCGGGTCCACTGTTATCCATCGCAGGTCCTTAACCCTTGTGCCCTGAGCCGCGCAACTTATCGTGTCCCCCTTCGTGATCAGCTTCGGAGAGCAGCAATTTGTAATGCCAGATGTGTGCAGCGAAATGGGAGCAGCAAACCGAGGAACAACATCTAGACGCGCTCGCGCTCACTAACAGACCACTCGTTCTTGATGCGGATCGCATTCGGCTCGTGTGCATGATCGAAGCTGACCGCGTCGTCCCGGCTTACCTCGCTGTGCGCTTTGACCACGTGCGAGAGTTCTACGACGCTTTCGTTCCGCATGTACGACGCGCCGCGCGGGTATGGGTCGGACGGGTGATCGCGACGCGAGGAAGAAAGTAGGCGCGGGAAGATCAAGCTGATGACGGGTCTCATGGCAGGGATACAGGCACACATGATGCCCACATTGAGCTCGGCCGCTGACCAGGTCGCGGCGCCGACGTTGTCGTATGTGAGGTCGGTGGATATGCTCGCGATGTAGAGCGCGTGGAGGCGGAGAATGGCCGTGATACACCCACTATTCCCGGTGTTAGCATTTTGGGGGATTGGGAAATAACCATTTGGCCAAAGAAGGGGGAGGGGGGCTGGGACATTCGAACATACAAGCCACCCAAAGCAAACACCGCAATCAAGCTGATCTTCTGCTTCTTTGGGAGTTGGAGACTCTTGAGAACAGGCATGGGAAGCACCCAGACCGCCAAGTCGGTGATGATGTTGAAGCCAGAGAAACTGAACCAGAAAGCCATGAGGTCGATGCAGTGACCGCCTTTGATGGTTTTGTCCCAGTAGTAAGCGATAGGCCAGCAGGAGAAGCAAGAAGTCAAGATAAAGGTTATTCCAGCGACGCAGATGAAGATGATGAGACCCCATGCGGCGAGACGGTATCGCCTCTCGACGAAGAACCTCAAGTACTGATAGCAGATTGAGTCTTTGACCACGAGCAATCCCAGGTTGTAGACGATGATACTGGCGTACAGGAGCTGGGCGGTTGTCTGTCAGCAAGGATTGTATTGGTGCAATATTAGATGAAAATGAGATAGTGAATCACCTTTGATAGAGTCTCGTTGTCTGCTTCGCTGACCGTATCTGCATGGCGACCCAAACCATGATCTTTCTCTGAAATAACAGACAAGTCAGTCAAATTGTTCCTAACAAGGTGAATCTCCAAGTACTCACGCAACACAATCGTGACAGTGAGGCCAACAGACAATACTAGGGCGAAGATAATCAAATAGTCTTCAGGCCCAGCCTGGTGGATGATCACAAAACGGGAAATGCATCGAATGACAATGAAGACAAATGCAAGTGCGTTAAAGACGGCAGCTGTCACCACAGCCTGCATACCACGCTCGAGTCCCATCCTGCCTGGGCATATGTGAGATGGCAGTGGAGGTCAGGTTGGCAGCATGACAATCGACGGAAGCAACCGAAGTTGTCAGAAGTGGGAATGGAAGGCAACATATGGACTGGGACGACGGCCCCTGCCAGCTAACTGCCAGCTATCTGTGAGGCACAAACACCCCCTGGAATCAGTTGACGGGCAGCGGAAAATTTAAACAGCATGTGGCACTGGAAGCCAGGTTCGTATTCAAGTTGCCGGGCTCGCTGGGCGGACTCGATGAGTGGCTGCTAATTTAGTATGGCTTGTTCATGTACTTGTACACGAAGCGAAATGGGGGCAATCTGGGGTAAAGAGTTTAGGTATAGTAGAACCAATATGAGACGGCCTGGAGGCAAGAGTTGCCTCAGAGGCGGTGCCGACCCAGGAGCTTGCATGTGGGAAACGTCAGTCAAACGAGAACCCTCATCAACGAACTTCCCCGGATTAGCCTCCCTGCCATAAAGGAGGACTGCCCGAAGGGGAAGTGGCCTCCACGTGGCTGCCGAGAGTAACATGTACCTACTTGTACAGTACTGGTCAGGATCACGATGGCGATTTGGTGGCGCCGCGAGCAGAACGAGTAGAAGGTTCGACAAATGTAATTAAAAGCCTGTGGATACGAGCGCCCAGAAAAGTCGAGGCTCAAGAGAGTGAAGGGGCTTTTCAATGGTCAGACACTTCAGTGTGCGAATCAACGGCAGACGTACGCAGTACCGTATAAGTGCCTGGTCCGTGCCTGGCCGAAGTCAACTTCAGTTGGCCTTCCTTGGTCTTAGGAGGACGAGCCAGTGGTACCACAGAAAGGGGATCTTCAAGAGACAAGGAGAAAAATGCAGCTGTTGAAACAAAGAAATCGCAATCAATTTGGCGGGTTTGCAGATTCTGACTTCACCGGTGCCGTCAGGATTGGGGAGCATGTTCGGATCCTTGCCGTTGAATCGTCGCTCGAGTCGACCTACGCCGTATCATGGGTCCTGCCGCAAGGACTGAGTCAGGACCTGCATCAGCAAACACAACCACCATCCTAGGGGACGGATGATCGTCGCTGCGGGAGGGCACGAACGTTCCCAGTTCCCTTGCTCCTTTGCCCCAACAATCGGGCGATCTGTTGAAGCATTAATTTGCGGGAAATATTCCTTTCGCAAGCCTTTCCGAGCATAGGTGGCGTGCACGGAAAGTCAGCCTGGCGGCAACGGCGGTGTGACAGTATTAGGGAGTACTAAGACTCGTTATATTTCTGACTCTGAAGTACTGGAAGTACCAAGGTATGTCGAGTAGCTATCGTCCAATGTTGAACTGCTCCATCTGATCAAGGTTGGCTGTGGACGACTGTGCCAAATGTCGGAGGAGAAACCACTTTGGGACTTTGGTCTGCTCGTGTCTGCAAGGGGAGTCCCATCGGCTAGTATAGTAACTAACAAGTAACAGGGACAAGCAGGGACAAGTACAAGTACTGTAGAACTTTTCACGAATTTTGGTGGTCCACTTTCCGACGGGTGCCAACTAAAATTACCCCTGTAACCAAGGGGTTTCCTTAGCACGGCAAGCACGGGTAGCATGGGCAACATGGGGTGGGCTTCAAGCGAAGTTGTCTCACTAAGGTCGGGCGGAAGCTTTGACAGGTCCCGATTTGCACACGCTTTGCCTGGTTCGGGGCGTGGCCAGAGAATTTGAAGAGCGCTATCCTCGGAATCCGGCAGAAGGTTTCTTCGGCTGCTTGGACAGGAAAACGAGCCTCGATCGGCCTGGACTGTCAGGGTCAGGGATGACTTGACGAATTCTCTGTGGAGGTGGGACTTTTCCCCAGCCGTTGTTCGTTCAGTAAAAGTGGGTGAAGTTCCTCCCCACCAGCTCCCTTGGTCCAAGGCCAACATCATTAGAGCCTCGCTCTGGTGGCCCATTCCGGAGGATGGACACAGTGCCCGTAGCTAAGTACTCGGTATCTATACCCGGTACTTGGTACTCCGTATGTGGAGGGTGATTTTAGGGTCCTGGCCTGGCCCTGGCTCCTTCGTTTCCTCACTGCATGCTGCAGCGTCGTAGTAACAAGAAATTGCTCATTGTTGAGAAGTTGAGTCGAGTCGAGGCGGAACCTCTCCCTTTTGCAAGAAATGGAGTCCCCCGCCAGTTGGTAATGCTCCTCATGGACGCACTGGTCAAAGGGAGTCTTGCACTTTCCTGCATGGATAGACTGTTACAGGTGCGGTGGCCAGACTTCGAGCGCCGATTCGAGTAGGCCCATTGAATTTGTTCTACGTGATCCCGTCCACCGAATTGAAATGCCATCCTGTCTGTATGATCGATCTCATTGAGAGGCAACCCTGCTTCCGACCATGATTCTCGTCAATGTACAGGCATAACCACATCGAACGCTCCTGTGCCAATATTACCCCTCCTCCCTGCAACAATGCGCGCACTGGGACCCAGTAATGGATCTCGTTCGCCAAATAACACGGCATCCTTGAGGAATCCCATGACCGTCTCGAAGCTCATTTTTGCTAACACGCTGCCTCCCTCTTTTACAAGACCATGCCGGTTAAATGGCTGATAACTCCCCGAATGCGTCATAGCATCGGCAATGAGACTCAAATGCCGCGCATCCACACCAATTCCGTGTCCTTTGAAGACCGTGTCAATCTCCTTTACAATCGTCGCTCGCGCCGCCTCGACGCCGTAGTATTTCAGCATATCGTGCACCGAGTTGGTGTAGATCGAATGCGGGTAAATTTGGTCCTGGTAGTCGCGCATGGCGAGTAAATTGACACCTTCAGTCGTGATCATCGGCTGTTTGACTATCTCCTCCTTGTTTGTCTGTGGATCAACGCATCTGACCGGTTTCCCGTCAGGTCCGTGGACTTCTTCCATAAACAGCGTGCAGATGCCAAGCCCGGGGATTGATTGGATAACCGACGTATGCGCGCATTTTTCGAGAAGAGGAAGGAGAAGCAGTTTGGGTGTCTTGGAGCTGTAGCTGAGGACAATGCGGCAGGATTTGCCCTGGTTCCTTGCAAAGGTGAAGCGTTTGAGATGATCGAGTTTGTTCTTCAATTGGTTGAGTCGAGCCTCATCCGCCGAAGCTTCAGCATCGCCTGCCTCGTCATCTACCTCCTCATCCGAGTCCAGCTCCCCGAGGTTTTGAGGCTTTCTAGATTTCTTAGCCTTCTGACTGCCGCCCGAGTTGTTTCTTTCATCGTCTCTGTCAGCCTCGTCGTCACTCATTACTTCATCGCTTGACTCCCGTGCGATGGCATCTTCCTCCTCGTCGGGCTCGTCGAAGGTGTTCTCTCGCCTACGTCTGGCGGCCATATCCTTGGCGTCGTCAGGGTCTGCTTCTTCGTCGATATCGTCCTCGCCACCTTCATTCTCGGTAGCTCCTGGACCTCTTGTCCCGGCGTCCTCGACAACACCGACCGATGCGCCAACATTTGGGACAGCCGCCGTAATTTCTGAACGGTCGGCCTCTTTCGCCTTCTTCTTGAGCTCGATCTTAATCATCTTATCCAATCTCGGAAGAAACATTACTTCAAAGCATCGTTGCACGTCTATCCACTTGATGGCATATTCCTCTTCGTATTCCTTCGGGTCGTACAGCTCTATTCGAATGTCGTAAATCCTTTCATTCTCATGTCCTGCACCGCCGCCAGTCCTCTCGGTGACGGACATGTCATTAATGACATGAGACAGCGGCAATCGGCTGATGCTTTTGGCAAAGCGCTCTCCTTCAGCATTGTTCAACTCTTCGATGGGCTTGAGTGTCATTGTTGGGGTCATGATCTTAGCGCTGGCAGTCATAATGATTTCGCGCAGTCTAGGAATGCCGAGGGTGACGTTCTTTGCTGAGTGGCCGGCTAAGTGGAAAGTGTTCAAGGTCATCTGCGTGGAAGGTTCTCCTACGGATTGTGCTGCGACAACTCCGACGGCCTCTCCAGCATCGACGACGGATTTCATGTATTTCAAATCCATGATTGTCTGAAAGGTCTTCTTTCCCAGCGTGCCATTCGGGTTAGCCTTCTTGTCCCTAATCAGTCCGTTCGGGTTCTCCTTGACGTAATCATTCAACGCCGTTGCAAATAACTCCGAAGTGCTTCCCAGATGGCTTGCTGGACTGAACGAAGCTGTCAATGGATCTTTGTGCTTGGATTTCCTCAGAAATTTGAGAACGGACTTCTGTTCTTCTCTGACCTCTGACTGCTGGAGTCTAGAGATCACCTCTTCGGCGTTCATGAGCGTTGCGACGGAGTGATGATTCTCGGCCAGGAAGGTGAACTCTTTCAAATGTTTCTGCTTTGTGACCTCCAGTCCATCTTCTCCATACAGGAACTGGATGATACTTCCGTTCGAACTCTCTCGTACCGATATGTCGTATTCCGTTCGAAGTCCCTCAAGCCCCTTGACGATGCACCGCTGTAGGTAACCAGACTTGGAAGTTTTCACGGCTGTGTCGATCAAGCCCTCTCTACCGGACATGGCATGGAAGAAGTATTCTTGAGGTTTAATGCCTGTCAAAAACCGTCCTGACACATATCCACCAGCGGCTGGATCCGTTTCAAAAGCTCGAAAAGATGGCAGAGTCTTACCACTGACCATGACAGGGACTCTCCGTCCTTCCAGTACCTGTTGACCCAGGTTGCAAGAGATCAGATTCGCGTTAACACTAGAGCCTTTGGCTCCAGAAATCGTCATTGCTTGCATCTGGTTCCGAGGAAACGGTTTTCGTAGACCAGTGGGCAGACAAGCCTTTGAAACATTGTCCGTGATTGATTTGACTCTAGCTTTGTAAACTTGGTCCAAACCATTGAGCTGATCATCGTTACGGAGCACGTTTTCTAGTCGAGAGAGAAGTTCGGGATTTTCTTGGCCAGCCTCGCTGGACTTCAGAGTGACATACTCGGTTGAAACTTCGAGGCCGATCTGTTTGGCTCTATTCAACTCTTGTCGCCGGTCATTGTCGCCTTGATTGGTTAAATAGAGATCATCCATTCCACAGGTCCAGGCACGCTCATTGAGAAATCTTGTGAGAAGTCGGCCTAGGATGCTTAGCAATTTGCCTGCAGTGATGTGTCCGTAGACCTCATGCACTGAGTGGACGAGTCCTCCAGCGCTCGGGCCAAGTTGGCTCTTATCGAGGATTCCGCAAAGGTGCTCACCGTCTTTGAAAATAACCACTTGCTCCGTGTCCCTAAAGACTATTTTGTCCTTGCTAACAGTCCACTGGCCAGGTTCATCAGACATCTTTTCGCCCCACGAGTCTGACGATGTCGAAGATTTGCTCGTAAGGTTAATGCCACGGAATCTCTCTGGTGTGATGTTTTTCAGAACCGTCGTGACCACTTGCTTTCCGCTCCACAGCATCTTCGGCTTTAATATCGTGGGCTGCACAAGTTGAATCTTGTCAAACACGGTGTTGTAGTCTTCTGGCCTAAGACAGCTGTACAGCAATTGTTGATACTGATCTCGATCGAAGAACACGTCTCGGCTGGTAAACTGAACCCCCATGGAGATATGGTCTTGAATCAACCCACGCAATGGTTTGCCTGCGGTCGCAGAAAGATACTGGTGATCCGTGTCTGCAATCTGAAGAGCCTCAGTCCGAGCAAACTCATTTTGAGGGAAATGCATGTTCATCTCATCACCGTCGAAGTCGGCATTGTAGGTGTTGCAGTTCGCGTAATGCATTCGAATGGTCTTTTGGTTCGTTAACACGCGCGCGCGGTGGCCCATCATGGAAGGCTTGTGCAAAGTAGGTTGACGGTTCATGATGACCACGTCGCCCGTTTGGAGGTGTCGGTACACTTTCTTGCCATTCTCGCCTTTTGCCCCCGGAGCAGTCGAAGTCATCAACTGCTTTGCTAGGGCTCTTCTTTGTTCGACCGTCTTGCGCTTTAAGCTGAGAACCATCCCGTTCTCATTCTCAATCGCTGTCGCTCCCGGGTATTTCTCGGTACCGTTGATCACTGCCTTACTCAACTGTTCAAAGTTGTGGCTTGTCACCGGTTCGGGATAGGTGAGCTTCTTTGCGAAAACAAGCGGTACGCCGATTTCGTTGGTTTCGATATTCGGATCCGGCGATATGACACTACGGGCAGCGAAATTGACGCGCTTGCCCATCATATGCATTCGGAAAAGGCCTTCTTTCTTCTCGAGAATTTGCTTTATGCCTTGGTCAGCTGGCCTACCAGATGCAGGCGCAGGAGAATCAATGAGCGCATTTACCGTCTCCTGAAGCACAATTGCGGCTTGCAGGCTCTCGTTCAAATTCCTGGGTCTGACGGTTGAGTCGACCTTTGCTCTTTTTAACTCCCGCGAGATGCGCTGAACATCGCCTGCCGCTTTGATGATTCTGTTCAGCACTGTATTTAGCTGATTCTCAAGTATTTGATTCGGTCCCTGTCTGGCCAAAGGTCGATATCTATTTGGCGGAACAAGTACTGCCGTGATGAAGAACATGTCCGGAGAAACTGGCACAGGGTCTCGATCAGGCCGAGAGGCATACAATAGCCTGAGGACTTCCTGCTCACGGTCGAATAGCAAAGTCAGCGCAGCGTGCACCTCGCTCGTTGTCATATACGCCTGCACGTCGTCGAGATCCTCGATGTCCGCTTTCTTAAATTCTGCCGAAGTCTCTAACGCATTGCGCATCGCGATTTCCTCCTCGGCGCCGTGCAGTTCGGCCTTCTCAAGGTCATCGCTGTCAGACGTCTCAACGTCCTCGTCATGTATTCCATTGACTATGGACGGCTTTTTTGACTCCTCTTTCTGAGTCTGCTCGGACCTGAGGAAGAGAAGAGGATTCGGTGCCTTTTTCCCCAGTACATACATAGCTTCCTTTTGCTTCTTTGCGAGTGGTTTTCTGAAAATCTTGACGCTTCTATCCTTTCTATATGAGATGCTGGCACCGCCGCATTGGGCGCATCTCTTCAGATTGGGAACCTCCATCAGGAAATCTGCAATGACATTTTTGCGGGCTGCAATGGCGATAGGATTTCGGATGAGGGCTTGGACGTCAATTTTGTTCTCCTTACGCGCCCGTCTGATGGCCCGGTTCGTCATCTTCGTTCTCCGTTCAATAAGATCAGCAATCTCTTCTGGTTCCACTTCCGCCACATCTTCGACTACGTGGTCTAGATTTGTCTTCTTCGGCGTCCGTGGTAGTCCCCCTCTGAGGGAAATGTTCTTGATATTGTTGTACTCTTCCACAAGCCCATACTGCAATAATCGCAGGGAGCACACCGTTTGATTGACATAGTTTTCGGCGGCCTTGAAGCGGTGGCAGTAACCGCATTTTGCACGCAGAAGGCGTAGAGTCGAGTCAATGTATTGTGGATGGTAACAAGTGACAGGAAGTTCAATGTGTCCACAGTGCCCAGTGCAATTGATTGTATTCATGCGACACGTAGAACAGCTGAGGGTGTTAGGATCGCACCACTCATATTAGGTTTGAGGACTTACTTTGCGTCCAACGCCTGTATCGCACCTAGTGCAAGATCATGCAGACCTCCTGGTACGGGACCAAACATAGAATCCAGAGCTGGAGTGACATGGATTCTCTTTACCGAGATCTTTCTGATATCGTCGGACTGGAGTCGTGAGAAGGCGAGGCCGCCGGTAGCCGCGGGTATTGGTTTGACGTATCCTGCCATTGCGCGTTACGACGATAACCCGGCGGCGACAATGAATTTGGCAAGAGAAATGTTGTATCGGGTGTCTGCTACATGCTCTGCGCTGCGGAGGCTGCGCCAAAAATTCCTGCTGCGGGGACAATTTTTTTTCTACAAAATTTTGGGTACAACTTCCGGTGAAGCAAGAGAGCTTTGTATGGCACTACGGCGAAGCAGATAATCCCACTATGAAAACCCCATGATATAATATTCAGCCATCTCTCTTGGTTATCTCCTATCAGTCTCACCAGAGATTTCCAGTTATGTATGTAACAAGATACTATCCTCTGAGGGTTGATCCGAACCTGAGCCCGCGCAAGCTCGACCCTTGACAAGTCCCACCCTATTGCTCAAGCCATTTCCCAGAAAAGGTAATCTGGCGGATACGAATACGGGCTTGGTGTCTTTAGAATTCTTGCTGCCTGAATCCCCACAATGCTACAAGTCAAAAGGAAAATTTCCAGACTCTCTACGTAGATCCAGGCGGTTTTACTATCTCCTTGGTAAAACCTATGAGAATTTGGAATATCTTAATGTGGCTGTACTAGCACAACATGGTCAGCGTTGGACTCCCCTGGAAAGCTACCCCGACTAGCCGCATTGTTCACCTCGCGCAAGTTGTTTTGCAATTTACCGCTGCTGTGATTGCCATTGGTCTCAATGCTTCAGATATAGTTGATGGCCCTACGAATACTGGTGCTTCGGTGGGTGTCCAAGGATGAATTTAACTTTGAGGGCTGATATCCCTGACACGCTATGCTCCCAGGTCTATGCTATCGTCATCGGTTCTCTATCTACACTGACAGCGATATTGTTTGCAATCGATATCCTCATCCCATTCCCCAGCCGGCTTTGGCTCCTTTGGGTCTTGTTCTGGCAATGGGTTCTCACTTTCGCCTGGACAGGTGTGATTGCGGCATTTCGCGGGAAGGATTTCGACAACCGATCTACGCAGATCCAGGTCACCGCTGGGTTTAACATTGCCAACATGTTGCTATGGCTGACAGGCTCCGCATTTGGAACCATTACAATGTGCTTCAGGAGGAAGCTAGGGGGAGGAAAGCCGGATGATGCGAGTTCCTCCCATGATCTGCCAGAGCATTCAGGCTGAGACGAACCGCTTTACATGGACTGGGTCGGCGCAACTTTATGCGTGGGCGTATGTCCCTGGTAATGTAGTTAGTCGTGAACATTCGTTCATTCTGGCAGGCAAAATGAATGAAGGCCTCTGGATTCTCTACATGCACCTAGGGAATTCGTCAACAAAGAGGCACCTATAAGACTGAGGGTATTACTCCACTTCCACTTCCTCTTCTTCTTGTGGAAGCCATTGTGCTCGGGCGATCAATTTTCTTGACAGTACCGAGTCACCGGGAGCCAAAGCCGAGGAATGGAGTATAAACAATGCAGTGGTAGCCCTGTTAAGGGCTTCAGGTCCCAGATGAACTACAGCAACGTCCACAAGATGGAATATCGCAACAACGCTCACGGTACTATGGAGTGCGCCATTCTGTATAAGCGCAGTGTTGACAGACCAAAACTCCGCGTGGAACAGCTTATTATGAAGTAATCAAAGACGCATTCAAGCTTGTGGAAAGTCTTTAGGCTTGTTTGGTCGCTCAGAGGAGAGCTTGTATCCCGTGTATGCACCCGTCTCTCATCGTAATAGATATGCACGGTCTGGCCCGGACCTCGAGTTACCTTGGCTGCTGTCAACATACGAACCGTGACATATTTGGCAGGGTCAATATGACTGTTGTGATTGGGATTCCTATCTTCAATGGTAAGAAGTTGTAATTTTCACAATGAGCCCTGACTTTCTTAACAGTGACGTATTAGAAATGGGAGCAATCAGGCGTATTCCACATTTCCTTTGTGACTTGGTAAACAACGTTCTCTTAGTCGCGTTTTTAATAATTTATAGAAAGATAATCGTCAGAATTCGAGACGTTGCAGCAGGGTTTTGTTGTTAAAGTTATTGTTAAGCTTCAAAAAGGGAATTTTTCTTTTGATGTTGAAGTTGAGCAATTCTTGTGGCAGCTCTGCGCTTACATGACAGAAAGGCCAGAAGTAATGACGGTGTGCAGCGTTCAATATAAATGACTGTTTGGCATTCCCTCTCGAAGCGCTGAACAGAACCCAAAAAATTGGTTCAATACTTCCTAACCCATCAACCGGGCTCATCGTGACTCCGAACGGGACAATGCCAAACACCTGGAGCCATTCAACCGCATGCTCAGCGCTTAAAACCGGGAATCTCTCTTCCCAGTGAATTCGCACAACCGTGAATTCGCTTCAATGCCTGGCAGAAATATTTAACACCAAATTTAGCTGGCGCTCGTTTCTGCTAGCCACACAATCAATTCAACCTTCAATGTTCTAGATATTTGACCTACTCTATTATGCCTACGCTAACAATGCTAACAACGCTGACCTCGCCAACCTCGCCGCCTACCTCATATAACTTCTTGTACGAAGGTCCGATTGATCTCGGCCTCGTCTTGATTTATGGCCTAAGTCTTCTCCTAAACTAGTCCATAACCTACCTCGAGTATCAATGGTGCCGCCCGAATTTGGAAGAGGTAAAGGGGTTCGTAAATAGACTGCAAAACTGGTTGAGTCACGACAACAGGGGTTTCTACCTGAGTCACAAGAGGCGGAAATAAAAGATCTATAATCCGTGAGAGATCTGTCAAAACACTAAGGAATGCTACACGGCGAGGTCTTGAATAGTAAAATTGAAATAGTAGGAATATAATTTGTAGAGAATGTCACATAGAAACCGATGTTACCTAATTTTGGTGGCACTAGACTCTAACAGTTACGTTAAGGGAATTCGCTGTCGAATTCGCTGTCCGGAGAGATTCCCTTGAAATCGACATGATGCATTACGCACTGGCCGAGGCCTGAGATTGGTTACCTTCTATCTTGTTCGGGCCGAGTTTATGGGATGGACTAGCCTTGCTCGCCAATAACTATACTGCTTCTGCTCGACTCCCTGTATGTCTCCCTGTTCGGCATTTACCGTGTTGCCCATTGTGATATCTACTTGTTTGGTACCCCGCATCTTTTCACTGCGATTTAGAAGTGCTGTGAAAATACCTCAGGGCTTTTGCTTCCAGCCAGGAACAGTCCTCTACCGTCATTTTGGGGAGTTTGTTCCCATGCGATAAGACGGACCGCTTTCGCTGAAGCGATGGATCGCGCCGTTCAGGAAGGGGGATAGATGAAAGGGAAAGGTGGATCGTCCGTTAGAATTAAGAGCTATTTTTGTTTTCCCAACCTTCCGCTTTAGAGCAAATCATTTCCTTCTCTTCCTACTCTCTTCATTCGTTCGTCCGCCTGTAAAGATCCATCCGTCGTCGTTGTGTTGCCCCGTGGTTGCTGAGCTGAACGTTTAGTCCCGCTCCCACTTCAACCGCTTTAGTTACCCTCTATCTGAGTCACACAAAACACAATGTACTATTGTGTGACTCCGTCCGTGTCCTAATGTAACTAGAAAGGATGCCAAGCCTGTATAATGTCCGTCTCGCCCTGTTATGTATCAACACCCACTGGTACCTAGGTAGCGGTAGTAATGGATGCCTTTGAAAGTATATAGTCTAACGTGCCTCGGGAACTTTTGAAATTCATCGTGTTCTTCCACTTGAGTCATACTCACTGGGCTTAGGACGGCAATTGCGGCTTCTATCGTGAGATGTCAGCGAGACGTCTAATGAATTTGAATTCTCCAAATGCTGGCTTCGATGCCAAGAAAACATGACGGTCAATGTTGTATACAGAATGAGAGTGGATTCATCTGCTTGATTGTGCTCTGTCTCTGTCTGTTCAGAGAGACTCTACCTATCTATATACTGTTTGCGCTGTGGCAACAAGCGATCCGCTGAATAGATCTGGACCTGGCCAGATCTGTCCAGACCTCGTAATCGATCAACGGTGGCACCGAGGCTGTTATAGAGAGGCCTCGGTTGAAGCATTGGTGGATTGGTTGGTTTGCCACAGTGGCGTTCTGCTGTCAACAGTCAACGCCATTTGCGCAAGCTTAATGACTATTTTTTCACAATGGCCCCGTTTTCGATGTCGAAAGTGTCAAGGGTTCCGACGCTTATTATTCGATACGGTGGCGATGTGAGACTGCCGGGACGCCTAGCATGGCACCTTTCAAAATAAATCATACTTGCGTTGGACTATTTCCACTTAAATGGTATTGCACATAGTGGTGAGTAATATCTTTCCATTGCAGGGGCAACATTCTAATGTAGGCAAGATCTCTATACAGGCAACATCTTGGTTTCGCAAACGGAAGGACAGTTCTCAGACCGCATTCATTAAAATCCCTTAAGCCGACGATCTTGGCAGATATCAATGCACAGCCTGGTTTCCAGATTACCTAGATTCTCGCGACATATCGTGGAACCTGCTACGTTTCCTATCCCAGCAGTGGACAGAGAGGTACACGCGAAGCTCATCGATTTTGAGCAAGCATTCCTTCATACCGATCAGTCACTGGCAAAATTTCGTAACCCATTGATTTTCGGAGCTCTAGAGAAGCTTCTAGATTCGAAATAGGACCTGCGGATGGATATATGGTCTCTAGCATGCATAATTTTTGAGCTTATTATGGGACAGCTACCATTCGACAACTTCATGCCGACAAAGGCCTCCTTAATGTTGAAGTGGATCGCAATGTCTAGAGAAGTGCCGGAAGAATAAATGAAGCGGGAGAAGATAGTTGTTGGTACATAAGTGTATGGATGATATAGACAGTGGGTCACTCTCAAGCTAGCTTTGTCAAACTTACTTCAGCGGTTGGAGGAAAAGGAAATTTGCCGAGGAAGATATCAAGCGATTGGGCGATTCGATGACTAAAATGACGTGATACCTACCCGGGGATCAATTGTCGTCTCAGGGCGTTCTGAAGCACGAGTGATTCGTAAAGAATCCCTTAGCAAGTGGGCGGAAGAACGATATTCCCACGGGCGAGGTATCTGAGGCTGAATATCCCCGTCCATGGCAGATCTTAAGATGTAAAGATCAGGCTGGCTTCGATGGGAAGTGCGGCGATTTTCAAGGAAGTGTCTATATCATCCTTCCATGAATATTATTGACAGTGATGACGACAAGGCACGAAGTGTAGAATGGGGGTTCGAGGGATTGTCTAAAAGGGTGTCTTCTTGCGTCGCTAGGACTCGAGTTTGGATTGATCAGTCACCTCAGAGCAGATCTATCTACGAATTCTCGAGGTTGCTTTTTACATGTGCCAGGGTTCCAAGTTGGCCCTAGCAAAGCCAGTGTTAGCACGTTCTTCCATTGCAGAGTGTGAGCCAATTGACTTTGCGATCATCGATTCTTCACAACAAGACCATCATAAATTTCAAGTTTATGGAATCAGTTGAGATTTATTATGGACTTTATAGGATGGAATTCTTCGTGTGCCTAACATAAGCAAAGGGAATATGAGGGTTGCTGCAAATTCGAGGCTGGAATTGAAGTCGCGAGAGGCTGAGATACAGTACAAACCGGCAACACCTTCCGAGAAGAGTTTAGCGCACGGTACTGGGTACTGGGGTGCCTAGCAAGGCTAGTATCAATGACAGCCTGGCTTGGCATGATCATGATTTTCTCCGCATCGCGCTGGCAGGCTTTTGACCTTTGGGCAGGTCATCATCATAATTTGATCCGCTCGTCTTCCCACGCATCACCTCACGCGAGCTAGTATCAAGTGCGAGAGCAGTCAGTCTCTCGCTCCTAGTGAGTCTTCCTCTTTCAAGCTTCAAAAATGACAGAAAGACCGAGCAATATGCTGAAAAGGCTTCACCCGGAAGACGATGAACTCGAGAGCCAGAAACGCGCCAGGTCTAACAATGGTTCTCCTCGTCCCACCACTCCAGCTGCCGCCTCCTCCTCTACGCCGACGGGAGCAAAGCCAGATGCCGATGCGATAGTGGCCAGAGCTAAAGCTGCGGCTGCAGCCAAAGCAGCTGAACTGAAAGCGAAACTGGCAGCCATGAAGGCCGGGACGGCGACAGCGTCACCTGCGACAACAGCGAGTACAATGCCCGCCATTGCTCTTAACGCAACAGACAGAATTGCTCAGATGAGGGCTCGCGTGGCAGCAGCGACTGGTCGGGCAACGGCGCAGACTCAACAGAAAACACAGACAAGCTATACGGCGCCAATCTACAACGACGACATGTCAAAAGCACGAGGCGGGCTGAACATTGGTATACACCCGGACTTACTGGCGGATGCGCAACAGGATGCGCAGAGGAGCAAGGGACGGACACCGCAACCGAAGTTCGCAACTGCAATGGGAAATAGAAGAACGGAATCGCCCGCTCCCGTGCAGCAGAAGGCAACTTTGGACCTCTCAGGTCCCTCAATGGAAGAACTCAAAGGCAACCCATATTTTGATGCGAGCTTGGGATCCCGAAATGTCCTGGCGAGAGGTAGACATTCGCGACAATTAATCTTCAATCAGAAGGGCAAATATATTCAACAAGCGGCCGCGCTCCGACGACAAGCGCAACTAGAAGCTATGAAGAAGAAAATCGCGGAGCGCGCAAGGCAGGCCGGATTAGAAGAAGATCTCGATACCGAGAAAGCGTTCCTCGTGCCCGCCCCTCCCAACCTAGAATGGTGGGATGAAGGTCTCATCATCGGCAAGTCCTACGATGCCATCTCCGACCCGGGAAAATTAAAGATTGATACGCCAGACAGTATCATCACAGTCTACATCCAGCACCCTGTGCTCATTGAACCACCACAAGAGAGAAATAACCCGCCCATGAAACCCATGTATCTCACATCAAAGGAACAAGCCAAACTCCGCCGTCAACGACGTATGGCCGAACTCAAGGAAGAACAAGCCAAAATTCGACTAGGCCTTGTTCCACCCCCCCCACCAAAGGTGAAAAAAGGCAACTTGATGCGCGTGCTCGGCGAGGAAGCCGTCAAAGATCCTACGGCCGTGGAAGCCCGGGTGAACAGGGAAATTGCCGAACGAGCGCAAAAGCACGAAGAAGCCAACCTGGCCCGTAAATTGACGAAAGGACAACGTGCCGAAAAGCTCGCAAAGCAGCAAGCCGAAGATGCCGCTCGCGGGATTCACATTCGCGTCTATAAGATCGACTCCCTTGCAAATGGCAAACACAGATACCAAGTCTCCGTCAACGCGGACCAGAATAGCCTTACGGGAGTAGTCATCATGCACCCCAAAATGAACCTGGTGGTGGTCGAAGGTGGCGAACACAGCATCAAGAATTACGAAAAATTGATGCAAAACCGTATTCGCTGGACCGAGATGGAAGCGCCCCGCTCCGTGCAAGAGGGTAACCGAGAAGCTCTTGCAAAGTGGCTCGAGGCCGAGGACGAGAATGGCGAATTGAAGGACTTGAGCTCGAATAAGTGCGAGTTGATATTCAAGGGGGAGGAGAAGCAGAGGAACTTCAAGAGGTGGTTGGGAGCGAGAGTGTGCGAGACGGATGCCCAGGCGAAGGACGTGCTGAGCAGGGCTAAGATGGAGAACTTTTGGGCATTAGCGAAGAGTTTCAAGAGGGAGGCCTGAATGCTGGGAAAGGAAGGGTGCTCAGAAAGGTACCAAAAAGCGTATATTCAATCCGAAGGCTGTAGATACAAATCAACATGAGAAAGTCCAATAAGCAGGGATGTATGTACGAGCCTTGGCCGCAGGGCTGAATCCTGATCTCTGCATGCGGCAGTTCGAGCAGCTCAAAATTTAACAGACCAGGAGTGCTCCTAGACACCCACGTACAGAAAGACACGCAATCAAACTGTGTTAGCTTCATTCCGAGGCATGCTCATCATCCCTCATACACCATGCCATCTTTTGTCCTGCTTCCTGCTCTTTCACAGTAAACACTAGGGGAAAAGATCAGAACATCAACACATGATGATCCCATCCTGCTCGTCTTCCTTTCAAAGAAACTTGGCGAGCTTTCCCAATGTTTTGTTGCCCCGTCTCAAGATCAAAGCGATTTATATCTCCTCCTTTGTTCACGTCACTCAGCCTACTCGTCTCATGCGTTCAGCTTCCCTGCTGCCTGTTCCAAAATGCGCGCCACTTTCTCCACCTCCTCTTGAGCCGCCTCCCAGTTACCCGTGTCAATGGCATCCCTCACACCAGGGAACGTGGCGTCGTCGTATCCACTCCACAACTGTGGAGCAAATATGACGTGCTTAAATTGCGTTCTGTTAACCAATCCACCACCCTCGCCAAGGTCGAGAAGATCCGACTCGAAATGTGTGAGGCGATTGTTGTGCTCCAAGCGGGCGGTGCCCATTGCCGAGGATTCGAAACCTCCTGAGCCGAAGATGAAGTCACGCCAGGATGCATCGAAGGTGTGGAAGCGCAGAGCCTCCTGAGTGAGGATGTCTGACGCCTTCCGCAAAGGGGAGAGATCAAGGGTATTTGTGTCGGATGCTGTAGGTGCAGCTTTTGCATACACGTCAAGGTCATCGATATATCTCGCAATAGCTCTCGCGTAGGCGCTGATGTCAAACGGGAGGAGCGGTCTATCAGCCAACTCCAGGATGAGGAGAGCCCAAATTTCACCCATGGCCTTGTGATATGTCCAGTCTGGATCACCGAATTTGGCCATCCACTCGAAGTTATCATAGCAGGAGTGATAGGGGAATGTGGCGCCCTTGAAGAACATGTCGATGGAAGAGGTGCCGACGATGTCTTGAAAGGCGACAAAGTCGCTTCCTGCGCCGAGGCCCTCGATGCTGCGGCTACCCGAGTCCCAGAGTTCGCGGATAGATTTGCCTGTGGAGGGGTCACTGACGCGGTTGATTACATGGAGAAGGGGTCGCTCATAAAGCGGAGAGGCGGCGGCGTGGAAATCAACTCCTGAAACTCCGACGTCGACATTGAGGTAGGCTATCCCGTCGTCGCGCAATTGATTCTCCCGGTTCTCGACATACTCGGTGCTGCCAATCAGATTGTACTCCTCCCCATCCCAACTGGCAAACTCAATCGTGCGAAGTGGTCGCCAGCCCAGTCGACGCAGTTCGCCAAAGATGCGCACGACTTCGAGCATGACGGCGGTGCCGCTGCCGGGGTCGGCTGCGCCAGTACACCATGCGTCGCGGTGGTTGCCGACCACAATCTTCTTCTCAGGCTGCTCCCAGCCTGTAATCTTGCCCAGCACATTGTAGATGGGCTGCTTCTGTTCTTCATCTTGAAGATTCTTGAGGTTGACTTTTGGAGAGTCCTGATTTCCCGTCCAATAATCAAAGTCAGGAACTCCTTGCCAGCTATCCGTCATCTGCTTGCCATGTCCTTTGAGCGCCTCGAGCAAATGCTTTGCATCCACCCAGGAGATGGGGATGGAAGGGATCTTGTTGAGACCAGCGCTCTCTTCAGGTTTCAGGTGTTTCTTGTTTTCCGGTGTGGATGCCCATCCGGGAGTGAGGACGTCTCCCACAATCCAAGACATTAGGCTGACCGCGCCCCTCTGGACAGCATCTTGAGGCATAAATCGTCCATTTGGAAAGGTCGGCCCTTGAACAAAGCCGTCTTGCGCAGGATCAGAATAGATGATGCATCCAGCGGCGCCGGCAAGTTCTGATGCTTTCACTTTCAGCGCTCTGTCTCCCTCAGAGCCATAATAGCGAACAAGCACAACAGCATCCTTCACAGATATGCCTTCATCCTCGAGCGTCTTGAAATCTTCCCTCGACCCAAAATTTGCATATATCAGGGGACCGGTCACATTGCCCGATTTTGAATGACCATGAAACACCAAAGACCGCTCTTGATCTTCCTCAATTTTAGCCTCCCATTTCATGTTCTCCGGCTCGACGATGGCGACTCTTCTGCCGTTTTTTTGTGGATAATTCAGATAAACATCGTATCTCTCCATCTCGACGTCCTCCAATTCGCCCGTTTTGAAAAGCTCGGCCACCCATTCTCCCAGCACATAATTGCCCTCGGTCCCTGCGATATGAGGGAAATCCGTGATGTGCTCCAGATATTTCTGCATATGTCCATGGTCGTTCATATGGTTCTGTACAAATATTCTGATAGACTCAGGGTCGTATATCTGGCCCATGCCCATGCGATTCTTTGTAAATGACAGAACGTCCGACGCTATAAGTACATAGAGAACACCCATGATCAAGAAAACACCAAAGAGCCGCCCGATAATGACAACGCGATTTGCGTCAAATTGTTGATAATTTATGCGCGGCCATGAAATATTGGAGAGATATTGGCGAAAGGAAGGAAGGTTTAGGGAGGAGAATGAGTTGGTCAGGTTCGAGAAACTCTTGGATAGGCGATATCGAAGCAGTGATCGGTGGGAGGAGGAGTCGCTCCGAGGGTCTTCCACATCCATCTGCTGCATCTCTCTGCGCACCTCGTCCTCGCCATCTTGCTCGATCCCATCGAGGGAATCGACACTCGGCCGCGCGGACTCGACGGTGGGAGGGTGATAATTTCCAAAGGTACGAAGAAGGCCTTGCCTCTCAGCATCATCGCTTATTTCTTCAGGGCCGAGTCTCGATTGGGAGGAAGCCGGACGTGAAGAAGTAGCCTCCTCATAGGTAGGGATGGGCAGGTGCTGGTACTGGCCTTTGTCACCCATGGTTGTCGATGGAGGAGAGTGATGTCCCGAGGGACGCCACTCACTGCCGCATTATCGTCGATGCATCTAGGAAGCAGGCATGTCGTGATGATGACCGAATCAACGGATTGGGTTGCTATCGATTTGCGAGAACAAAAGGCGCAGTTGCTTTGGGGAGGAAATCTGGAACGGTAGGCGCCGATGCCTCGACTGTACCTCGGCCGCCTGCGGACGACGAAGACCAAGACGAATCCCCTTGATCCTCCAAGCGAAACTCCCCGCCGAAACACGTTGCCAACTTGCCCTTCGCCGAAGTTCCGTCTCTGGATCTTAGTTTAGACTTTATTCCAGGACGACATCTGTATTAAGTCTAAGTGTTCTGTTTATGCATTGCTAATGTCAATCGACTTCACTTCAACAGCGCGATTCAATTTTCACAAAATCACTCTCAAAGCGTACCGGATGATCGCAAGAGATAAGTTCGCCGCGGGACCCCCTGACGACCAGCACTACACGATTCTGCTGAGCAGCCAAGACCTCCATACATTACATCGAACTCACGGCATGCTATTGTAGGTGCCTCAATTGCCTTCACCATAATAGACCCCTCGATCGCGGTCCCATTTACTCGTTGAACAGCTTTCCCATCAGCCCCAACCAAGATGATTTAACCACCACCATCACAGTGACGATATGGCATTCAATTTCCGTTCCTAGGTCCATTGATCGGATCTTTAACAAAGGTAAGGACATAATCTTGCATTGCGGCGCTCGTCTCGTTTTCAAGCTGCGAGGGCTCTCCAGCTTTAATGCCATAAATCCCAAACATCATTGCCAGACCTGACGCATAATACGCGCCCATCCACCACAGCGGGTTGATGTCGGAGCAGTTCCCGCCAAAGCCATAGCGGAAGGTGGAGATGTTCAAGTTGTTTCGGTACAGGCTCGAATTGGAGATGCCACAGACGGTGTTGACGGTGCCCGCCAATACAGCCTGCGGATTTGGACCGGCGGTGAGATTCTTGAACGGATACGGTGCCAGAGACGCGTATGCATTGGCGGTTTTAGGAATGGTTGCCGGTACTTTGGCAACTTGACCAGCTCGATATCTCGCTGTATAATTGTTCAAGACGTCATCCTCATCCGCAACCGGACTGAAAGCGATTGGGGCTTGATGAGTGTTGGCTGGCTGAAATTATCTTGATACTGACCGACGAAATTCTCAATAATATCACTAACAGGGACACTATGCATGCATTCCAACTCAGCAATCTTGTGTTTTGGGTAATCGCAACCGAGATTGCGCGCAACGAATGTGAAGTTGATGCTTTGGACGTCGGCATTGGCATTGTTGGATAGTGCTGTTCCGGATTGCATGAAAAAGCCGCGCTCTATAGGGTCATCAGAGTAAGTAAAGTGTAGTCGTCGGTCGAACAAGAGCCAAGTTGATTGTACCCCACAGTGTCATAGCAGTCGGACCGCCGCCAAAGCTGGCAATATTGGGCCGGATCCATTCGAGCGCTGCTCTTTCATCGCGAAGGCCTGAACGCTGCGTTGCCACCCTGCCGCTTTGGGGAAGCCCATGATGTTGAGATGGTAGTTGATCATCACCATAATATGGCTCTGACTCCGAGCCAACCTATTTAGCTGGTATTTAAATCGGTATATTGATTCCCCCCGTCACCATGCCTCCTACAAAACCAGTTAGAAAGCGACGCCAGCGACGTTAAGAACGTGACATTTACCTCCTGCTATGAACATAGTGGCCGGAAGCTTCGGGGGGGCAGTCGCGTTTTCCGGAGTCCAAATAGGTAGGCTAAGACAATCTTCAGAGGATTTATACGCATACAGCTCGGCCCTGGTGCTTTCACCTCCATCGAAGATCAACTATTGCGGAATTTGCTCGCTTTATATAGATTAAGGTGGGCAAAAGAGAGAATATTGAGTGGCATCAAAATGCTTACTTGGTGCTCGCAGTTTCTGAGGAGGAAGCCAACGGCGTTGACCTGTCGGAGGAAGCGTGTATGGGAAATTACATAGTTCACGAACACTTGGGTCAGTTGGGTTAAGAAGACTGGTGAATATGCCTGTGCCAGCTGTGACGTAAAGGCTCGGGCTGATATACATACTACGCTAGCAAAGGCGGCAATGGAATTAGAAACAAGAAACCCCCCCCCCCTAAAAAAATAAAAAAATAAAAAAATAAAAAAAGCGAAGGCGATCTCATAGTGATGAGGCGAGTCGAGGCAGTGCGAAATACAGAGAAAGGGAAACTTCCTCCTATTTACTATCCTCGTACCCTAAATACCATATCTGCCTCCTTTCACTCTCGCTCCCGTCCGACTACTATTGTATACTTACTAAGAATGTTCTCGTCTCTTACCGCTTCGCCGAAATTTCGGCCGAAGAGGTCTTAAAGTGATATTTAAAACGATGGGAAGTGACATAAATAGAGAAGTCGCCTCAAGTGGGCGGCGAAGCTCGCGATAATAAAAAAGCTAAGTTAGTACAGTTATATAGAATTAGGCTAAAATCTTATAGAAGCTAAATAAGTTCTGGTGAAGAGAATCGACTACTTTATACGTTCTTAAAGACTTATAATCGATATTAACGTAGATTTTCGAGAGTATTAAAATAATATATATTCGTTTACTATTAATTTTTTATAATAGATTTTTAGAAGATATTAAAAAGAATTTACGAAGAGAATATTATAAAATACTAAAGCTAATATTATTCTTTATAGTAAGATATTAAGTCTTATTTACTACGCTAAAAAATACTTAATAATTTTACTCTTTAAATATATAATTTATATTTATTTATTTATTACTATTTAAATTATTCCATACTTCTTTCACCTATTAAAGTTAAGCCACCTTTCGAGATTTTTTATAATATTAATAGATAAAGATATAATTCTATCGATTTACCATCGATACCCGTTCACCGCATCTTAATATCTCATCTCGTTACTAAGATATTGAGGTTTGAAAACTAAGTATAACGAGAAATTTTTGATGTTCTTTGCCAAGAATTATTTAGGTGGGTCTACGCTAAGCAGCGTGACAATTCATTCATTAACTCGTCTACAGCGTGACAATTCATTCATTGGCTCGCCTATAGCGTGACAATTCATTCATTGGTTCGTCTATAGCAACGCTAGTCTTTTTATAGATTCTATCTTTAGTAACTTAGCCGAATCACAATATACTCTTCATCGCTTCAGTACTTTAACACGATATCTCGAAGACATTCCTTCTATAAGACATTCCTTAGTGATGGAGTCTGCTCGAGTACCGAAACGTAGTAGACTACTATCGATAGATGATACTCTAGATCCTTTAATTCAGCGTAAACGAGATTAAGATCGTCTTCGGTAACGAAGACTCCGGCAACGACGATAACAAGGGAGAGCTTAAGAATAGTAAGTATCTAATCAATAGCGTATTAAGTCTCTTATTGAGCAACCCTTTAAGTTTCCTAATTCTGAGCTAACCGTCTAGGCTATAGGATTACGTCTAGAAGGATATAACTTTATCCGTAACGTCGAAGATATTACACGACAACTCACTGCCATTAATATTAACGAGCATCATACACTCTATACTAATACTGACTAGTTACGTTAATCTCGTTCTTCTCATAGGTAATATAGCCTCTATACTATTACGCTCATCTCTTAACCGTACTAGATTAATAGCTACACTATCTTAACCACCTTTATTCCGAAGTCTAGATATAAGCTAAGGTTATAAACGAGTTTAGAATACTCTCGCTACGCTATATCGTCGGCTATAGACTTCTTCTCTTAATTAATAGTAGATTTATCATTATTTTATCTCTTCTCGCCCCTAATCTAGCGGATTATAATTGTTAAATTATCTCTCTATCACTTCTACTATCTCTACACTATCTACTCTTTCTCGCGTACATCGATTATTTACTTAACTATCTTAATATTCTTAGAATCGTAAAGATTATAACTTATACTTATAATTTAGCGAGAGTAATAATAGTAATGAAGAGAATAATAACGATATTACTTAATTAGTCGTCGAGACAACTTCTTAGATCAATATTATAAGTTACACTTCTTCTACGAGCGCGCTCTCTTCTAGACTAACTAGTCTTCCGACGATATTTCTAATATCTATACGTACCGCGATAGATATCTCCTTATTTATTCGCTCCTCTAGAATAGCGACGTAGAATATTCCTAATGATTCTAACGATCTAAATAATTTTAACTACTTCTCTAGCTCTAATACTTCTCTTAATCTAACTAATTTCGATAAGATAAAAGCGCGAGAATCGAAGGAGAAAGACGAAGAAGACGAAGAGGAAGAGAGTCTAGACTATAATAGTGAGAATAGTGAGGAAGACGACGACGATCGAGACTAAGTTTCTTTCGCGGTATAGAAGCTACTCTCTTAGTATTACTTCGACGATTACTATAGCTATATACTAGAGAAGTATACTCGACTCAAATAAGAGCATAAGGATATCGTGAGAGATTAGGAGCATTACGACCTCTCGTTCTACTTCTTACGAGCGAACTTTCCTTCCGTATTACGGCTAGATCACGATATCGACTAACTACTTATATTAGATTAAGCCTAAGCGGATTTTGCTTTTTTAGTAGTATAATAGAAAGAAACGATATGTGAAACGAGTATCGACCATTCTTACCTACGTTATATTTATCTTTATACGTATATCACTCCGCTAACGAACCCTAAGATATCCTCTAATATCGATAGTTTCCTCGGTTTTACTATATTTCTCGGCTTTACCCGCGAAGGATTAAATATTGAGCTCGCGCCTTAAATCCGGAAAAATATAACGGCGAATATCTATATTACGACTACGATATATCGCGAGCCACCGATATAAGATCATCACTATAAGCTGAATTAGGAAGACTATAAGCCCGCGGTTCCTCGCGCCGTTTAGACTCTTCTACGCGATATTCTTTACTTCTTCGCCGCTCGACTTTTCGGCGCTCGGGACATCGAGGTGTACTTTCTCTTTCCCTATATCTCGGTTAATGACTACTTTATCGGTTTAATATAGCACTAACTAAAACGATGGTTTAACCGGATCTTTCTTCTAGTCCTCGAGTCGATCGCGCTCTCTTATATTTTATAACATCTCTTCGCGTCGCTTCGTTAAGTGTAGGTGAACTCCGTAGCGGCGTAGATCGAGGGCCGTTAAGCGATCACTATGAGCTACTAAAGTATTTAAATAATTCACTATACTCTTTAGCTATATCTTCTTTAGTTACTCTAAAGCGCGATTATCGATCGAATCGAGATATAGAAAGAGTTATAGAATTTCCGCGATTCTTAGATCTTCTTCTACGCTAAAGAAACTAAGCTAGTATTTAAGACCTAGAGTAACCTCGCTATTACCGTTTTTAATACGCTTTAATAGTGAGATAATGTTAGACACAGCCTTTTCTGCGACCAGGACTGAGAACCGGGTAGGCAGGTGTGCCGACCCGCGAGGGCCACACAAGCAGGAAACACACAAGGCTGAGGCACGTGACGTGCTCAGCAACGCTCAGTGTAGATCAGTGTGCTCAGGCTGAGCACAGCTGATCACGACTGAGCACGACGGAGCAAGAGGGTACAGGATGTGACTATATAGCTGCGCCCACC